AAAATTGAATCACTAGTGTAGGAAAGGTGGGCAAAACGATACCCTGCACAATAGTTTGTGCGAGACAAATATTCGAGGCTGTAATATTCGAGAATAAATTCAGTCGCTGCATCTAACGGAAAGTTTTAGTACGTTGGCAATGGAATTCTGGATATTTAAAAATGGCTGCTGGAAAATACATGACGGGAAGAATTTAAAAATTCCATTGGAAACAATCACATGAACCGTAACCCGAGATACTTCATAAAACATTTATTGAGGCACGGATAAATTTTACTATGAAAGTTAACAAAGATTCATCATGTGCACTTGTCTGCGCAACGTGACACGTTTGAAAATAATTGTGTTTAAAGAATTCTCAAAGAAAACATACAATGATGAATCATTACCTGCTTTAATTCTGTACAGATCTAGTTAGGAAATCGTGTAAGTGTTAATGTAGCAACATTTATACAATTAGACAACGTCTCTCCGCTTAGTGAAACTTGAAATTGTACGAACGTTCGACTTTTTTTTCTTTAATCTTAGATTGTTCATTGTTCTGCATTTAATGTCACCGGCGTTTACTAGTCTCGTGTCATACCTACCAATTGTCAGAAATGAAGCGTAAGTCGGTTGCCTCAATAAGAAGTTGTCTCGTTTTATGTCGAGCTTATAAGGGAATTTAGTCTTCGTTTCATCACTAATCGCGGGAGCGTGACATGCCTAACATAGCGCTTATCAAGCGCATCCGCAGGCCTACAAAAAGGCCTTGATGAAATTCGAGACAGTAAGAGATTATGCAAAAGATTAATGCGGCTTTGTTGACTAGCGCGAAGATTCGGAAAAATTTGTATTGAGTAGCGCGCCTCAATTGCGTGCGTTATATATGCACCGTTGCATTAATTTAGCTTTCAATTAAAATGGCAAAGAAAGAGGCGCATTGACGTGTGAATGAATCATCAGGAAAATGACGCGATCATGTCATAAACCGCATCAGTTGATTACGATTGAATTATGAGAGGTTCAAATGTGAAGTTAAGTTTATGTAGAACTTGTCTTCGATACCTTTTAAATCCCTGCGTTCGTGTAGTAATTACTTGATATTTTGATATTTTTCTCACCTTAGCATACAAGCAAAATAGCACGCTGCTCGTCATCGTGCATATTGTCAGTTAGTTATTCAGCATCGTTGCTAACGTGAGGGGAGCCCTCACGTTAGCAACGGTGTTGAGCTTCATGTGGTAATTTACCAACTTCTACACATGCATGAGCGAGATGGAAAAGTTTATGACGAGCGAGTCTAATTATGACAATGACGACTCGCTTTGAAGACGAGTTAGTGGGAGACGTGCGGTGTGTGATCTGCATGAGCAGTGGTGAGATGATGACGTGCCTTGAAAGACGTGTGGTGTGTGATCTGAATAGTGCTTCCATTTCTACCGCTACTGTTGCGACCTGCTTGTACATTTGCATGATAAATAAATATATATATAACCATTTTTAAAAACCACGTTTTTCTGGTGGTTACAAAACTAAAAACAATGAAATAAAACAAATGAAAAACTTTTAAAAATCACGTTTTCTTAACGGACAAAAAATAAAAACATTAACTCTTACATAACATCAAAGTTATGTAGAATATTATGTAATGTTATGCAAGAGTTAATGTTTTTCTTTTTTGTCCGTTAAGAAAGCGTGGCTTTCAAAAGTTTTTATTTGTTTTATTTCTTTGTTTTTAGTTTTGTAAACACCCAAAAGCGTGGTTTTAAGAAATAGTTTTATATATATTTATCTTCTACATTTTAGTTTAGCAATTTTAGCAATTCAAACCATTTTTCCAAGGCTTGCAGTTCTGGATGTTCGACAAAAAAAACTCGATTCCCAACCGTGAATTTTTAGTTTTTTTTTTATTTTTTATCAAAAAAATTTATAGTTATTACTTCTGATGATCAAATCTTGAATTGTTAGGCAGCATAAGCATGCATGCCAAATTTCAAGTTTCTAGGATCTTTATAATATAAAAACGTGGTAAAAAACGTTAACGTTCACTTCAAAAAATAAATTTTTGAACGTAAGTTTTATAGTTTGACCAAATGAGGTAAAGATACCCAATAACAGATTTCAGTTTCAGAATTAAGCGTTTTAGCCCCTGAAAATACAGTAAATGCGTAAACTTGCAAACTGTGCTCGTTCAACAATGTTTGCTACAAAATCTTCAAACGTGCTAACGTGTATTAATGAGGCGGTCTTAACGCTGTCTTTTGTCGTTCTCAACTGTTCTCAGAGACCCCCGACCGACGGTCAAAGGTAATTATCGAAGTTGCAACTCCACCACAGTCGATAATTATTCCAAAGGCTTCCCCAAGTTTTGGGCGCTCAATTCGGCCCCTGGAGAAGAATTTCGAGTTTGAACTTCTCGAGGATGGATTGACTGAAAGTCGGGCCGGAATGCTGCAGGACTTTTTTGTTGACTGAGCTTGGGCCATGGAAAATCGATTGCAATTAATCAACTCAAGTCAACAATTTCGGGGAAACTTTATGTTTGTTTGGCAGCTCAATGTATAGCATTAAAAGGCGGTGTTGTTTCCTGAAGATTTATGCCTGCCTTTACTAAACGAGCTAAGCTGATATTGGTTCATCGTGATCGTATTACTGTAAAAAGTGAATGAAATTATTTTAAAAGATTCACAGAGACCACGTTAGCATAATAGTCAACACTTGTTTGTAGTAAAATGTTATTTGATAATACGTACAATTTGATAATACGTACATAATAGTCAAATTATTAAAAATTAAACCAATGCATGCTTTCATTCGCAGAATTTAGTAATGTAAAATTTCAGTTATTATTCCACATAATTTTGACTCATCGATGAACAATTAATATTATACCTTGCTGAAAAGAACTAAAAATAAATTGCCCGTCAATAACCATATGTTAGCAAACTTTAAATTCAAATGCAATGTTCCCTGAGTATCATCAACGCTGATCACTTGTCATGAGAGTTTTTATGGCCCGAAATACGCCAGGTCTGGCTCACATTTTTTACGTATCGTCATTCTCGGAAAAAACACAATTTGAGAAGCTCAACATTGACTGAGTGCTTTCTCATTTGCATGAGGATAAAATCTTTCAATAGCTTTATGGTAATTTTCTCACCTTTGAGACTCCTCGCAGGCATGTAGGAGGAGGTTTTCAGGCGAAAATAGGCCCCATAAATTTGCTCTTTTGACGCAGTTCTGCCAACTTTGCCACTGTTATGAAGAGTCTTTGTCGCGCCGAGTATCTTTTCTTCAGTGCCAGAGAATGGAGCTGTCGCTATATGCGTGCGATGGGTTTTTCTGTCGAATGTTTACTTTCGCCAGCGAAAGTCTCTTGCTTTTGTTTAGTCCTTCTACCAACTTTCGCGAACGAAAGTCTTCTCCGCATCTCCTTCGTCTTACAAACCATCGTCGTTTGGGTGTCAGATATCGATTGCAGCCGATGATGTTTTTCGAAAAATTAAACATTTAGTGATCATATCCTGTGGCCTAGCAATATCCAAAGAATTTTATGGCTTTATAATCCGCTAATGAAGTATTGTTATTATCTCTGGTTTCCTATATTTTGTTTGTATTAATCACAAATCACATAAGAGAATTAAAAAGCAACGAAAATATCGAAAAAATGTATCATATCTTCAATGATATTTTTTCAAGAGCAGCTCCATCATTAGTTAAAGAGTCAATACTACACGATTATTACAATGTTAAACTGTATCGGTTATTATGATTATTGTGGATATGAAACAGACTCGTTAGTCACACATGGTTTTAGTGTAAAGATATGCAAAATTTCCAACATCCCCAATTTTGAAGCCCCGGAGGTGGAAGCTAAAATCTTGAAATCATTTTATAACGCAGGCATGTCGCACTGTTGAGCTAGAGGGCGTAAAACTGAATGAAGGTAACTTAATGTAGATTTTAATTAATTTAATTATTATCTTAATTTAAGAATTTCTTTGTCAATCCAGTCGAATTTTTAGCAATATATTCTAAAAATTGGTAAAAATATTTTGAATTTAAATTAGAACTTCTGCGTAACCAATTATTTTTTTAACACCGTATTATTATTGCATTACTTGAAGAACCCCGGAGCAACTGCTGTCGGTGAGGACCAATTAGTTCTTCAATAAAGGAGGATCAATTAGTTGGCTTTATTAACTAGAAATAAAGGCGAGATAATCCGTTCTGATCACGAAAATTATACAATCTCTGTTTTCGACCCCGAGATGGAATGGCTTTACGTCACCAAACAGAATGATGGTGCTTCCATGATTTGGTTGATCATTCATCCTCATGATCTGGAACGATTACTTTCTAAATTTAAAAAGCGGTTATAAAAATTGATGCATTATTTAAACATTCTCTCTCTATTCAATATTATAATATTATTCCTGCAATTTTCTTCTTATTAATACTTAGCAATATTAATGATTTGCAACCGTTCACGTAATTCTGACCTCAATAATAAAATATTTCTACAATGATAATTACAAGATGAAAATCGCGCAATGGAATATTTTCCGCGCACACCCGAAAGGTTTTAAATTCAAAAGACTCATGCTGGTTCAACGAAGGATCGGACGTGCAGTTTGTGCTAATAAGTTTACTGTTCGTAGCAGTTAAATAAATGACAGAATAAACTAGAAACGGAAAACCTTGTTGCAATGTTTTCCATTTTAATAATTAACTTAATTTGAAAATGTATTTGTCTATCCAGTTGCATTAAGTGACACATCTCAAATGATCACTAAATTATTCCTAAAAAATTTGTCGCATATGAATCGTTGTATTTTTCTAGTTTTAATTTTGTTGTCATGTTTTAATTGTAGTCTCCCATATTAAATTTTCTGTTTCATTCGCAGTTTTTATTTTATATTTCTTCATTTGCAGTTTTTATTTTATATTTCAGTTTTTAATCACAGTTCTAAAATTTTTCTTGAATGAACTATTTAACAAATGTTGCGTATGTGCAGGCGAGCGTTGCGGTTGACCTGCGTTCTCGGCCGCCGTCGTTCAGCCGCGTGCGGTTGGGGGTGCGGGCGTCGTACGCGCCCGTGCAGCTGCCGCTCGAGTGCGACGCTGCCGTGCCTAGACTCTGGAGAATCAAAGCCTTCACTGAGACGCTGAAGGTAAAAACAATAGATCTTGATGTTAAATTAATAATTTAAAGTCGTTTGATGACGGCATGTAACAGATATCATCAAGTTCCTCCCAGACTCTAGAGTATCAAGGCCTTCACAGAGACGCTGCAGGTAAAAACAATAGATCTTGATGTTAAATTAATAATTTAAAGTCGTTTGATGACAGCATGTAACAGATATCATGAAGTTCCTCCTAGACTCTGGAGAATCAAAGCCTTCACTGAGACGCTGAAGGTAAAAATAATAGATGTTAATATTAAATTAATAATATATAGGTGTTTGATCATGGCAGGTAGCAGATAACATTGCGTTTTTGTTGATATTTACGAATTAAAGTTCTGAAATAAATTTTCCGATGCAAAAGGTGTAACGATCTTCTGATTTATGACATGGAGTAAAATTTCAAATTAAAAATGTAAAGATAAGCAATTAATGTCCGTTTATGCGAAACCCAAAGAAAAAACGTAAATAGATTAGAAATCAAGTGTATATAAATTTCCACATTATAACTGCTGCAAATAATATTTCACGCGAACTCAATGCTCTGATTTCATAAAATGCGGAATAACTCTTCCCGACCTTCTAATGTATACACTGGCTGAATTTATAATGTATACATTATATCTAATGTATATTGTATATTGTTGTGCCTCAGTAACGCCAATTTTGTCGAAACAGCTTTTAAATTTAATTCCCTCCCCGATTTGAAAAAATATGAATTTTATTTGGAGCTTAAATTTCTATATTTGTTCAAAATAGCCAAGCAATAATTTGAATTTTTTCGATGCAGTGAGGCAATATTTCTTCACGCTAATAGAATGGAGAAAAATAGCCTAGTACCTATAAGTAAACTACCGGCCTGAGGTCACTCAAGCATGGAACCGGAAGTTTGGAAGTTAAACAGAAAGTTTCAAAGTTTAAAAGAGCTCAAGAACTTGATGGTTGCGCCAAATTGTGGCTTAGGTCTCGATTTAAACCAAACTAGACCATGTCTTCAAGACTTGAAGGCGCTCTAAATAAAAAACAGTTTTTCATCCTCATATGGTAAACACTTAATTTCGGTAGAAAAAATCACAGATTATTTCTATTTTTTATGTTTTTTTTATCAGGGATTACTAATCCAGAGTCTTCACAAATTTATTGATGAAGACAATCCTGAGGTAAATAAACCTGCTATGAATAGGGAATTCCAATAGTATACAAGATTTATCAGTAATTCAATGAAAAAATGTGAGAATTTTGTCACTTTGTATTCCTAAGAAGGCTACTCTGACCTCTGGTGAATCAATTACAGAAGCCCGAATACTGGAATACTTTAACGAGAACCTACAAATGATAATCTTAGGGCATTACAAAAGATCCCCGAGCCTAAAAACTTCGTTGTTGCAATGGTTTCTTTTTTTATTTGCTCTTCCTAACGATTTATTTGCATGCACGCTAGCCTTGTTTGTCTTGCTGGCTATCACAGGGCACAATCTGACTGTCGCTCCCTTGACTTTCTATTTAAATGGCGCGGTCGGACCATCCGACAAGCGCATTTATCCCAATGGAGGAAGAGCAAACTGAGTGAGTGAGTCGAAGACGTCCTCGCTTTGTTTGCCTGATAAGAAATGACGGAAGACCGCTGACATCAGCACGGCGCTGGCCACACAACGGATGACTGACTTAGGTCGCTGACACACTCGCACAAAAAACATAGCAAAGTTCAATTCATCACGGAATGTTCAAATCAATGAAAGTGGGAAAAGCTGCGGGAATTCAATTTGAAATAAATTTATGCAACCAAACTTGAATAGCAAATAAATCCTGCATCTTTATGCCATTTCAATAATTAGAAAACAAATTGTTGCTTCTGTCTTTTTTTGAAAATTCAGATTAATTTGAAATCCGAATTCGGCTGACCCTACACAAGTGAATTTTTTTATATTGAATTCTGAAAGTTGCGCGTCTTCTCAGTGCTGGTGGCCGCGATGATGATTTCCTTATTCAACGCGTTATTCATCATTAATATAACTCGGATCCCCCAGTGCCGCACAGCAGCGAGTTCATCATTAAATTGATGCGCGTCTCACCAATAGTGGCTGTATTGTCTTCTAATTCACTTATGATTTGCGTGTAATATGACTACAATTTCGTTATTGATGCACAGGAAATAGAAATTTGACGCATATTCATTCATCAATGAACATCGGTGAAGGTGCTTCTAATATGTCATGAAACAGGATGTCTTACTGGGTGATAGGATCTGATCTTCTGGGCGCTGATAGGACCCTCTCCGGATCTTCGTTACTTCTGCTAGGATCTGATCTTTTCGCTGTGTGTTATGGTCGATTTTTGACCATCAATCTCAGCCCGACAGGAATATTTCTACGTACCAGTGGCAGATGGTTACCTCCCAATCATTTGGTTGCGGTCTCAGGCTGGTTGCGAGAGCGTGGTGTGGTGGCTGGTGGCTTGGGTCGCTCACTGGGCGCTACCGAGAGGCTGGGCGACGCGCCTCCTCGCCTCACTAGCCTCACGAGGGTCTCTGCTTTACGCCTCTTTACCAGGGCCTCACAACGCGCTTCAAGTTGCAGGGTGAGGAAACTTAATACTCCAGAGATCAATGTACATATGTTCTACTTCTTCCTCTGTTTATAATGCTCTTTCTGCTTAAAGCCATCAGTCCAAAGAAAAAGAATCATGTTCGCTATTAACAGTTCTCCTCTATATTCACATGCTATCTGTGCTGTTCAAAAAATTTGAATGTCTTTCATTGATAAATGGGCAAAAAATAACAATGAAAAAAAGTAATTTTAATACGTAATAGCACCTGTCATGACAAATCTACGGATTTTAATACCTGCATTTAAATATCTCTAAAGATGTGAATTCAAAGGAGAGAGAACTTTTCTAAACTGACCAGCAATTTACTTGCGCTCTTAGTAGGTTAATTTTTTAGAATATTAGTAAGATTGAAGTTTAATCCAAAAATTAAGGTAATGTGGTTTTTGCTTTATCTGCAAAGATTTTTCTAAGTAAGTGCACGCTCAGACCTTCCACTTCCGCATTATATTTTGGGTGAAATTGTGAAGCAATCTTCACGCTACTTCCTACGCCATAAATTGAATTTAACAAAATCTGTTCACAAGCATTTTTAAACTCAAGAAATTTGACCTGAAATGAAAGCTAGAAGAAAATGCTCAACATTTATCATAAATAAATTATGCGATGATCACAAATAAGCTCTGCTGCAACTAAACAAGCTTGTGCTTTTTTGTACATCTGATTTTGCATCGTCAAAATATTTAAAGCCTAGACTGGAATACTCTTTGCCTTCCACTCCCATCTTTTATAATATAATTGTGAAAATGATACGTAATAATAATAATATACTTATCTATATGTATATGTAAAATATATCTCTCATCATAAAATTAAAAAAAAATCAGTAAACAAACTTTATGTGAGAAGAGTCCCTCCTTGAAGGTACTAAATGAAATTAAAAATTCTATCGATCGTTTATCATTGGACTTTATTAACAATGGGATTCTCACCTGTACATAGGCTTAGTTCACTGCAGATTTAATTGCGTTCAGTGAGTTCACAACAAGAGACAAGAAAGTCCAGGTAATAAATTCAAGAAATTTTCTCTGTGTGAGTTGAGATCCAAGGAAGACTGGCAGCCTTGCCTTGATTTTCTCTTTGTGGAGAATAACAAAGGCCTCTGTGGACGTGTCGCACGTTGCGTCTGCCTCCGCATCGCCAATGTGCGCAATATCGACTTTTCCTTTGACTACTAATGGAATGCTTGTACTTGGAATTTCTTTAATGAATTACCGCTTTCTTTAGAATTAATGTAAATTTCGCATGAAAATACTGTTATAGGAATTGCAAGGGCTCTAATTTTGTTGTTTAATGTCGGTTGTATACATCTAAGTCTCGTGAATATTATATATTTGATAACATTGAAAATATGAAAATTAGAGATAATGTTATAAATGCATTCTTAATATTTGACTTGATCACCCTAAACTTCTCAACGATAAGTTATTATTATCATTGATACTAAATCTATTCTGAATGATATAATTTAGTGACTACGCATCCCTATAGCCCCGTTGACAAGAAGTCGACAATGGCAAAAAGAAAACTACAAGGAAAGCAATCGCGTTCTTACATTTTTCGTAAAATAACAATTTACTACGCCGCCTAACGGACACTGTCAACGCACAAAATTAATTTCATATACGAGAGAAAATTTGTAATCGAGAAGAAATTTCACTGCATTAAGAGACCGGAAGATGGCCGTGAAGTCGTTCAGCAAAACTATATTTTATTATTGAGGGCGAACATTTCAACGAAGTGATCCAAACTCCATCAGCGCGAGATAATTAAGCCGATAAGTCATTTCTGCCACCGAGCTCCGATTCTCCGAGGATTAATGAGTGCAACTTTGGTGATCTTGAAGACTTTCTTACGACGTCCTGTCAGATTTCTTCCGACAATCTGTGGCTTTCACAGCCGTTATTTTGTATGCCGACAAATAATGACCCGCGGCTCAGTTACATTCGAAGGCAGGCATCATCAAGACTTTATGAATGAGATGAAAACTTCGAAGGAGAACAAAACCAGCTTGAAATTTGCAAAAAGTCCATCTTCAACGGAAGAAAGTCATATTGTTAGTCATCTCATCTGTTCCTTATAAAAAATTCCATGTGGGAAAATCAATAATGATTAAATTTTTCGTTCTTATAGAGATGAAGATCAGTAGCGGTAAATACAATGCAAATCTTGGCTTTATTCATCAATTCCATGAATGCACTAACATCACAGGCAGAATTTATCAACACGGTCACTGCACTGAGATCAGCAAATTTATTTATTTACGCAGCGAATTTAATATTATCAAAAGCCGAATTTATCAACGTGATGAATGCATTAAATCAACGGTTTAATTTATCAACCGAACTTACGTGCACATTGATCAATGAAAGATCCTCAACAACTGCCTACTTGTTGGAGCTCGATATTTCAAGGACGCTTTTGGCAGATTTTCCGAATTGCTTTACGTCCCAGAACATTTCAGAAGTCATTCTGCTCGACGCTCCTCTATCTAAATTAACGTTAAATCTTATCCAATTTCGGATCAAGGTCGCAAAAGGAATCCAATGCTGCTGTGAAATCAGTTGACGTATACGATTCACGGCAGCTTCTAGTATAATTGCTTAAGTCTATTGAAAGAATTTTCTCAAATATAGAACCGTGTACAACAAAAAATTGTGTATCTATTCAAAGTGAAATGGCAGCAAATATTTTCATCGACTAAGAAAAAAATTTACAAAAATGAAAATATACTAGGAAACGTTTCAAAATGTTCCATTAAAGCAGAAATGGCAGCAAATATTTTCATCGACTAAGAAAAAAATTTACAAAAATGAAAATATACTAGGAAACGTTTCAAAATGTTCCATTAAAGCAGACTTTAGACGCCATGCATGCAATTTCCATTTCACATTTCCTCGGTTCCTGCCATCTGAATTACAGCTTCGCCGACCCCTGGAATTCACAAGCGCTTGAAAAGCTTCCGTGGAAGCCGTCGAGTGAAGAGTTGCTTCCTGAGTAATGAAGGTACTCTGAGTTGTCCTGCAAATCAAACGAGCTGAGCTACGGCGCTGAAATACCAAAGCAATAGGATGCAGCAGGCATCGCTCCTCTTGCTTTATTGGGCGATTACAGTGAGGATAGAAGCTTGATTTTAAAAAAATGGTATCTAATTTTTCCGTGAATCAAAGAGTTGGGTGCATTCTTCATCAAGATAAGGCTGAACCAAGACATAAAACAACTTATTATGCTATCAAATAATTATTAGAATTTACCATTTTTTCGTTTGAATGGCTAATTCTACCTGTGAATTCTGACTTTGGATTATAAGGTAAAATTTTAGTCGAAACATATAATTTCTTCACAGTTCTACCCAGTAAGTGTTTCACACAAGACTTGAATTCAATTAATTACAGATTTGCTAAAATAAATGCGAGCAACCAAATCTGAAAAAATTATTGTCAAAGACAAAATGAAGATTGTTCCCGTCGTTGGAAATCGCCACGGTCCCTTCAAGATTCTTGTGTTCGTGTCACCAGCCGAAGAATTTAAGGGAACTACGCAGTCCGCTCACGCCACGGTCGTTCGATTGCGTGCCCGAGGCGAACAGGTTTCGCTCGTTTCAGAAGCGCGGCAATGGACTTCGGCGCATTGCCATGGCGCCCGGCAGCCTCGTATGAAAGCTTCTCCGCCCAAATCTACTCCTATGACTTTTCCAAAATCCTGTTTTTTCTATAAGATTTTTTCCAGCTGCGTCTAATGCACATTCATGATAGACGAACACGGATTATGTTTATTGCTATGGTTCACAAATTCCTTGAGTTAGGAATGGTGAAGCGCAACTGCACTCCTATCGTTAGCGGTAAAAATAATTTTTTTTTGTGACCTCACGAATATTTGTCATTTTGAAGCGTGTGATGTAAGTTTGTGCCCTAACACGGCTGTGCAGGTACTCCGTGAAGCACGTGTACACGGCCGTGTGATGTAAGTGTTCTAACACGTCTGTGCAGGTACTCCGTGAAGCGCGTGTACACGACCGTGTGATGTAAGTGTTCTAACACGTCTGTGCAGGTACTCCGTGAAGTGCGTGTACACGACCGTGTGATGTAAGTGTTCTAACACGGCTGTGCAGGTACTCCGTGAAGCACGTGTACACGGCCGTGCCACCCACTCACTGGCCCGTGACCGTGTCCGTGGTCACGTACGCTAACCAGGTGCACATCAGCTGCACGGTGCGCCGCGACGTCTTCAGGTGCACTGCCCTCGCCAAGTCCATTCTCAAGTACACAGAGCGGCAGGTTAGTGGAAACTCCTGTGTTTAATGTATATTTAAACAATTCAAATTCACAGGATTTGCTTGCTTAAGGTGGAATGTTGCATGATTTAATTATGTTGGAGTGTGTCGTCTCCCTATAAGTCCGTTTAAATATTTGAAAACTATGCGCGCGGGCAGTTTCTTCAATGCTAATTTTTGTAAGTGATCGCTCTGAGATGAAATCAAACCGTACATCCTTTTCTTAATCATTCATAAATAATTAAGAATTTAGAGTTTAGTAAAATGTCTGAATAATTCTGAATGGGATATAAATTTAAAAATGAAACGGCTGTTATTTAATGTAAGAAAAAGTCTCTTCATGTTATTAATTCAGTCAATCTTAATCTTAGATTTATGGACCTCACCCAGACCTGAGTATCAACAGCCTCAAGTCGACATGTGTCCCTTGTCGCGCTGCAGCAGCATTAACAACCTGTAGTGTCATCGTCTGAGCTCAATCAGAACCTGACCTCAGATGTCACTCGTGTTTATTCGGGTGTCGGAGGCTCTCAGTTCGCTGCCTCCTATAATAACTTGATTACTCATGTGATAACACTCCTAGACGTTACAATCTCTGGGCTCCATCTTGTTCGAAGACCACGAATACTTTAAATTGATCTTTTATTATATAGTTTCGATAATTTGACTAAATAATTTTGATTGGACAGTGATTTATAGAACAGTTTCAATGCTCGGTCTAGCGCACCATTACATGTCAAAGATTTGTTTTCTTCATGAATTCGTGAAAGGCTCACGAATTAAATCATTATTGTTATCATTATGTATTATTGCATGGTAAGCGAATTTTCTGGGCAGTAAATTTTTAGCTTATGTACAACACGTTCTTGGCTCCCCAAATCAATGACGAATTATTCAAAACTACGACAATCGATGTAATAAATCACCTCGTATTGTTTGATATGCCGTGATTTAATAGGCTCCTGCATGCATTCAAGTATTTAAATATTATCTCCCGTAACTCCAGCGTGTATTGCTTTGAATTTGTTTTCAGAGGTCGCGATTTGTCTAAGAGTACAGAATATATTATTTCTCTAGCTTTGGCCAATTATTGTGCGACGTCGTTTGAAAAAATTTGATGTCACCCTTTGAGCTTCAGAAAACTAGTGAATTTAGTTCTCTTGAATTGACGATTCAAACAAAACAAATATCAGGTTCTAGTAGTTATGAACATGAATCTTCTGCATTTTCTAATCATCAGTCGGACAGCAAGGTTAAGCGATGCCAACTTTCTTCATATTGACCTTGGTTATAACTTCATCATAATATAGCACCAAACAATTCCGCAATATATACATATAATGGAATAAATTTCTTTATTGCCTTACGCGTCCGGAACATCACAAGGTCTGCTGTAGAGTTAACTTTTAACACCTGCACTGTGGCTCAGGCGGTCTCGTTTATTCCCACGGAAAAGATCTTATCCGACTTGAGTAATAAATTCCTTGCCCAGTTTAAGCGGCAGAAACTCGCACGGAAAAACTGTGTTTTGTCGTCTTCCTTTTCCATGCTTTGCATTTACTATTTAATTTCCATCTAAAGTTGCTCTTTTTGTGTCCACAAAACTTTTGTGTTTCCCCATTGCAAAGTTTGTATATATTTAATAATCATTTTACTTGCAGTGACTGTAAAATATTTACCGATACGACACACTGAAAGGTCATCGCAAAAAAGTGCTAATCTTGAACGATCCTGAGAAAAGCAAACTACCTTTTAAAAAAAATTATTTGAATATTAACGTAAATTATTTATAAATGGTTATAAATCCTATAATTGTTATATTTTTTCAGCATTAACGCTCATATGCCCTACAAGCTAAAATTACATTCAACTCATAATTCCACCATCCTGATCAAAAGCCTTGTTTTATTCATTGAAGGAGAACCGTAATCGTTCGCGCCGCAAGAAATGGCGAAAGAACCCGCAGCAATTGTCGGGAAATTCGGTTTAGTGCGCCGGTGCAGCGGCGCTTCATTGCGTGGTTTGAACTCGAGTAAAGCCCTGTTATGGAGGAATGCATTAGAAGTGCGGCGGGTAATTGGAATGTAAGAGCACTGAGGTTCTTTTAATGGAGTCTTGAGATGGCCTTCAAGAAGACATTGAATTGTTAAAGGCACGATAAAGATCGACCATGTGAGCGGTCGCCTAGGCATCCAGGTGAGCTGCTCGCGCCAGCCTCGCTGGTGACGGCAGCTTTAACGCTGCTGCTGTTGCTGCCGCAGCTGTAGCTGCTGTTGCTGCTGCTGTTGCTGCTGCTGTTGTTGCTGCCGCAGCTGTAGCTGCTTTTGTTGCTGCAGCTGCCACTGCAGCAACTGATAGAGCTGTTACAAAGTCAAGCTGTTATATTGCTGCAGCAGAAATTTCAGATATCGTAGTGCGTTGTTATGTTCGAGCTGAAAACTTCAGAAAAAGTCAGCAAAAAATATTGGAATTCAGCGCTTGATCTTAATTTTAATGCCCAAACATATTTAATCACTGAATTACGAGTTGAAACTTAATCTCAACTTCACTTCGACTAAACAATTTATAGTCCGCAAATGTTTAAGATTGATTAATTACGCTGTACAAGCAACATCACTAATTTTTCAAAAATGGAGATCGAAATCACTCGTACAGTTTCACTTGTTTTATTTTCAGTCGATTTCTGGTTCTGTTAATTGCTGCGGGATGCAAGAATTCACCGGCGACCGGTCGTTTGTTCTGCTGCAAGCCGTGCAGCGGGCATCATTTGTCCTGATTTACTGATGAAAAGCTTCTGCCAGCGAGGCTCGTTCTCTGCCCTACGGAAATTTCAGAATTTCCAGCGATCTAAACAGACCTGGAATTAGGGCCATGGCTTCTCCTAAAGTCATGGTATCTTTCTTAGTTTAATCTTTCCTGAAGGACGTTTGTTGAAAATATTCTGCACAACATTGTTCTTTATTAAAAACATGGTAAATAATACGAGAAAAAAGATTTTTCAAATGTGAAGAACCATCAAGAAAAGATTTCTTTACTGCATGCCTGATCGAATAATGAATATTTCTTAGCCTGATGTACAAAAATGCAGCGAGGACATTGGTACCAAATTGTCAAAAAATTTTGGCTTGGCGTCTAAATACTTTCCAGTTATTTTTTATAGTGAGGTTTGAAACGATTGTTTCACAGCCGAAATATAAAGTTACATTACGATTACACTGATTCACTTACGTCAACTAGATGGAATTTCTTGCCATGAAATTCAATTGTCCAAATTTTCGTAGAACTCCCAGCAAATTTATTTTATTCATAGAAAATTTTTCATTATAATTTTTATTGTGACCGAGTGACTGACGGCGCGCAATTCGAGCTAAAGTTGAAATTTTACGATAACTCTTTCCTCCCTGAGGAAAGTTATTATGAATTCACCATAAATGTGTAGAATTATAAAAGAACATTACCTTAAATATGCGCTGTTGTAAAAGTACCTCATCATGAAAGTGTTCAGTTATATGAGTACTTCTCCATATGTATTTGCATAGTTGTACATGTGCATGTACTTCACCATAAATATGTAGAGTTATACAAGTATATTTCACTTTATTTGTACTGTTATTCATTGGTTCTATGTGTAAATCTGGCAGTTTAACATTAATCACAATGCGTTTACTTTCTTACTCAATGCTATTATACTCAATGCGATCAATCATCATGCTTTTTACTTTCTTACTCAATGCGATTAATTCTTTCAAACTTTCTGATGGAGTCAGGAACGAACAATGAAAGCCATTCCCGCCGGCTAGTATCTATATTTCTTTATGAATGCAATAAAGTTTTGAAGTTAGATTATTTTTAATGGCCTTGTGAAAACAATTGTGTTAAAAATAATACCTTGGCTACAATCGAAGTTAAAAGATAAAATTTGGGGTCCAGAGAATTTCTACGAAATAAACAATTTCACGTTTTACCTGCTATCTTAACTGTGTCGATCGAAAATAAAAAGAAATTATTTTCTAATGAAATTCAATATTTTCATGTGTGAATCAAAATTTGCACAAAGTGATCGATTTTCATATGGGCTTACAATTTTCGTATGAGAGCGAGATTTTACAGGAAATTTCGTTTTTTTATGTAGTTCGAACTTCGCACGAAAGTCTTTGTTCTTGATTTTCGCAAGGAGCATATATTTTACAAGGGAGCCCAATTTTCTCACGTAAGCTCGACTTTCACACGAAAGCACAATTTTCATACGAAAACACAATTTTCGCATGAAGCTAAATTTTCATACGGAAGCACAATTTTCATACGAAAGCTCAATTTTCATACGAAAGCACAATTTTCATGCGAAAGCTCAATTTTCATACGAAAGCACAATTTTCATACGAAAGCTCAATTTTCATACGAAAGCACAATTTTCATGCGAAAGCTCAATTTTCATACGAAAGCTCATTTTTAATACGAAAGCTCAATTTTCATACGAAAGCTCAATATTCATACATAAGCTCAATTTTCACAGAGACACTCAATTTTCACGGGAAAGCTTCATTTTTAAAAGTAAGCTCCATTTTCACAAGGAAGCTCAATTATCATATGAAAGTTCTACATCCGCAAGAAAGGTCGATTTTCGTAATAAACCACAATTTTCTTATGAAAGAGCGATTCCCGCAAAAAAGCTAAATTTTCACAAGAAAGTTCGATTATAACAAGGAATCTCGATTTCCAAAGGGAAGCTCGATCTTCACATTACAGCTTGATTACCAAAAGAAAGCTCGATTTTCACAGGAAAAATCCATTTGCACAAGAAAGTTAAATTTCCATAAGAAAGATCGATTTTCACAAGAAATCTCGATTTTCAAAATAGGTTATATTTGTGCAATAAATCTCGATTTCTACAAGAAAGCTCGTTTATCACAACATATCTCGATTTGCACAATAAAGAGTGATTTTCACAAGAAATTTCAATTTTTCACAAAAAAACTCGATTTTCACACGGTTTCCATCAACAGATTCCGGACGCCAATGAGTGTCTCTGAAGCTCTCGCGGTATTCCCATCCACGGAATTCTTCGTTGAGGATCCTAAACGGTATTCCAGCTACCAGTAAACGGAGGATATTCGACCCACCGTATCTCGCCCCCAACTTTCATTTGGACTGTAAAGCCATGTTTTCACCGAGCTCTGACTTAACGACCAAATTTGTTCTGTCGATGCTGCGAAACAGCGAAGTACAGTAAATTTAGTGCAACCACAATAATGTTAGCTTACAGCAGTTGTCTTCACAAACACGAATTATGAGTCTTACAAAAAGATGTAGCATGAGGTTTTAAAATAGAGTGGTTGAGAAAATAGAAATAAATGAACAAGGAATTGACAATTGGTGGCAAAACCATTGGAAATAAACGAGAGACCAGAGGTACAATAAATTGCCTTTCAAGTCTGCTCAAAATCCATGGCGTTTGTTTCATTACACTTCTCTAGTTATTACGTTCAAGTTCCTTGTTGAGACCTAAATGCGCATGCCTAGTAAAACCATTTTTAGTTATTGAAGACAAAATTTTAAATTATCAATCAAATTTATTCAAGTGCGTCATTGAAAAACATGTAAATACAGTCGTAAACTAGAGGCATAAATTCATTTTCGAGGGGCCATAATACATATAAGAAATGAGTGTTCGTCGTAGCACCAGGCTGGCTGGCACTCCAGGCATAAGCTTTTGTTCGAACATTAAGAAGAAACCCATATCGTATGCGGCGGAGGCCATCGCTGCCAGGGCCTCGAGCTTTGCATGCAGAATTCCCTTCGATAATCTGCGCAATATTTTTGGGAGCGCCACATGGTCATCGGCTGCTCCGGAATGAACGATTGAATCTCTTACCTCTCAAGTGGATCGGCAATTTTATAAGCCAAGTTCTCACTTATACCTAATTTTATTTCACGTGTAGCAGAGAGTTAGGCCTCCTTCAACCCGCCCCACAGTTGTGTGGACATCATCAATTTTGCTCGCGGCTACTCATTTTGGTAGTTTTTTCCGCTGCAGTGGGAGGCAAAAATAACGGCGTGACAGCTTCCCCTTTAGTAACTGACCACCTGCGTGCAGCTGGAGCAGCTTCCTCTTTAGTAACTGACCACCTGCGTGCAGCTGGAGCAGCTTCCTCTTTAGTAACTGACCACCTGCGTGCAGCTGGAGCAGCTTCCTCTTTAGTAACTGACCACCTGCGTGCAGCTGGAGCAGCTTCCTCTTTAGTAACTGACCACCTGCGTGCAGCTGGAGCAGCTTCCTCTTTAGTAACTGACCACCTGCGTGCAGCTGGAGCAGCTTCCTCTTTAGTAACTGACCACCTGCGTGCAGCTGGAGCAGCTTCCTCTTTAGTAACTGACCACCTGCGTGCAGCTGGAGCAGCTTCCTCTTTAGTAACTGACCACCTGCGTGCAGCTGGAGCANCAGCGAGCTGTGCCTTATCAGGATACCTCAGGACGGTCGGGCCGTAGGGGACGGCAGTGAGCTGTGCCTTATCAGGATACTTTAGGACGGCCGGGCCGTAGAGGACGGCAGAGAAAATAAAGAAATTGAAGTTTTTTTCAAGAAAGAAATTTCTTCAATAAAGAAATTAAAGTTTTTTTCAGAAGTTTATAAATATATTCGTAAAATAAGCCTGCGAATTGATTTGATTTTAAAGGAGACATTGGCGTAAATCAACTTAATTCGCTGGTTGTGAGATGTCAGAAAACTTTTGGAATGATCATTACTTGAATTATAAAATAACATTTATAGATCGCAACTCAAATTTCATATGGGTATAAATGGCAAAAACTATTGGTATAAATACAATTCAATCTTGATCGTATTTAAATTTTTTCCCGGAAAAAAATAAAAATGTTTCCACTTGCCCAAATGATTTTCCGGCCGGCAAGGTTTTATTTAGGATGACATACGCCCGTTCTCATCGAAGCAGCTGCATTTGTCCAGCTCGTATTTTACAGTCTGGGCAGAGCATCAATTTCTTGGCTGTCATTGACACGCCTCCTGGGGCTACAGGTCACATTTCCGCCTCACGATGCAAGATTTCTTCTTCGCCGGCTTCACACCCTCACTTCAACTAAATCATCTTCTGCTGGAATCTGACACTAAAAAACAATTTAATTTGTAAAAATTTAGCATGTATCCTATCATGTCACTTTAGAGAAAATAAAAACACCTGTTTACGGTCCGTCTTGTAATTTTTATGGGCGCATTTTAAAAATTTAGGTCATGCTATCCATTTAAAAGTTCATGAGTATTTCTCTGCAGTAATAATATTGCGCCGTTGGCATTGAATCCGAAATTGAGGTTAAATACCAACTTCAATTTAGAGCGTAACAGTTCCCTACCTTATTATCTTTTTAAGAGTAGTTTCTTCCACTTCAAATCGTCAATTTTGTATTTTTCCAAATAGTCATATAATTTGAAAAAATTTGAATTTGCTCTTCAGGGCAATAAAATATTATTGCATTAATGTATTATCCAATTACAGAAACTCAATGCACATTATTGTTTATTGTTGTCACACTGCCCAAGCACGGCAGTTCAAAATGCGCTCCTGAATTACTGTATGCCTTTTTACAGCTGCAAGCAAAACTTTCGGCCGTCCAGCACGAGCTTCACGCTGTGACGGTTGAGTTCGAGCAGATCGACAAAAACCCCGCAAAGGTGACATATTGGCCGCCTCAAAGAATAGTTACTCTTGTCCTTTTGTTATTCTGGGCAGGTTTTTGGTGTATCACTCATACATGCAGTGAACGCATGCAACGGAGCACGCACATATCCGCTGCTATTCAGTAAAATAACGATAAAAAGAGCGAGCTAGCCTTGGATGTGACTAGGTGTCCTGATAAAGAACTGTAGCGTTAATCCAGTTCAAAGTTCATATGCCATTCAACAAACTTGGCATATTTACATGTCTTTATGACATATCCGTTCCTATATAAATTATGTAGATTATATTTTGTAGAGCATCGCCTATTCTTATATTTGCGCGGATATTTAGTTTCGTCCGTTATTTATGCTGCTGTTAGTCGCAAAATGTTATTAAAAGCAATACAAGCAATGTCTTCTTCATGAATAGATTTCGCCTTTGTCAAAACGACCATAATTTATTAATTTACATAAAGAATTCGACAACTAATTGCCAACCATTTATGACATTTTTCGATTTATGAAAATTTTGCTTTATAATATTAAAAATGAGTTCTTTACATTGAAACAATTCATCGCTATTCATTGAACTTAAAGTTAGGATAGTTAAGCCAGCTGAGATACCTTGGCGTTTAAAATAGACTTCACACTGTAATAAATTTTACGCTTGAAAGATTTTACAATTGAGATAGATTTGGGAGTTGAACTCAATATTGCGAATGAAAGAGCGATTCTTTCCTTTTGTTTTGGTTTTGAAAACTGATAAAATACATTTGTGATAGATTGGGTGTTATTTAATAAATTTTGTAAGTTGAGTGAGCAATTCGAGGTCTGAGTAACGTCTCGACTCAGGCGTCTGTGGCTGAAGGAGCGGCGACAGGCGTGTCAGGGGGCCCTGCCCCTCGGGAGGAGCTAGCGACGCGCGTGCAGCTGCTGAAAGAGGAGTTCACGGTGCTGCTGTCGGAGATCCGACGGCGGCGCAGCGTTGGTGATGACGCCACAACGGGCGGTCTGCAGGTGCCGTACTAAACCTACAGAATTTTTTAATACATATATTAGCTGATTTTTAATTATATTTATTTTTACTGCGTTGCTTTCATTTGCTCTATCATTCTTTCCGTCCATGAGCCAGGGGCGGATTTCGTGGAGTTTTGTTTTGCTGTTGTTGTTGTTGCACGCTATTGTTTATTGGAACATTTGATCACTATGTTATGCTTAATAATGCTATATTGTTTGATGGTTAGTTTGAGGAATAATGTTGAAAAAATTTAACGGCAATACTCATGCGAATCAAAAGCGAAATATATCCATGAGTACCAGCATTGATTCTCATTTGAGATTTCGGTCATTGAAACAGGGGCAAAATCCTACATTCATATTCGTATTTTGTTGAAGAGGCTTGAATTGGGGTTTTAACCTGTTTTACTTTTGGGTGTAATTTTTCGTCATAAACCCACATCTGTTTGAATAAGTCACATGGCATTCAACCTGTCATTATCAGATATATTTTTATTTGTATCCAGATAAATAAATACAAAATATGTACATTACTGTTTATATATTTCAAAGTTATGGTTCAGTTTTTGATTTTAGAAATCTTTATGATGGTAATGTCGACAAACTATTTATATTATCAAGAAGACGTACTTTAACTTGTCCCTCTTAACCTGTCTTTAATGTCCCTCTTGTCAGGTTTCCGAAGACGGAGAATTGCGGAGATTTCGCAAGCGATCGTTGACGAACGCATCGGCAAAGATGTCGGTCTCTGCGGAGACCTCGTGCACCGCTCGTCCTTTAACAGCACCAAATTCCACCTCCAACGCCCCGGGGTCATCATCCAGCACCGGCATGAGAGATGAAACTATATTTAATGTATCACTGCAACCGTCTTCTCTAACATCGAAAACAAGTGCAATATCGTGCGATGTTGTTGTGAATCCAAATTCAATTGTTAAATCGACATTATTGACTTCAAATGAGCCTTTATGCTCTTCCGAGGCCAGCGCTGATGATGCAGGGGCTCATCAACTCTGCAATAACATTTCTTCACTCGACAGGAAAAATCCTAGCGCTAAACATGAGACAGGCAATAGCTGTGATAATCAAATTTTTTCCCAAATTTTACAAACCTCTAATTCCTGTAAGCCTTCGTATTCGTCCGGTATAGTGGGAGGTATTCTAAAAACTCCGGTGCTGGATCGCGAATCAAGAGATAGATTATCTAGTCTCTGTCATGCGTCCGGCAAAACGAATTTATCAACTTCAGGGTGCGCTTCTAGCTCTACTTCGATCGTGACTTGGAGAGATCAGGCCGTGAACGGAAAGTGCTCATCGTTAATTCTTGAGAATAATTCCCCTGAATTTAGATTGAATAATAATTCGGCACTGACCGGTGCGCGCACTGCACCACACTCTCTAGCCAACTCTTCTGCATCACTTGCAAATTCAGAGCAACAGGAACAGGGTGACGCCCCGGCCGAGCGTTGCAACAGCACTGGCAAGAGACCGACCCAGCCAAATTTGAGCCAAGAACCGAACAGTAACCTGCAGCGGCCCAAGTCCCAAGGCAATTTATTCCAGCAGGTTAATTTGGCCAACTCGAGCTGCGTGCTCCATCCTATAGCTTGCGTGCCAACCTCCTCCAGCAACAGCACTTCCGTCATATCGAAGGCCATGCAGCGACCGGCCTCCGTCCCGCCAAGGACCATTCATCCTTCCTTGCGCTCCCACTTCGCAATCGAGAAGTCGCACGGAATACAGCCAAGCAGTGCCGTTGTACGGCCATCAGTGCCTGCCCACAAGAAAGTCTCAACTCAACAATACGAGCAAAAATATCCACAACAACCACCACATCAGCCACCTCATCAGCCATCACTTCAACCACAACCATCACATCACCAGCGTCAGCCACTTCAGACACGTCAGCCAATTACTACACCGCTTCTCAGTAGACGGGAAGTCTCGAAGCAGAGTTACCAGCGACTCAACGAACAACCAAAGATGAAATCTCCTTCGAAAAAATTTGAAACAGATATCATGTGACCAGGGATTTCCTTTTATGATGAAGTCTTCACAATGCTACGTAGTGCAGTTTATGATGAAGAAGATTTAAAATGTAAATTTTGGTCAATATAATAAACTCATAAAAAATTAAAATGTCAATCAAGAAATTTAAAATACATTCCATCTCAAACCATTCCAGCTATGATTATAATTTTATAAATGTTGAGGTATTTATCAGTCAGTGTAGAATAAGTGAATAACAAATTTGTTTAGTGATAAGAATACGAGTTTGAATGCCAGATGTTATGCACCGACATGCGCTGAAGAAAGTATGTAAGTGGGCTATATAGACGCACCGGGTGAAATTTAATAATGCATTTAAACTCCTTTGCAAGAATTATCGTTGACCATTCAAGCATATAGACTCGACATTGAATCGTTCGTGATCTAACGAAGAATTTAGTTATATCACATATTTAGTTATCATCAATCACATACTTTTATTACAGTTTTAATTAATTTACTGGTAATTGTGATCAAAAATTACATTCTAGCAGACGTCTTCAGCCGATCGAGGCTCAATAAATCATTTACAATGGAACCTAAATTTCTTATTACTTTTATGAATTCATTCTAAAAATATTTTATTAATCTCCGTTAAATTAATTATAACATTTTCAACGTGAATTTTGAGGAAATCGTTGGAAAAACTGACGCAAAATGAAATGAAGATTAGGTATGAAACTAAACTCACAGCGTTGGGCGCGAAAAAAGTTTCATTTTACAATAATTATTTTACTGTTATGAGACATTTTTTAGAAATATCTTTTGAATCTTCACCATAAACGTAAGTTTTAGCATTACAGTAAATTTTAATGTTACAGTTTCGATGGGAGTGATAGGAAATTGGAGCTTTAAAATTGCGGTGTTTTTGTTATCAATTTTTCATCTCATGAATAATTCTATGTATACCGTCATTCATAGTCCAGAGGATGCCGGTATTCATACTACGCAGGATGCCGGTATTCATGCTAAGACGAAATGAGTCGGAATGTCATGCGATACCAAAGTGTTAAAACATCCCCAGCATCGAGATGGTGATGGTGTGATATTATTTAATATTAATGAATATAATATGTCGGTATCTGTGTATCATGTTACGCGTGATTACCTGTTGTGCTACAAAACATAATTATTGCTCTCTACGCTATATCATGAGTGCACAGTTCGAACATGTACATAATGTGAGGGTATACTTGCTCATGCTAATTAAATAAATGCCTACTGTAATATAAATTTGTATCATTACATAGTACCAAATATTCATCAATATAAGTTAATGTAAGTTGTTCTAATCATTTAGAAATGATCCACGCGATAAATTAACAAATTCCTTGCACGTTTTATATTGCTAAAGTCATTATAGAAATAAATTGGCACGAGTTGCTTAGTATATATAATATGCCAATAAAAATTATTTATTGATAAAAATATAATATTTATTATTCAAGAAAATGAGATCGAATAAAACGACTACTGGTATGTTAGTTTTATCGAAAGGAGGTTAGTTCCTTAGTTGAAAAATCTCTACCGTCATTAATTTAATGCTTCAGAGACAAGCTCATGCTTGATCCACAGAAAAATACACCTTGATTCGTTTAGATAATAAAATAGTGTGTGTCACCTCATGTCTGTGCAATTTGTTCAGAACTGGTGTTTTTCATGAAAAAAGCATTCAAGGGATTTATCTATGAAGTTACTGCGATAAATTCTCCGTTCTAAGAACTGATGACGACCATTTTATTAGAAACAAGTGCTGCTCGCCGATAAGGACTTGCTTCTAACGCCCTTAGTGGCAGCGTTCACACTTCGTGTGCAGCGCACGAATCGTTATCTTGCTGGGAAATTGAACACGTCTTGAACGTACGTCTTTAGAAAGCATATTTATTGAATACACATTACTAAGAAGTACGTCGCTAGAACACAAGTCAGCAGGACACACGTCTCTAAAATGCATGTCCCTAGAACTAACATACCTTGAACGAACTTTTCTTTAACTTAACGTCACCAGAACGAACGTCACTAGACTTCCGATGCTGGTTTATACGTACCCAGAACAAACGTCTCCATCACGAAGGTCTCTATAACGAACGTCCCTAGAACGAAAGTCTGTGGAACGAAAGTCTCTTGAACGAACGTTTCTTGAACACACTTCACCAGAACGAACGTCTCTATAACACAGTAGTTTAAACACACGTTCTGGTCTCAGCCCTGAATTTTTTCATTCATTGTCTTGCGATAGTACATTGAATGGAAATAATTTGTACGCTTCTGACTACAGAATATGTTGAAATATAATTGGCAGATTTAAACATAGCTTAATTGATTGGCAGCTGATAAAAAATTTATTTTTAACATTTTGTTTGACTGAATTCACTCATCCAGTAAGTTGCCTACGTGAGCAGCAAGCTTATTTCAGAAGCAGTAAGCTCAACTCTGCCAGCAAAGTCTTATCAAGATTAGATTTCTTATCTGATCGACTTGGTCTTCTTATGTGCATTAATTATTAAATCTCATGTTAACCTTAAAAAGATTTCGTATTGAAGATACAATGCAGTTCATTGGAGAAAGGGACTACTGCACATGATCATCTTTATCCACCACAGATTGCTGACCGTGAACAGCAATTGTCACCTTGCCAACGGCAATGGTTAGACGCGTTCGCTGAAAGCAAAAATCAGTTCCAACAGGAAGGATAAAGTTGAATTAACATAAAAGCTATGATAATGTGTCATATTACATTAAAAAGTTAATAAATATCGTAAATAGGAATTACCTAATCAGTTGCAAGTTCCAAAATCTGTTTCTAAAAGCGACTCACTCTTTATATTATTTCGGAAAAAAATTCAGGCATACTTTTGGAAATAAAAATATTTGACGAAAAAACCTACACTCATTGCTATGTCGGAATACGGACAACAAATGCTTATTCATCTTTCATATTAAGTTTTAAAGACATTGTGACGAAAGGCAGCCCTGTGAGTGGAGGCGAGACTTGGTGCATTAATTTAGGTAAAAATTTCCGATGATTTGCGTAATCTAATTTGAAAATTAACAAGAATCTAAAAACCGAAATCACTCTAGAAATAATTTTCAATTATCAAATGCACAATCCTTTACGTCTCTCTTCTAAAATGCTTTCAAAGAGCTATTTCCCTGGAACAGTTTCTATGGGCATTGCACCTATTACATAGGTATATATGCAAGATTATTTATTTTGAAGTCGAAGATATGGAAAAATCCACTACAAGTTCTAAAAATGTTTGAAATGTCTTATCAAAATCAAATGACTCTGGTGTGTGTTTCAGGGATTATTTCAAACTCCGTATTGTTTTCTCTATAAACTTCTTGCCACGTATGAAGTCATAAAAATTCTTAAGCAATTATTAATTACTTTATGAATTTTTAAAAGTTCCTTTCGTTAATTTCTCGCTCAATGATCTCAATTGGTCGCTCCCGTAGAGCGCGTAAAGTTGATAATTTCGTCGAATTTCACACGGCTGCATGTCTCCCCATCCATGTCTCACACGGCTGCGTGTCATTTCATGCGCGTTAAACACGGCTGCATGTCTCCTCATCCATGTCTCACACGGCTGCGTGTCATTTCTTACACGTTCCACACGGCTGCCTGTTTCCTCATCCATGTCTCACACGGCTGCGTGTCATTTCTTACACGTTCCACACGGCTGCATGTCTCCTCATCCATGTCTCACACGGCTGGGCTCAACAGCATGAACTGTATCTTAAAACTGCATTTATACGTCTCAATAATGTGAGCTGTAATTTAAACTGCATTAATAAGCTGCAACAGCGAGAAATATGACTTAAAACATTATTTTCAAATCTCAGTGGCATCAAATGAAATTGTATACTGTATTAATACGTCTCTGCAGGTTTTTTAATTCCATCTCAATTCCATTAAATTCCATTTACGGGGGAACTCCCGCGGGGCAGGAGTTCCCGAGCCTTGCTTTTGATAATAAATGTCGTGATAAAAAAAGAGATAATATGTTGTCGATGCTGGGCATCGAAGTGATGGCGTGATCGATGTCGATACTTGGCAACGCTGAGATGACTTAATCGAGTGGAATCAATGCCTATATGCAGGTAGAGCTGAGACTCATTCAATTTCAATTGTGATATGGGAAAATTAGCTTTTTAATTAATCCGACAATGTATACATTTCTTGAGTTGATCCATTTCTATGGAGAAGAGGTCCATTTCACGTCAAGCCTCTTGCCAGACATTGGTCTTTCAAACCAGGGCAGTTGAAGCTTTGCCTGCAGTTGAACAACGTGCAACAATCTTGGAGGTTTTCATCTACCCAATTTATACTGAGGTTTTACTGGATTGACAGTAACGTACTGGATTGACAGTATGCATCCATTTCCTGTCTCAAGGTTCCAGGGCTTCAAAGCGAGGAACTTCCTGAGTAGATGAAAGCCTCCGAGGAGGTGTGAGACTAGTTTGATAGCGCAGCCCAGGAGCGTATGATAACGCCCGATAAGCAATCTGCGTGTAGCAGCGAGCCCGAGACATACAATAGCGTTTGTACTTATCAGAAAAAAAGAGAGTTGGCAGCATGTTGATCACAGTGGTGGTCAAGTCTTGCAGTTGAGAGCACTGTTGCACATGGCGTCTCGATTCATTTGTTATAATATCACGTCAGAATTTGGCCCGTTGTCTTAGTGACGATGGCTGTGAAATATTTAAATAGAGTACGACTTGTGACACTTTTGGATGCTAGTAAGTGGGCCTGACATCCATGGAAGTGAAGTGTTCCACATTAGTTCAGCACGAGCGTCATGCGCTGCAAGCGTGCTGGCGAAGTGAGAAACCATGCCACCGATATGCGGGAGGGAAGCATGGCGTTTATAACGAGTTTCTCAAACATATATTGCTGAGCTCATAGATATATAGTTCATCAATTAAATAAAATAATTTCAGTACAAATATAATATTACAATAAAATCAGTGTATTTTCATCGAGAGTTAATACGCAAAAAACGTAAGCTCAACTATTTTCGCTTTCCTTTGGCTACAATGTTAACTTTCCAAGACCAAGGCAAGCAAATGTCACCTGACTTGAAGAATCCTTCTGAGTAAATGCTTCAGGCCAGACGAAGGGTCAAACATTGCCGTAAAAAACTTGAGTGAAGATTTTAGTATATAGCAAATCAGATTCATGACAGATAAATATAATTGACTACAAGTGAAATGTTTGAATAGGAAAATTGAATAGGACAGTCAACGCTCCATGATCCACATGATTTTTGATATATTTTCAAATGATCTTTGATGGCGGAAAAATGTGACATAAGATCCATTGTAGAATAATATTGCAGCAATAACAATAGTTACAACAACAATAATGAAATAATATTATCGATAATAGGGCAATTAGTATCGGACTTCAACTATAGCACGTTAAGAACAGAATATATTCCCAATTTAACTATGTTAAGATAAGATTTGCACTGAAATCTTTTTGATAAATAGCATCCCTGATCTTTCCCTCAGATTTTCCGTCCAAAAATCAACAGATTTTTTATCCGAATTTTTTTTATTTCATTCATTAATAAATTAGTATTTCTTCAATTGCATATCTGAATTAAATGAACAAATAATTTTCTCAGTTGAGTTATGGAAGTCTGTTCAAAAAAATAAAACAGACATAATCATTCCAGTAGTATAAACTTCATCGCAGGGCTACCTAAGACGAGGGTTCTTGCAAATTAGTTGTAAATTGTAAATTATTGTGCTTGTGGAACAATCGAAAAACAATGGCGGAATCAATATCTGTGATAGGAGGAGGTCATCCTGTTAGAAGAGACGAAAATAAAAAGAATAATCGGCTGTTCGTTGGTTCTTTGGACCGGACCAAGACAGACGTCGATGTTTCTAGAGCCATGAAAGAACTGGTCGATGGAGTCATCAGTGTCATCATGTATCCTTCGCCGCAAGAAAAAACACAAAACAGAGGCTACGCTTTCGTCGAATTCGACAGCCATGAGAACGCCGTGAAGGCTCGTGAATACCTCAGGAACAATCCTCCGAAATTGTGGGGGGTGTCTCAAATAAAAGTCGATTGGGCTGAGCCTGAAAACGAAGTGGACGCCGAAACCATGAGCAAGGTCAGTGTGTTCAGTAAATGACAAGTTCTGTACCCGGCTGACGTGGCAGATGAATTTGTGCAAATTTTAAATGCATTCCATTAAAAATCGTATGCAATATATTTATGCTAGGTGAACAATGCTCGAAAAGAAATCGCATTGCCCGGCCAATGTTCTCATATGAAATAATCGAACACGTTCAGATTGACAAATTTTTCTACTTTGGTACTGTAAAACAAGATAAATTTATATTCATTCACTTTCATAAATCATTTCGGGATAATATCATCAGTCTGTTATTATGCTTCAAAGTTTAATCTTCGAGCCACCAAGTTGATCGTTGAACTTTCAATTGTTTTCAATCATATAGGCAAGCGGCAGGATCGATAAGATCCGCGGTAATCCTTGCAGCATAAATTGAATAAATTTTGGTTTATTTTCGTGTGGGAAACTTTATTTTCTGTGATGCGATAAGTACATTTACTAAACATTTAATCAATTTCAGTTCTTGTAAATCCATATCTAGAGAAAGAGTATTTTAAAATGATTTCGATAAGAATATAATAGTGCATACAACTGTGTCAAACAAAACATATGCAAGAGAGGAATACATTCTGTTCATAATTAATGTATTCTTAATTCAAGGATTAAGTATCCTTTAGATTATTTGAATAATACACAAGTTAATTGAGTTCAGTTTCTTGGCTCTTCCGTATGGTTTATTCTCATGGTATGTATATATAACTTAGAGCAACTCCCACGCAAGAATTGTACGTCACCAGACTGGTGACGTAACGTTGTTTTAAGACATGCTACAGCATGTAGTTACTTCGTAGATAATCTTGGCTCAATTATTTAGTATTTACATCGAGAGACCTTGTAATAATTGAATATAATTTAAGCTGAAATTTAGAGATGGCATTCTGTGAGTTATGATTTTCAGTATAAGAAAACCACTTCGTGTCATATGCAGCAAACATTTAATTAAAAATATAGCAAATGTGGCGTTCCGGAAGCTTGAAATATGTCAAATTAAATCTGCCGTTTGCCGGCTTCAGTTTGATTTTAGACGCTGTTTTATAGGGAGCACGGCATAAAGCTGCATGCGATAGCGTCTCATATCAGGACGCGATATCTGCGATAAAGACAGAGTGTTCTTGGCTTGTTGCAGCCAACGTGTCAATATTCAAACGTATCGCCATGTTCTACAATAGATCGATAATCAGTGCGCAGAAAAAGCAGCAAGCGTTTTCTTAAGGTTGACATCGCAATTTAATAACTGCAAGTTAGACAATCTGGCATGCATGTGATGCTTCATAAATATCAAATTCATGTTACATTGCTCAAAATACGGTGGTGCGGGCTGCTTTTCCCACCAGGTGAAACGGTACCAAGGAAGTATATGACGTAATAAAGAATAAAAAGGTTCCAAGCTGGTACACAGTGAGTCTCTGCTGAGATAAGTTTCGGGAGTAGGAGCCAGATTAATGGACTTTGTGCAGGCGAAATATAATCGCTGTAAAGTAGTTTACTTGCAATTCAAACACCAATATTTGAAATTGAATGTATTTAATTACATAATAGTATTATTTCAAAACGAGTTAAAGTTAAAAAAATATAACTCAGTACTCACTGAAGTGAGTGACAGAGAGCGCATTATATCGTCGCCGAAAACGTGAAGTCACGGACGGACAGACAGGCGGATGGACATGGATGGCGAACAAAATAGCTCCTTTTCCATAAATGAGAAAATGCGCTAAAAACCGTAGATGTGGATTATTCGTCGACAAATAAAAATATAAAATTTCTTCGCCCTGAATGTAACACTCTGCTTCCTCGGGATAAAGTGGAAACTCCAGTGAAGTGTTTCACGGGCATCCCGAACAAAGTGCATGCCCCGGTTCTCCACTCGCCTTCGATATAAAAGTGCAATTGCTACGCTTTAGAGTAGAGTATTCTCAACCATGTTCATGCGAAAATAGCCCAGATAAAATAATTTACTAATGATAATAATAACATTGCAGGTGAAGGTGTTGTTCGTGCGGCAGTTGGCACAGTCAACTTCCGAGGAGAAGTTGAGGAAGGTTTTTGAGAGGTTCGGTGCCCTGGACAGAGTGAAGCGACAACACGACCACGCCTTCATACACTTCAACGAGCGGGAACACGCTGCGGAGGCTCTAAAGCAGACAAACAGTGAGTAATTCTGCTCAGTTCTATTAACTCCTTTTCGTCTTCCGTAGCAAATAACATTTCTTATGAAATAGCGTGTGTTACACATACACAAAAAAATGTAAAGTTCTCAACTACAATGTGGGGGTTATTCTGCGAGACATTCATTTATAAAATAACATAACATAGTGAAGTCGGCGCTGAAGTGTAGGCCTGATATTGAAGTGTAGGCCTGTCGCCGATTCTTTTACTTTTCGTGCCTTATTCACAGAAGATCTAAAATCTTGTCATTTGACCGGATCTTTTCAGGACTGACGATTGTTTGAAATAGCTACTAGACATCCACCGGGCTCGATATGGTGGTAGGCATTTCAAATCTGAACATATTTTTTCCATAGCTATATCTAGTCTGTTCTTGAAAGCGTTCATACTCGGAGCGCCAACGATGTACTCGGGGAGGCTGTTCCACATGTCGGTGATTCGAAGCGAGAATAAATGTTGTAGCGTAAAGAAGTTGCAGCGCAGTTTTTAGTGCATTTTCTTATTTATGAAAAAAAATGCACTATTGTGCTCGCCATGTCCGTCTGTCCGTCCGTCTGTCCGTCCATCCGTCTGTCCGTCCGTCCGTCTATCCGTCAGTCTGTCTGTCCGTCCGTGACTTCACGTTTTCGTCGACGAGAAAATGCGCTCTCTGTCACTCAGTGCAGTGAGTACTGAGTTATATTTTTTTAGTTTATAGTCGTGGCCCCTGTTGTTGGTTCTTGTTTCAAATTCTAGTAATCTTTCGGGGACCTTGTATAAATCATTAGTATACTTGTATGCTTCAAAGAGGTTCCCATGCAGACGTATCCATTTCTTTTCTCACGTTAACTTTCATGTGCTGAAATGAAATGATTTCATTGCTGCGATTCTCTCAATTTTGTTGTTGGTGCGAGCATCCAAATTGTTTTGTGTTAAGCAGAATCTGCGTTTCACATTCAGCTCATAAATCATGTATATGGCAGGCGGGCAGTCATTTCCCCGAACTTGAGCTCTGGCCGTCAAAATTAATCCGTTTACGAGCACATGCAATTTTGTTATACCAAACAAGTTCGATATTAAGAGAGCAGAGATAAACATATGTCCTCGTGTTCCCTTCGATAAGCCAGATTTCGTGAGACATGAGCATGAGTGCATATTTTTCACAATAAATTTTATTATCACCGTTTTTTTAAACAGCACCTAAAATTCATCAGCGTAAACATACTAAATTTTTCTCATCACAATCACTGAGGATCTGCGGATTTGGTTCTTTCTTGTATTAATGTTACAGAAATTATTGTCGTATATTTAATAATTTCATGTGCGAACATTCAATATTCGGACCAGTAATAGATGCGAAAGAACATCAATCTTAGTATAGCTTTTCGTTTTGATTATATGTTCCAAAAAATGTATGACTTTCCTTATTTAAACGTCGATTGATTTTGACTCTGTGATTGGCCTTTTAAATTTAAATGATGGAATGAACATTCTTTGGCTGATCCAGGGTATAATTGTTAAATAAAAGTTATTTTGCAGACACAAAGTTGGACGGAAACGTCATTGAAGTGCAATGGTCGAAGCCAGTCACCCGAGATCAACAGAAGCTGCGCAGAAGAGACAAACCTCAACAAAACTTTCCGATGTTCGCGCATGCATTTTTGAACACAGGGTAACTTACACATGGCGGTTAATATACAATATTATAACTTATGTATGAGAGATTTCATCATATTTTTCATTTTTGCACTGGGCTTTGTACTAGACGTTGTTGCATTTCTGCTTTTGGTTAATGCAGCAGATCAGTCTATAACAATTGGTGGTCAAGAAAAACTATTATTAATAATAAGATATCATTAAAAAGTTCTAAGGCTGACTTGTTTAGTGAATAAATAATTTAGAAGAAAAATATGATCTAAATATTATGGACTAGGATCCATTCAACATTGGCGAGTATAGCTCATTTTTCATATTTTCACACAAATATAAGTGTAATTAATAATTATTTTAGACATCAGAGCAAAAACTTCTTATCACGTAATCGATGTGCCTATATTTGGATCGTATTCATAATACACACAATTACGTTTCGCTCCTAAGTCGGCAATCGTAACCATGCAACTGATATCAAAGTTATTTACAGTGATAACTTAAGGATATTCCCAGGTTTATACGCATTATAAGCATAAAATCCATACAGAACAAGTAACTTGTGTTCGTAAAATAAAGACGTTCTACGTTTCAGACACCTTCAATACCTATCACCACAGCTGCCCACACATTTGCCAGTCATGCAGCCCCACATCGAGGTGAGAACTTCCTTTATTTTACCACAATAATTATGCTTCTTGTCATTTATGCTTCTTGTCATTCATTTAAATTTATGCATTCAAGATAAAAATGTTCTTACAATTTAACAAATTCAAACATTTCATTCAATCAGGTAGACAAATCCTTGTTCATCGCAAGCTTGCATCGTGAAATCTGATATTATTGTTCTATGACATTCTGTAGTATACGTAATATGTATTATTATTTCAAGTTGTTCTTCATCACATCGACAGTTCATTTGTAGTAAAATATGTGGCGAGTTGTGCACCTACCATGTTAATGGAAGCCAAGATTCGGAATTGAGGATAAATTTTCACCCATAAATATTTTCATTCGAAGTGTTCTTTTCGTCTCAACCGGACCTCAAATCTTCAGTCTCACCCTCAGGACTCAAGGATAAATAATTAAAAATGACACAAAAACAACTATTACCAATTATAACACTGCGTTAATTATTTTACTTTCTTATGTCACTTGATGCTCGGCTCGGGCTGGGAAAGTTTACCAATATACAAACGACACCACTCATGGTTGTGTCGATAACTGTACNGACAACTGTACAGAAGACACAGCTCAAGGCTAACGAAATCTTTTCTTATCTTGTGACTCCAATTCGCGGAAATGCCTGGCAATGCATTACCACCACCACACAATTTAGCAGAATTTCCATTAAATTATAGGATGATATTTTTAGTTCTATTACGAGAGATTTGGTTGCAGGATGACTGTAAAACGTTAGTCGAAACACTCTCATTATTTTTCATTTTTTAAAGTAATTAAGAGTTGATTCTTCGTTCATAGGGATTAGCTTGAAGCCGCTACTTTGGCAAACGTCATACACCAAACTTCAATATTTTGGGCAGATCTTATATACTGCATAACTCATATAATTTTTCATAAAATTCATAATATTTTCCATAAACAATTGACTGTGATGTGCCATATATGTAACTATTAAACAAACTAATCTCTCGCTTAGCACCGGTAATACATAGAAGTTCAGCTTTAAAACACACTTGGATTGGACGTATATTTTAAAGCGGATGTATAGTTCTATCTTCTATAACTAGAACATTAATGTCTTACAACATAATAATCAAAAGAATAAGAATAAGCAAAATATATAAGCTCTTTATTCATAAAAATAAGCAAAGATAAATTAACAAAAAATAAATTACAACTTACGACCGACAGGGCCATCCGTTGTACAGCAGCCACATAAGCAACGTGAACTTGTACAGAGGAGAACCCTTGATGCCTGCGGTAAGTAACTCTTTCTCGGACGCCGAGAGTAAAATGCTTCAATAAACTTTCATGAGTTATTGAAATAAATATTTTTGTCGTTGTCGTTGCAAGAAATACTTTTTGTTAATTAACAGAGCTGGAATATACCAAGGAAATTTTTGTGGCTTGCTCTTCACACTTTTAAGAAGTATTTTACCAGTCAGAAACAGAACGAAGTTCATATAATGATATTCTAAGAACAAATTTCATGTTTTAAACTAATTTATTTTCAATATCTTGAAAATAATATAATATAAATACTTGACAAATAAATTTGTAAATACTTGACAATTGTTTGTCAATATAAATACTTGACAAACAAAATTTTCAAAAAATCTAAAAAATAAACTTTAATGTCTAAAAAAAGTTCTAACATTATAAAATCACTCCCGCCAGGGGCCACCGGGCAGATTTACGAACGCTGTTCTGCAGCCGCCGCCGCTCGGTCCCCACGCGTTCGAGGCGCCACAGCAGCAAGTGAGCAGCGCGGCGCTAACGGCGACATCACTGCTCGAAGACGGCCCTCGCACGGCCCACGGCCCTCATCAGCTCGGTAAACGCGACTTGTAATTATTAACTTAATTAATAACTATGGCATAAATTAAAATAATAACCGAGCCTACCATCATTAACAAATAAATAATTAAGACTACTTCGTTGTTGAACATTTTTTTGTCACTATTATAATATTTTATAATCATAATATGATAGAAACTAATTTATTTGCGTGTGTGCTTTACTTCGCTTGTATTCTAATTCCCTTTCATTAGGCACAATTCTATGCAATTAGCCTGTATTCGTATTGAATTAATTGCATTGAAAATTTCCCTATTTTCTAAGTCTTCTTTGTAACGTTCAGGTAGCGCTCCGGGGGCGCTGAGAGCATCCATCGCCCCCCAAGTGGACACCCGCCCCTACCCCGTGCCCAGCATGACTCAGCAACATCATCAACAACAGCAGCAACAGCAACAACAACAGCTGCCGTTGCCACTGTTCTCACCACCCAGGACGCTGTCGCAGGCGCAGCTGCCGTTCGTTGGTTCGCCCATTCCTCTACATCACTCCGGGGCGTTCGCACCCTACTACGCGAACGGTACGAGGAATGTAGTCTTATTAAAGTTTTATTAAAGTTTGAGGCAAGATATTTCGTTATTAATGATTATTATTGTGGCATAACAGTTGTGAGTGAGTGCGACACAACGGTCGTATACTAATATATGTGCAAGAGGCGAATTCTTCGTGTGCAGTAACCAATAGAGGCAATAATTCAATTTAATTATGCAATTATTGGAGGTAAATAATTAAGTTATTCATTGAATAACCGATATTAATGATATTATAGCTAAATTTTCGTTGAAATGTGTTTCGAACTTAGAATCCAGGTTGATTTTAGTTTTCACGCTTTGAAATTAGTGTTTATTTGGTGACATAAGCAATTTAATGTTATAAATCATTTTAAATTTATAACGCATCTTCTCCTCCGAGACTTCTGTAAGGGGGAGACTATAACTAATTATAACGACTAACGGATGAATATAAAAAACGAAGGTACAGGATACAAAGCTAATAATTATCCCCACTATGCACTTGTTAGCTTGATTTCCTCAGTGCGATTTCATAAAACAAATTCTGAACTTTTACAGGGCTGGACTTACAGCACATGGGTCCTTTCCTGGCCCCCGGATTACCGATTCAGTATCTGCCATACCAAGAGATCCCGGTCTCCAGCTACTCGGAACAATGATAAGTCTTCCCTGTAGTTCACTGCTGTATTCTCGTCACAAATTCAGGACATAATAGACCTTTAGGATGTATTATCAGAAATAAATAAGAGTTCGTAATTGTGGCAGCCAATCAGTGACGGCTTTTTCAGCTAAACCCGCATATCACAAACGGGAATTAAGCAGCTACGTGTATTTAGGCCGCTACATATGTAAATGCGAGTTTCGATATTGCGGCCGTTGCATTCAAACTAATATAGCCGAACGCAAATGTGATATGTATTTTTTATTGATCCAGAGGATAGGTTCATTTCATTTATTCTCAAGAATTTTGTTTCAATGTAGCCATTCATGTCCGAGTAATTTATTATTTATCTAAAATTCTACCAGGTACGTAATGGTAAAGTGAATTGAGTGAGACATTGCCTCAATTTTCTTACGCAAGTTTACGAGACAGAGCTATATTAATCTTGTTCTCATTTAACTCGGTTGAATGAAAATGAAATAAAATCGGTTAAATATTAATACGGCTAACTCGAACGTACTCGCTATTCAAAGACAAGAAGCTCCTCGCTTAGTGACAATGTATAATTTTCATGCTAACCGTTTGTGGGCATATACATTAACCGTCGTCAATGATATTCCTATCTAAAGACCTGGTATATAACAGGAGTTCCCATCAGTAGACAAAGCTGGAATGTGAATGAGCCGAGGCTCGATCTATGCGGCACAGTGCAACTACTTGAAAAATATTGTAAATTGTAGTCACTATAGGAAAAATTTCATTCAAAAGTTATCGGTATTCAATATCTTCTCCTGACAACATTTTCGTATGAATATGAGTCAACGTGCAAGAATTATTCTACGAGTTACAGCTCGCTAAAAGCAGTCTGTAAAGAGCTTTTCGCTCCAGTCTTTTACACTGAAAATATTGGACCGAAGCCAGTTTTATTTTTTAAATCTCAGTGGTGCCGCAATTTTAAAGTAATACATTAATAAACTCCGCAATACTAAAATAAATCTTGATTGCAAGTTTGCTATCTGTTCTCTGGGGAGATAGCCCTCTTTGAACGTTGAAGGTAGAATGAATGAAATGGAAATTATGTTGTACGTAATTTTCATATGTGTTTATAATGGTGCTGAGTAATCCGATTTGAAAGAGATAATGAGTGCATCTAATTACAGTTTGAACGGCTCTGGCACATAACCAGCACTCCGTTTTAAATTGGCATTAGTCCCCGCCTTAGCCTTCAGTAACGACTTCGTCTCAATATATCTGTACTGACGGTCATGACTCGTTCATGACCGAATGTTATGACTGGAACTCAGGATGATGTTCGTGGCCCGTTGTTATGAATCGAGCTCGAGGTAATATTCGTGGCCCGGATGTTACGACTCGAACTCGGGCTGATGTTCATGGCCCGTTGTTATGAATCGAGCTTGAGGGGATGTTCGTGGCCCGGATGTTATGACTCGAACTCAGCGTAATGTTCGTGGTCCGTTGTTATGAATCGAGCTCGGGATGATGTTCGTGGCCCGGATGTTTTCTCGGGTTGATGTTCGTGGCCCGGATGTTATGACTCAAACTCGAAGCTCAAGATGTCCGCGGGATCCCCTGGCATTGTCTTCATCGCGCAGCTCCTAAATTATTTATTTTTACAGCAATTATATTTCTGTTAGCATGTGCCGGGATTTTTGAAATGGCAAAATGCAATTATTTTCTTCGTATGTAGATAAACTGAAGCGTTATTAGCGTTATGTTAGCGTTGTTAGTGGCGCTAAGCTAGCATGAAAAGCTCTTATTTTATAATGAAGATGCCTCTTCAAATGAAACTAAAACAGAACAAATTACCGGTGGCTATAATTACAGAACAAATTACCTTCCGAACTATAATAATAATTGCTGATGAGACAGTTGTTTTTGTTTCTAAGCAATTGCAACCCTGAATAAATTTTCGTAAATAAACATTTCGAAAGTTTTGTGTGTAGTACAACTATTGACGTGATGAAACTCATTAAAAATTTTATTAGCCATTATTCGTGGCCTGGTTTGGATTAACTTGCTTATATTAAGGTATGCAATCACGTTCAGGAGTTACGAATCCTTTATCGAGGTGCGTTTATGAACCGTCATAGTTTCATGCGCTTTCTTACCTAGTATTAGCATTAGTGTTAGTGCAAAGTATTATTTATTCTTCTTAGTTGCTTCCATATATCTGCGCACACTTCCTAAAATGTTCCGTTCCTATACCTGTCCATTCACATAAGGTATTTATTTCTAAACGAAAGTAGGAAAAAAACCTTATTGATATAAATTTGCCGAAAAAATTTTTTGTAGCCCTAATTCGACCATCGTCGCCATAGCTAATGTAGACATGCACGATTTCGTTCAGGACCTCTTTACTTATCAACATTCTTTGCCTCTTGCGGGTATTTTTTTTTTCTTTTTCCCTGCTTGCCTGTCTTATTTTAAATATTTAAACTTTATAATCGCATTCGAAGAATAAAAAACAAGAGTACACAAATGTAAATGTTCTTGGTCATGAATAATTAAGAAGCCACTTGAAAATATCACAGGTTAAAGAAAGTGCTTGATATAATCAAAGTTTGAAGTAGGAGTATATTGACTGGTCTATGACAAGCAAGAAAATTCATTGTTATAAATAATGAGTTTTTTCAAGTTGACTATTACTGTTTTAGATCATCGAAGTTCTATTTATATAACTAAGTCATAATAAAACTTTCGACTTCAGACATTTTCTTTCATTCACGATTCCTTCAGCAACAATGACACAGCAGCTGCGTTACGTGGAGACCTCAGCCACAATAGGAGACAATTAATGCACTAGAGCTGTTCAGGACGATTGAGTATACATTATAATTAAATGAACTATTTCTGTGTTTATGCTGCACACAAGCAATATTTACATCCAAGGCGCGGTTGAATAGCAAGTTTAAATACAACAAAGTCCGAAGTCCGAAAATGCCTAGAAATGATAGAAAAATTAAATCTCCAAGCTGAAAGTTTGAGATTTATTCTTGAAATACGCAAGGTTACGAGAGTAGTAGTAGGGAGAGGTTTCTAGCGCTTCAGATCAGGTAGTCTATTTCGCGCCGAAGGTCCGATATTCGTATTGCAGGGTCAGGCTTCTTCATTGGTTTCAGGCTCGTGGCCTGATCCATCTGGTCTAGGGTATATGCTTTTCTATTTCCAAGGCGCAGGTTCTATCCGTCTTCTGCTATTTCATCTCAACCAGTAACATGATGACACGAGTATGGTGTTTAGTCAGGGGTGTGGGTCTCTTCAGACCTATGTCATGGTGCCGTGCTAGATATCCGGTAGCAGGTTACACTCGATTATATATCGTCTGAGATTGTCAGTCCCAAAGATGCTTCGAGGAACTTCTCTTAGCATCCTGGACAGCATTTCATTTGGGCTGAGAGCAGTGGTGTTGGGGTAGTAGTTTTGCCGAGTATCACTGTGGCTCGGGCATTCCGCCATAACATGCAAGACCGTCAGTGGTACCAAACAATCATTGCAATACGGCATCGGACGGCGTTCGATCAGGTAGCTGTGAGTGAGGCGCGTGTGGCCGATCCTTAGTCTGCACAGCGCTACCTCCAACTTCCGGGATTTCTGATATGATGAACTCCACGCTCGTACACAATCCTTGATTGTTCTGAGTTTGTTCTCTCTCACGTTCAGCCACTGTTCCTGCCAAATATGGCGGATGCTTGCCTTGATGATAGGGTAGTGGTCACGGCAAGGGACCTGCTCGCTATAGATCGCCTGGTCCGAAGAGGCGGCGTTTACCGCCGCCTCATCCGCCCTCTCGTTGCCTCGCACCCCCACGTGTCCGGGCACCCAGCAGACGCTCACCGCTCTCCCAGCCTCCGCCAGGCGCACCAGCCCGGTTAGGATCTCCCAGACGATGGGGTGCCTGCTATTATAAGCTCTCAAAAGCCTGTACCACACTCCTGGAGTCTACAAATATTGTAAAATCGTCTCCGGGCAGTTGGTCTATGAGGCTAAGGGCGCAGCTGACACCGACGAGCTCAGCGGTGAAAATTGACGAGCTTGAACTGAGTCGTTTTGACATCGCAGCTACGCCGGCCACAGCCGCACATCCCACTGCGCCGTTCGTCTTAGAGCCGTCGGTGTAGATATGTGTAGAGTTTGCATGCTCTGTGGATGCATGGTGGAGAAAGAGGTTTCTCATCTCGGTTGAGTGTGAGCTTTGCTTCAGTGGGTAGTTTTGGTCCGGGCAGAATGTGTTGATTGGGATGCGCCATGTAGGGATATCCTCAAATATGACTGGTATGACTTCTAGTACATGAGCCTGCGTTGTTGCAAGCAGTGTTTCATAGTCTTCGGATGACGGGATATTGTACGGGAAGTTGTTTGGTTGACCCCCCCACGACAAGGGCGAGATGGCACGGGGGGCAAGGTTACGAGAAAAATAAAGTTCAGGAAAGATTAGGCTGCTTTAATTCAAAGTAACTATCAGGTCCTCAACAGTGACATCACCGAGTAGTTTTACTAACAACGTGAAGTGAATAAATGCTGCGAGTAAAATAATAATGAACAGTAGTTTTCACCAGTTCTGTTGCCGATGGGATATATAACTTTATGGTCGGTATGATATACTGAGAGATGATGGGGCGAGCTGTAAAATGAACCCTTAGCACAGCGAATATACATATATTTCCATAGAGCGAATGGAAATTTTTATAGAGCGAGTAAAAATTACCATAGAGCGACTGGAAATTATTGAAAAAATAGTGAATACTGAATATTACTGAACTCTTCGAAAACACCGTGCAAAATTATTACTAAGGAGAGCGAGCAGCAGCGCAAGCATTTCATAAGTGAGCGATGAGCTGAAAAATCCCCAAAGAATAATAATGACGGAAAATTCAATACAAAAGAAACTTAGCGTAGCTTATTACGGCAGTAAAACACGGAATTAAAAAAAACTGGGTTATGCACGAAATCCAGTAGCTAAAAACACTAATCCCTGGCCTGATGAAAATTGAAAGATATTTACTCATCAACATATACTGGCCAATCGTACTTTGCAGCCACACTCAGGATTGGTAATGTGGCTTAGAAGTGATGGCATAACAAGATATTATCAACACAAGTGATGACTTCATAACGAGATACTGTAAACACCACGGCATCACATTACTTAAGCGCAGTGCCAGCTCTGTGCACAGCACCGATACATGAGAGCTGTACAGCAGCACCAATATCCATGGACTGCATTCCACTATTCCCATATGCATGGCCTGCATTCTACAATTCTAATTTCCATGGCCTGCATTCCACTATTCCAATATGCATGGCCTGCATTCCACTATTCCAATATGCATGGCCTGCATTCCACTATTTCAATATTCATGGCCTGCATTCAACCGTTCCAATACTCATGGCCTGTATTCCAATATTCGTGGCTATACATGTGTTCTACCAGGAACATATCAAAAGCAGAATCGTAAGTTTTGCGTAGAAAAGAGATGAGTTTAGTATAGTGGCAAAATATTTACTGGGGCTTCAGCTAATTAGCTATCTCGCCCGGAAGTCAAGATGAACATCAACAAAGAAGTGGAAGATCTCAGTTATCGAAAGTCTCTTAAATAAAAAATAATCATTTTTTCCTTCCACAAGGGGTGGAAGGTCTCAATTGTCCAGCCCGCTGAAGCTGGCTCGAAGGAAGCAGCGTTAGCATCTCAAAGAGACGAAGTGAAAAGCAGGGACAGGTGACAAGCAACAGAAACGAAGACACTCAAACAAGAGGCCGCTTACACGGGACGTCGGCCGTCAGCACGAGAGAGACAAAGAAGAGAAATGTAAATCATTCTTATAACTTAACCCCGCAACTGCCCTGCCTTCATAATAACTTGACCGCACAACGGAGACCCACGGTCAGGCACTGCGAGGTCTTTGGTTGGGCGCTCAATAAAAGTGCTCCTAGGAACGCGATATCCTATAGGACTTCCAACGAGTACAGACACCGATAGGGGGATTGATAATCACCCTGAGGGGGATTACCTACTGAAAAAAATCATTCAACACTTACATTTAAACTACGATGACATTAACGTTGCGTACCACAGCTATATCGAAGACAATGATGGGTACAATTGTTATATTGAACAAAAGGATGGTATAATAGATATACCGAAGACAATGATGGTACAATTGATCTTGTGAAGACAATATCAAACACCCATTGATGCGCACTGATTAGCTGAGCCTCGTCTTACTTTTCGTCGTTCTGATCCAGAAGAGAAATTAGTGAAATTAAGTTGATACATCAACATATTATGTGAACGCAATGAAGTTTATACATCAACATGTTATACGAACGCAATGAAAATGATACATCAACCTGTTAAATGAACGGAAGGCAGCTCGTGAAGTTTGTCTACCCCTGATTCAGAACGTTATGAATTCATGCCCCATTAAAATTTACAGAAAACTTCTAACTGATCCGAAAAATTTAATGGAAAGTTGAAATGTTCTAAGAAACTAAGAGGCAGGCTTTGAAACTACGACATGGAATAATAAAAATATAACTGTAAACCTTATTTCTAGGTTTACATTATCTCCCCTTATGTAGATAGAGTCGAAAAACTTATACTACAAAAAATGTTGGTAACAAATACAATAAATTGATTAACGAACCCCCTTAGGTAGCATAGACACATACAAAAAGTATGTGAAACTTGTTTTACAATAAATGAAGATAGAAATTCAATAAATCTATGAGCAAAACTCATTTCATAGAATAGAGACAACAAAATAAAAGCGCACTTAAAACTTACTAAGAAATAAATAAATGCAACAATAATATGAAAGCTTACATTTTATCGTTAGAAATGTACTATAATTTACAAATAAAATGTGCTATAATTTACAGCAAATCTGCCACGCCTGAATTGTCTTTAGGAAGCTCAGCGCTCGCACGCACCTCCCGCCTCCGCAGCTCCGTTCCCCCAGCAACACACGCAAGTTTCTTCCTTACTTTGAAGAGGCAAACAAAACCTCGACAAAATAATGCTTACGAAGTGTACAGCACATTACTACGATTCTAGAGACGACTCTAATATTGCAAGTATTTATGGCCCATGTATACTTAACCCTCCTGTTGTCTTGGCATCAAAATGACCCGCAATTCCAACACTATGCCCAGGAGGCATGAGGCGTATACCAGGAATGAAGACAAGAGGAGGGTAAATAATATAGGTCTGCAGGAGACATATAATACCAAGTATCTTGATTTTATATACTCAGTGTAGGCCATCAGGTTCTTTTTATGTCAAGTATACAGGCTTTCCATATTCAGGAAAGGCATGTAGGACATGTTATTTAAAGTACATAGGTCTTAAATACTCGTGCATGCAGACCTATAGAGCATATCTACACAAAGTATGTGGGTCTTCTACACTGAACATTTATTGCTAACATGAGAGTATAAAGGACATCGCTACCTCAAGGCTTATATAATGACAACTGACTAGTGGCTTAGGTCTTAATACAAAGGTACTATACAGACATTATATCGACCAAAATAGAAAAAAACGATATTGTTTAGAACAGAGCTCGCTAATTGTGACGCAGAAGCGAAAAGACTTGCCAAATAAGTAAAAAAAGGAAAAATAAGTAAAACCAAATCCCAAAAATTAATTAGTAAAAAACTAAAACTGATATAAAAAAGAATAGCATTGGCAGTATCGTCCCTTTCTTCAGATAATTCATGAATAAAAGCATATTGCCGCGTAATAAATGGCGATGGTGATTGCAGTAACTACAGCAGTCAATTTTTTAATTTCGTCCCAAACTCAAATTCGAAGAAAAATCAGTGTAATTTTTAAACGCAGGAATTATACTGACATGCCGACTTTCCAGAACAGAAGAACGGAAATTTTCAGAGTGAATATCAACGCAAACAGCAAACAGATGTTCAGCGCTACGATCCTGTATCCTGAATACAACCTCCTGGAACCACAGAAATTTAACTAAATAAATGCGCAGAGAAAAATATGCACAAGTCTGCAGCGCGAACCATGGAGCGTATGCAATAGCCATAAAATAATAAGAAGCAAGTAATATACGCTGCAATACGAGAAAAATAAATAAAAATATCAAATTAGAAACGTACACCTTTTCGTCATAATAATCTAATCACAGATAAAATATAGCAAGTTACACATGAGTACCGTAAGTCAATAAAAATCTGAACGTAAAGCTAACAGAAACAATATGCGGTCTTGCAATCCAGTAATTTTTTCAGACAATTTTAATAAAAATCAAGGACCAGTTGGATTATGAGAAGATTTCGCCATTTTTGTGGTGTCTATCGCACCATGAAACAATCGTGATGAACGCTTTTTATCAACAACGTATTACATTTGCGCAAGCTGCGTACTTCCAAGCGTTCATGCTAGGACAAACATAATGATAATAACAGAGGCCATGAGCTCAGCAGGCAAAAATTTGATGGCAAATTAACATTTTCTCGGGTAAAAACTAACAGAGATCAAGTAAGTTTAATATCTTGGCTTTGTTACTGTGAGTGAATCTTGCGAAAGAACTGAGCAGCTTGCTTTGGAATAAGAATTTAAAAAATTACAGGCTTGACCTGAATAATTCACGCTTCTTTTCGAAAGGCTAAGAAGATGGAAAGTTTATTACCATTGAGCAACAATGAGTGGTATAACTGGTATAGCTCGCGAAACAAATCAACGTAATCAACGTTCGTAAATCAAATCAACGACTTACGAACAAGCCATTGTACAATAACGACATAGCACAGCTACATTGTATTAGACACGATTATGATCACTAAAAATAGTGGGCGTATTTGCGCAAGAACCATGCGGTGGCATTTAGTCAATGAGGAGCGACTGGCCAGCTTCCTCGTGCTCGAGGCTGTGCATGTGATGAAGCTGACGGTGCTGACTACGATCCAACGCGGGCTTCTCAGCTCCATAATCGTCATCGAAACTCCCAGCAAGTGACGACGCTCGTCGCATTCCCTGACGTGACATCTCCAGTCGGTCGTGCAAGTCGATGTCTTCGTCCTCCTCCTCGTGCTGACGTGCGAGGTGGTACCCATCACTGGATGGGTCAGTGGTCATGCTGCCTGCAGCACGCCTGGTGCTGCCAGGTCCTCCTGTGCTGCTATTGCCTCCATTGAAGTAAATCAGGCACCACGAGACCAGGAGCAACAACATCGAAGCAAGGCTCATGATCACCAAGATGTAGGAGTAGAGATGTGAATTGGCAGCGATATGAGTCAGGCCTCCATGAGTCAACGAGTTGCCGAATGATGTCAAAATGATCATAATTGCGCACATTTTGTGGGTGACGTGCATGTATTGGGCCATCCATAGCAGGCTAGTAGGAAGAATAGGAGCGAGGCCAAGCGCAGAAAGGATGATGCCGGACCAAAGAAAGTCTTCTTTACCGAACGATCCAACACACAAGAAAATTGTTCCTAATGTTTCTAAGAAGATGGAAATACCAAGCAACTTGCCTGGCTTGAGACGAAGGCAGCCGGAAAACAAAATACACAAAAATCTTACGATGCAGACTAAGCCCCAAAACAAAGCTGGTCCATCGATGCCCTTGTCTAAAATTCCCAGACCGCTTCCTTCCGAGTTGGATGCCAACAAGTGGTGAATGGCTCCTTCCAAAGCCTCGGCAGTGAACATGAACAAGGAGAAGAGCACCATGAAGAAGGCGTAGCGCGAGTGAGAGGACCTGTCAAGACTGCCCTCCTCTTGTTTAGATCGCGGTTCTCGTGGGTTGTGGCAAAGTATTACCACGAAGATCATGGAGTTGATCAACACAAACACGCCAATGCAAATAAATGCAAGATGAATTTTAGTAACTCCGTATCGTTTGAATTTTTGAGCAATTGTCTCTATAAATTTGTTGTCATCAGTGATGTTACTGAAAGTTCCAGGCTTTTTTAGCAATCGAACAATTGAATGAATTATTTTACTTCCATTTGATTCTGTATCATTTAGTGGTTTCGTATCATTAGTTTCAAGAGGAAGGCTGACCGACATTTCGGTTTCAGGTTCTTTCAAGTCAAGCACTTCAGGACCTTGAACCGAGATCGACATTTGTTCGTCCGAGAAAACATTTTGTTGATTCATAGGCTTCTCAAACAAATGGTTACTAACACTAACAGCGTCAGGCAAGCGGGACGGCGATAGGCTGATAGAAACGCGTTTTCGGTCAGTTTCAGCCGTTGAACTCATAGACTCGGATACGGCATTGTTCAATTGGAGATCGGAAGGTGACAACTTACTGGACATTTGAAGTTTATAAAGGGCATCAACAGCACCGTAAGGAGAATCGTCGACAGCAGCTGGAGACGTAACGTCTACACGGGATGGCAGTGGAGTAGTGCTAAGGAACTTCGGATGCATTTGATTTTCAATGACAACCGCAGTGCGAGGCGTTGTAGAACTTTCCAGTGATTGCACCGGATCAATAGATACTGATTTATTTGCGGTGTCATTAAGAGCCATTAAGGCCTCAAATTTTGTATTGTTTGGTGCACTAAAATTTCCAGTTTCAGGCTTAGTTCCTGAAGAAGAACCGTTGACTATAGGACCAGGAAGCAAACTCTCATTTTTCGTTAAGATTTGAGATTCGTTAGATGCAATGGACACCTCAGTGGTAACGGCGATAGAGACGGCAGCAGGAGCGTCGCCAGACTGTGCACCTGGTGCAGGTTTCTTCCATTGGGAAGTGTCTTCGTTCTTGACACTGGCGCCTGTGTGAGAAGGCTTCGGTCTCACAGGTTTGGTGCTATTATTGATAGGAGCTGCGACCGTAGATGCAGTGGCAACAGCTAAGTCCACACTTCTAGAACTAGAGAGAGTCCCGTCTGTGCTGTTGGACGTGCTATTCAAATTCTGAGATGTGGTAAAAGTTGAATTTTGAACAACTCCAGAATGGTTTTGCACAGGTGGTAGAGTAAGTTTCAATAGATCATTTTGACTATATGTCATAAGATCAGCTTCCCTTATTCTTCGAATTGGAACGAGAGTCCTCGGAACGCGAACAAGATTTTCATCCTCATAAACATCACTTCTGGCGTCTGGGATTACATCGAGATCCTGAGCAGTGTGCTGCAAGGCGGCATGTGAGCTCGGTTCAAAAGGCAGCAAGTTATTGGTGCTGTGAAGGCTGGTGGTCGCTGGTCCGCCTGAGGGCAAAGTGAATGGCATAATGGTGCTGGTGCTGGTGGTGGTGGTGGTGGTGGTGGCAAGAGCAACACTGTTGTTCAACACCGGCAGATGCTGGCCAGCAAAAAAAGGATGGATGATAACCGGTGCAATGAAGGCGCCTAAAGCATAACTGAAATGCAGAGCTTGCAGAGAAGCTCCACCTCCTTGACGTCCCCACAGGTCCAAGCAAAGGACGTTGCCTCCTGAAAACAGAAGAAGGAGGTTTGAAAATTATATAAACATTATTAGTCACATCAGACTGAATGACATTGGCTTGACCTTCAACATTTGAAAAAGTAGTTCAATTCTATGCATAAATTTGTTAGTTACAAACAAGCTCTCTCATAATATTCCTTTATATGCAACTGAATATTAAAATTAAATGCTTAAATAAAAATAAATGATTCATTTATGACAGTAAACAATTCGACTCATTGTTTAAGTACAAAATGAATAGAATTGTGACTAAATAGATGTACTACATATAGCATAGATTGTGTGGCAAAAAAAGTCTTGATATGGTATTTTTATGGGGAAATCATTTATTTTCCTGGATATTTTGGTAATAGTGAAAGGTCCTTGGTTTGCACAGGAATTTCAATAATGGTGAAAAGTGCTTACCAGTGAAGAGGAAAGCAATTCCTGCACTGATGGCCACAAGTGTAGACCGCATCCACCAGAGGCTCACAGGGATAGTGAAGGGCAGGATAGAGACACTCACACTAACCCACACAAGTGACACAAACACTAGGAACTGACGGTTGTACCGGTCAAATAACTTGGAGCCTGCAAGTAAGAAATCAAAACATAAAGAAGAGAATTAAAATTATTTATAGATGTCTCCATAAATTGTGCTTGATTTTTATTTCTTAAATATAAATACAAGGATTTGTTGCTAAATAGACAACATAACATAAATCATAAGTAATTAATAGGTAGGTAGGTACTAATGATGAATATGAACTTATTTTCTCGTGTGATTGAACCCTACCTATTTCTGACATGAACATACCAAGCAAGCCTCCACACAATGCTCCAATGCTGTGAGCAGTGAAGGTGTGCAGTGCTTCCCACTCTTTAACTCCCAGCCATTCTTGCACTTTGATTACAGGACCTCGACTGATGGAGCCACACAAACCCTGCATATATAAGAGCAATAAGTTAATAATTTACAAAATCAGCAGTTTTACATGGTATATACTTGATTTGAGAATAATTTCATCATTACAGTAATTATAAAATGATAATCCTGTCCTTACATTTAATTTCATGACTGAGCATTGCAATTATACACAAATTCAAGAGTTCTTGTGCACACTTTTCAGTGTTGATTGTATTGGAACAAATAAATAGCTCATTAATTTCAATATGCTATGTACACCAGATTGCTCATACACATTAAAATTCCAGCTAACATCAAGTACGGTACCTATATAAACCCTACAACTGTAGGTTTTTTAATTAAAATTTACAAAACTAAAAAATGATAGCAAATCTGCACAAAAGATGGCCAATTACCATAACAGCTTGGCTTCAGGCATCAAATGTCTCTACTCTCCAAGCCATGATTTGAGCTTTTTTTACTACTATGTAGCCATGGGAATCCCACTAGATGTAATATTTCCTAAATATTCACAAAAAGCATAATTGGGTATGCAATTTGAAATTTCTCAAAAATACCATATATGACTTTAAAGCCTTTCTATATAGTAATAAGTAGGAATTTTCAGAATTTGATTGGCTTTGCTAGACATTCATTTAAGAATCAATGTTTATACACTATTCCAAACTGTTAATTTGAGCATAACACAGAAAAGGATTGCTAGGAAGCCAAGATTCTACATTAAACACAAATTGATTGATTTATATACATGTCCCTTTAGAAGCTTGAATTTTCAAAGAGCTTAAATACCTATTCATAATAAATATATTATTGACCTCTGCCAATTGGTCAATAGTGACTAATAAGCTGGCTATCATATGGCTAATGCGGAATATTAAATATTAGATAAAATTAAAAGAAAAATTGGAATTGAGCCATTTTTTTATTTTTTACAAAATAAATTATGCAAAGACCATGATAATGGGTAGAATTAAGTGGTGACAACTGACAAGCATGGAGATTTTTTACTTATTTGGGCTGCTGCCTATTTCAAAGAATGCTGGTGCTGAAGCAGGTTTGTTAAGAGGAAAATATCTACTTTCTGATTTAGGAATTCTGAGCACTAGAGCATAGTGACGAACTAGAAATTTTTTAGAATAATTTCATTTTCAATTCCCCCATCTACTCATCATTTAAAATAATTTCTTGTGTATGATAGTGCTGGTATTCATGATACTTTACTAGTTTACTTACAGGACTCAAAAATGAACTGCAGAAAGAGTCTGAAAAAAGTCTCTGCTTTGACATTACACTAGAAAATTGTTGCAAATTTATTTATTAAATAGATCATTTCCATAGAGAACTCAGGCTCAGAGCTAGAAACATGAGAGCTCTGGTACATTGAGCAGCATTTACAATAAATTAATTATCATTTTCCTAATTATCAATATATGAACTGGGAACCGAATTCGGGAAGGAGCCAGGCATGGAATATATCTACTTGGCAAGCCGCGACTGAATTTTTTGAGCCGTGGTTTTATGGATTTGCCAGCCGTGATTCCATTTTTTCAGCCGTGAATTCCATATCTTGGCCATGGAAAGCCATTTACGAGGCACAAATTTATTGACAAAGTCCATGCACATGTTACCCCAAATCTCTAATTTTACCTTATAACAGTCAAATGGAAACAATAACGTTTGTCTTTACTGTTAGCTGAACATGTGTTAATGCAAGATTGGAATTTTCCAACTTGTTTTTGAAATTTTGTGGCTCTGACGTGACAAATTTTTAATACAATTGGAATCATGCACTTTTGTTAACAATTGGATATGAGGTACCGTAAAATGGGGTAACTTAGGCCACTTTTTTTATAAATGATGCCATTTTTTTACTAGCTAAATTAAACTTGAATTGAAACACGCAAAATACAGGTCTATACTCTAGCTTCACTCACCATAAATTGCTGGCTCCTGCCTCTCATAGTCTTTATGTAATTTCAAAAAAGTGATGGTCTTTGTTACCCCAGCTTTTGGGGTATCTTAGACCGGGTGGTAAAATCAATTATATTTTTTGGTAAAATAACTCCAAATAACTCCAGGTTTTGGTGCATTGTAGTAGAACTCTTCTAGTTACATATGCAAATGACAAACTTGAGGAAAGTGTCATAGTTTGCAAATGGGGGGCACTGCCCCATAATGGGGGAAATGTGACTACCTAATGGCAGCCCTGATGGGGTAAATATTGACTGGCTTGGAAATTAAGTTAAAATTACCATATATAAGACTCTGAAAGAAGATAAACATAACTAAGAAAAAACATAAATAGGCTGTCAAACATAAAATATGTTATATATGGTAATTTTATATTATCTTCCAAGCCGGTCTATGTTACCCCGTCAGGGCTGACATTAGGTGGTCTAAGTTCTCCCATTTGGGGGCGGCACCTCCCATTCGCAAACTATGATACTTTCCTAAAATTTGTCATTTGCATATGTAACTAGAACCCTTCATTAGCTGCGGCGGACTCTGAATTACATCGATGTTTTGTTCATTTTTGAGACCTCAATCAGTTAGAAGAGTTCTACTACAATGCATCAAAACCTGGAGTTATTTAACCAAAAAATAAAAAAATTGGAGGGGGTAATCTGACAGGCTTTAAATAATAGCTTATTTTCTTGGGTCACATTTTTAATTTTTTAACCTATTAGATATGCAAAATTTTTAAATCTTTCTATTGTGTTATGTAGCCTCAGTATTTGGCCTTTCAGGCCCATTGACAAAATTTTTCTATGTCAAATAGTTTTTGAGTTTTGGGTGGGGTTTTTGTTAAAAAAAACAAAAAGTGGTCTAAGTTACTCCGCCGGTCTAAGTTACCCCATTTTACGGTAATTCATATGGTGGATATCTCGCAGTTCCAGAAATGGCAGGAAACCTCTAGTCACGGGCTCAAGGCCCTAAAGATAGATGTTTTTCAGTCTTGTGTTAATGCAGTCTGACGCTCTGACCCCTCTGAACTCTGAATTGACTGCAACTATGTGCGATCTTCAACAAAAGGTTTAAGGTTATTTTGTTAACATTACGATGATTATGTTCTGCATATTTTGGTGGGAAGGGACGAAGGGTAAAGTACCTAATGCAGATTGCAGAAGTTGAGAGCTGCAATATTAGAGCTGCAATATTTCAGAAAAAATTGGACTTTTCCAGCCCTGCTGAAGGCCTACATTGAGTTATAAATTTTGAAATTAGAGATAAAATTGAGAACATTCATTCTCTACCATACCCAGGATGGTGCCGTTTTCCGCGGATTAATCCGGCGTAAACGAGACTCCAAGCCCTTCTACTGGCGTACAACGCGGCGTACAAAAAGCTAAAATAACGTTATTGGCGCACACGCCCGGCGTACGTCCGCATCTGGCTTGTCTCGACCTCGACGTACGTCTGCATCTGGGCGATCTGGCTTGTCCTGACGTACCGTACGTCCGCATCTGGCTTGCCTTGGTGTACGTTTGCATCTGGGTGATCTGGCTTGTCCTGACGTACCGTACGTCCGCATCTGGCTTGCCTTGGATCCTGGCGTACTGGCGTACATCCGAAAACGAACCTCCGGCGTACACGCTGCACCTTCCTGACCATGGATTCTCTAAAGCAAAATTTTTAGAATTTACATTGCAGATTGAGATAGGCAAATAAAATTTAAAATACAGTGATATATTTCAGAAAGAAACAGATTTAGTAATTAATGTAAACTCACCAGTCCAATAAAGGCCACGCACAAAAACAGCGTCCGGCTGAAGAGCATAAATGTTGGCAGAAAACCAGTTGCATTATAATGATGACGGTTTCTGGTGTTCTTCCCTCCAAGTAGGCCAGCTTGGTCGAATACAATGTCCTCTTCAAATGGATCGTTATCATCCATATTTTAAATTTTATCAGATGACTTTTGCCAATGCCACTGGATATTCATACGAAATACGAATGTCACATTCTCCACAAAAACGAGAACAGCAATCAACAGCCAGATAACGTGTTATCAATAAATCCGTTATTGCGGAAAACTGGCAGTCACTGCAGCTCCAGCACTCCTATGAAAATAGGTCCAGTTATTTTCTGAAATAAATTTCAAATAAAAAATTGTTAGTTTGTTAGCATTTTTAGGTGATAAAATTAATTTTTTGACTGTAATGTCGATTCACTGTTGACCAAATCAATTCCGACGTTTTGTTCCAAGGTTTTAAATCCCCACTCGTTCCTTGTACGGAGAAACGTGTGTACGGTCGTACCTAAGAAACGTGTGTATGAAGTAAGTTGTGATCAGTGGTCAGCACTCAGCTACTTCCGCACCTTCAAGCCGGCGACATCAAGAACAAGTTGTGAAGTAATAAATGTGAACACTTAACAGATGCCGGCTGGAAAGTTGTCGAACCATTAGCGTTTCAGCGCTGATATTTGATATCCCCATCTTGGCTGAATGATGGGGCAATTTTAAACGGAAGAATACTAATTTTGGCTTTAATTTATTTATAGATACTCTGAAAATAATTTTAGATTATGGTGAGTGTTGCCTCATAGGCTCATACCCTAACTAGCCTAATGAGAAATCTGTAATTGATCAATGTAGGCCTATTTATAATTGATGACTTGACTTTTTCTGATTATATGATGGCCTATATGAATTTGATATGTTATATTCTTGATTTGATGATAAAATTTGCTCCATTTTTTTTCAGGCAAAGCATTTAGTACAAGCTGCCCTTGCTGCTGTACAAGTTGTTGGAAGAGCTTTTGTGAAGGCTGTCCGTCAAGAAATTGCAGGTAAAATTAACTTTATATTAAAATCCTCTCACTCTAAACAGCTTCATCATATATTAGCTAGGTATGCATTAATATTAAAAAATATTGATCCTAAATTTCTGATTGAACCATACCTAGCCATACAATACATTCCCATAAAATTTATGTATGGTATGCTGTAATAGGGTAAACGCGGTATATTCCAACACATTAACTTTTAAGGATGCATTGAGAAATGAAAAAATAAAAAAAATAACCGTATGCATTACTCAAGTTCTGTTTGCTTTACGTGACTCTCAAAACACCACACTATGCGCCAGCAACAATGAAACGTCACAAAGTGTTGCCATATTTATTAAAAGCCTTTAGAATGCAAACCTACCAAATCCCTATATTCCGACGCTGTGTGTGACTAAATATGGCAAGTTGTGAGACAAATTACGGCCGGGCTTCAAACTCTACTGATACGTAATTCTGACATCCTTGTGTTCGAATTCCGATCGCTGTGTGAGCTGTATTGGAATATGACAGGGCTTTGAATTAGAACACTATTGAATATTGAACACTATTTAATTAGGCTTTTAATTAACAGCTATTAAGCTTTTAATTGAAAAAATTTTAATTTTTGCACACAGCTTGGAACGAGCTGTGTGTGTCCAATTCAAGTTGTGTCGTAATTAGTTTTTATGTGTCTAATTCCGTTTCTTAACTTAATCATCTATTAATTTATTTAACCACTTGAAATAAGCAAATACAAGTATACCTGCTTAAAGGATTCCTAATACCGTATATTCACTGCACAGATGTATTTAAAAGTCTCAAGCCATAATATTCTTTCTACACAAACAGTTTATCACTATTTGGTAGAGCAAGGTCAACTATCAACTTTGACACATTTTTTGATGATCTCACTGGGTGGCATGCACTGTCTCTCTTTGGATCTCAACATTTTCCCACCAGACGGCCCAAACCTAGTGTTTTGGCAATAGTTTGGCGCGCAAAGGTACGACGTCACTATTTCAACCATCAACAAATGCGTGGAACTAAGACAAAGCTTAATATAAAGGAAAAATTAGAGAGGTGTTGGAATTACCCACGATGTCGGAATATACCGGGTTTACCCTATTTGGCTAAATTCAAAAATTGGGCAAGAGCCTCCAGTGAACTGGACAAAAGCATTTGTCCAGTTTGTCCAGTTCACTGGAGGCTTTTTACTATCAAAAAGGCTCAAGAATCTAGCCAGTTTCACCTATATCTATAGCCTTTTCCTAGTTTCTTCTGTAAAAAAATGAGAAAAATTGCCTATATTTGCCCATAATTGCTGAAAGTTGCCTGTGAAACAACTTACACTATTTTAGGAAACTTCTGCTCAATATTCTGAATTGGCTTTAGTGTATGGCTCAAGTTTTCATTAAAGCTTGATTTGAACTTATTATATTCAAAGTCTACAGAGACAGAATTTGGTTGGTTAGAAAATGTTTTCCAGTAATCCAATACGTATAGAATATCTGGTAAAATTGTCCAAAAATTGCATTTAAAATTGACCATTTCATAGGGGATTTTTGAAAACAACAAGCCAAAATATGATTTTTATTGAATTTTTGTAAAGAAGTTGTTTAGGGTCATACCGTCATAGGATTTATTAGAGCACACTAAATTAACCACAAACACTGGCATCTTACAGAGTGTAGTTCTGAGTCCTGACCAGTATTCTATGGTTTTTAGTAGCAAGTTGTAAGATGACAAGTGCTGTATATGTCTGCTGAGTAGTGAATAATGTGTAATGATGGTAGATAAAATTGTCTCCCATATAAGTGTCAACAAAATTTCATGATCAATATAAAATTTAGTGAAAATAAGTGACTTATAACCACAATATCTTGGCAATAAGTAAGTTTTCAATGTTGAATTTAAATTTATTTAATTTTTTTTATCTCTACTTATTTACTATAACTTAAATCTGTATATCAATCTTTTTCTAGTAAAACTGCTTGAAATACTCAAGAGCTTGTCTATGGCATGTATATATGATATGCATCATTTTTAACATTTTTGGCTTCTCGTAAGGTAGGTATATTTTATTAAAAGTTGTGGGAAGATTTTCACATTTTTTCCCCTGACTATAGCTTAATTGAGTTATTTTTTGCAGCATCTCAGGCTGCTGCTGCTCGTCATGGCGGAGGCAGACAGGGAGCTGAGCACTCCGCCACCAATTCTAAGCTTGGCATGACACTAGATGAAGCTAAACAAATACTAAATGTTAAGGAACTCTCTAAAGAACAAGTTCAAAAAAATTATGAATACCTCTTCAACATCAATGATAAAGCCAAAGGTGGATCTTTATATCTTCAAAGTAAGGTAAGCAGTGCTTGAAGTTTTGTAGTGTCATTTTTTTTTCAAATGGTTGATTGCTGTGTTGGGAAATATGAATTCTTATTTCCAAGTTTATAATAATAACAATAATAATGGGAGCTAATGAGCAAGAACTGATCACTCTAAAATTTTCTCATCTAGTATAAAATAAAGTTGAAGTTTTTCAAAAAATATGTTTTGTCATTTAATTTAATTCTTGAAATAAATCACTTGGTAGTAGTAGTAGTAAATCACTTAGTAATATCAAACAGTATGGTATGTACTGCTAATAGAATAGCATTTTATCTGGATGATAATTTTAGCTTACAATTCTCTGTCTAAAGTTTATGAGTCACTGAGTTGGCAAAATCTGTAGCTGTGAATTTTGTTATTCTAAACTAGTCAAATGTCTCCTGCTTGAATAAAATTAGGCATTTTAAATGATTTATTCACCTTCAAATGTTGAAATTTAAACTATACATATTCATCCATAGATTTTATAGTTAACTTTTTTATTTGAAATATAAAATATTCTGAATGTGACTCTCACTGATCACCACTGGTTCTGCTCTGATTTCTGTGTGCTGAATGTGCAATCCGTCAAATAAGAACCAATTTCTTGATGCAAAGTAATAAAAGCTGAATTATTTTTCAACTTGAAAACTTTGAACTTAAAAACGAGAAGCAGTTGTACATCTGAAAGGTGGTGGTTAGTTTATTTGTTCTACAATTTTTGATAACTTTGCAATAAAAGTTCTGTTTGTTCTGGCAATTTTGGAGGTATTGACTGTGTTGTATTATGCAGAAACAAGAACAATAGTTTGTTCTTATTATATAAAATGTCTGTCAGTGGTTTCCTGTTAAAATGTTTTGCGCTGTACTTTTTAAATATTCTATAATTAATTATACTCATGAAGCTGGACATTTTCGATTCAAGTGTGTCATGAAGCTGCCTTGTTGATTTCTTCATGGTCAGATGAAAGTGTTCTTTTACATTCCCTATCTCTTTCTTGTATGCTTGTAGATGATAGGTAAATGTATTGCGTTCCATTCACAAATTGTAATTTGTAACCTCCCCTTAATTTTCTTACATTTGTCTCTTATTTTGATCTTTGTTCTTAATTAATAATAATAAATTACCGTAAATCGGAATATAATGTGAATAATAATCTGCTGATAATCAAGAGATGAGTCAAACTTTGCATGGTAGCAAAGGAGAATAAAATATTTGAGGAAGGCTCCACATGAAGATGAAGAAAATGTGGCAAAAAATCTACCAAGTTGATGTAAGTTTGTGAGATTCGAAGAAGGCTGAGGTTACCATTGTCTGCCCCTAGATTATTGGACGAGGGCTCTGGAGCTTAGACCGCACGACGGCACCTCTCGTTCTTCAGTTACTGGACACATCTTCCGCTCAACATGTCCCTGCTGCTAACTTCACCTCTTGTGTCGCATCGTCTCTTGCAGCCCTACAAGCAGCTTCTCCTCAGTCCAATGATTCTGCCTCCTTAGCCCTCAATATGTCAACATTGTACCACGGCCGTTGCTTCACTGATACACAGAGCATCAGTCATGTTGAGAAGGCGTTGCCAAAATGTCTTTTTTCTACTAGTCAACTTTCTCCTGGACTAACTTTTGACACGGTTTTATCCGAGAGCAACAAACAGCGTTATATTGAAAAGATAGCAAAAGCTATTCCGCCAAGAGCAAGACAGAAAATGGACGAAGTTTCAGCTGGTTTCAACACAAGCGATCAAAAGAAAAGAGATTTACGTCAAAGTGCTGTTCTTATTGCTCTGTGTCACGTTGCTGGGGAGCTGTCATTGCTCTACACTGTGAGATCAAATAGTTTGATTAATCACGGAGGAGAGGTGAGCTTTCCTGGTGGTATGATGGATGAGTGTGATGGAAATGACCTCGTCAAGACGGCTCTCAGAGAAGCTCATGAAGAAATAGGGATCGACTCCTCTAAAATAGACATATGGGGGCCAACCCCGCTTGTGCCTCGTCGAAGAAATGAGGGAGATGTGTTAGGGGTCTTGGGTTACCTTGGACATATCGACCTTAATCGTCTTGTGCTCAGCAAGGATGAAGTGAGCAAAGTGTTCGCAGTGTCCCTCAAGCATCTCTGTAGTCCTGAAAATTTTGGACAGACTCAGTTTCGAGCTCCTTCGATGTACGGCAGTGGCTATGCTCTTCCTGTGTTCTTCACTAAGGATGCTAAAGTGTGGGGTCTCACCGCCATGTTCACGCACATGACCCTCAAAGTCTTGCTGCCTGGACTCTATAAACATGAACTTAGATACATTCGCCAGCTATGAGCTCTAGACGCTCCTGAAAAGCATGCCGTTCATATCTGTTATCTGATCGCGTAATCGGAATAATTTATTTTATCCAATCTTCATGATTTCGGGCAGATTAAAAGCGTGATCTGCGAATGTTACCTCAGTTGCTCTCTTTCAATATTTAATGTTTTATTTAAATGTTAAATACTAATCATTGTGTTCCGGGACAGTTGAAAGCGACGACTACAATTTTAATGTTTTGTGTAAAATTGCAACTGAAATTACTAATTATGCAATTTCTTAGTGCCCTAAAGGCTGCGAAGTAGAGTACTTATTTAGGTTGCATTCATGTTCTGGAGATGCATTGCATCAAAATAATCTATCACTGCAGTAGAAGAACTTTGTGCGTAAATTGAATACCAAATTGCTACCGTGTTATCCGTAGTCAGCAATGCGTGCGAACGACCGCACTTGTCAAAATGCTTTCTTTCAGCCTGTACAGCATTAAATCATGCTGGGATTGTCTGAGAGAGATAATAGGAATCGGTTATAATTCGAGTCGTATTTTATTTTTATCTTAACCATATTTTATTTAATAGTTTCTGCTGTTGAATGATGGTTTTATTTAATGTATTATGTCTTTTCTTTTAAACTTAATTATGTTAATACTTGGATGTTTTTGGTCCTGGTTGTGGGTTTTCTGCAGTATATATTACCAGAGTCTGTCGCAATTAGTTTTATTTGGGAGTTTCTATTTTATTGATAGTTTATTTTTGTCCTGGTTGACGATGGTCTATGGTATTTTATTCAAATCAATTGTAATCGAAATCACGTGCAATTATACCAATTTTTTAATTATCAGTAATTTAATGCCCCATGAGTCATGAGACGTGTAAATGAGTCTTTAATTGATTTAGTATCTCTGTTTCTAAGAATATTTATTCATGATAGGTTGTTCTATACAATCAAGTTCTATTGCAATATACAACAAGTTTTATTTCTATTTACTCGATTTGATCGATGAACTCGACATTTCAAGAAACCTTATAGCAAGCTCAACATTTCCTCAAATTTGATCTTCTTCTCCTAGGTATTTCGGGCTAAGGAACGCATCGATGCTGAGATGAAACTCAAAGAAGACGGTGGCGTCAAGAAGCCTCCTGACGAAGCTGAAGTAGAAGCTAGATCAGATGTCAGATAACAAACCCAACCAATTCTCTCGTTAGAGTAATTGAGGAAATTCTTAGTTAAGTGTAGCGTCAACTCCCTGCAGTACTGCAGTACTACGAATATCATAAAATTTCCATAAAAAATGTCTCATTTTTATGTGAGCGTCGTCTCGGTCTCAAATTTTAAAACCACATTAGTTATAATTGTTCTTATTTTACCGCCAGATTCAAATGTTCATGCATGGAAGTCGATCACCTTTATTGAAAGCTTGTATTGCGATCATAGCAAAATTTAGTGTTGGTAGGATGAGTTTTGGATTATGTGGCCAAAATTGTCCCTCCTATTGAGCTTAGTATGTTAGGCTCCGATTTCTTGAGATTTATGAGATTTTCTCCGATTAATTGGCTAAGGTTCCCATGTTCTGATGCAGAGTTATCTCGGCGGTGTACAATCGAAGCTCGTTACAATTTTGTTGATAACTGCATTTATCCTGGCTAGGTTTCATCATTGTTGTTGGGTATCATTGCAGTATGGCTGATGGCAGATGGAAGAAATTACCCATCTTCGTAAATCACTGTAAAGGGACATCGAAAAAATAATTTTCATTTCATAATGGAAATTGTGCTATCGTGTATTCGATAATGGTAAATGTTGTGTCCTGTTTTGTCCACTATGTTGACCTCTTAGACTGCAACTACTGTGAACTGTTATGGTTTGTAAATAAAGTATATTGAGCGGCATTGTCCATTGATCTGTCCCCATCACTCGTTTGAAAGTTGTCTCCGATGTCGTTGAGAAATATTCACGAATAGATTCCTGAGCGCAAGTTTCTCTGGCCTGTCTTCATTTTACGATATTTTGTAGGTTTTTCTCATCCAGGGCTCACTGCGTCCGGGATTTAGTTTGGAAAGTGTCCTCGTTCATAATTATGGTGAATTTTTTACTATATAGGTATTATTTAGATTTTCTAATAAATAGACATGTTTGGTACATATATCCTCTGCTTGAAGTTACAAGACTAACATGTTTTCTCCACGGGGTGACATTGACCAGATTAAAGGCTTGATCTGTTGCAGATGATCAATAGTTCTAGTAAGAGAGGCCTGAAATACTGCGCTATCGGACTTCAATCTAGTTGCCCTGCACCTGCCAGGGCTCCTTTGCACCTGCGTTCAGTTGAAAATAATCTAACCACGCATTGTATTTGCTTAAATTTCGTCCACTGATACGTTAGCAGTTTTCAATAACAATCGCAAATAGAGTCTAGTCGACATGACTTGACAGAGGGTTAACAACTTTCTTAATTTCCTCCGCTCAGAACAGTTTGACTAAATTTCTCGCTTTTTTTTTTGCCTACGTAATTGGTAACTGCCACTGTGCCACATTAGACAGTCAATTGAAATTGGTTCTGTTTCATTCCTCTGATATAGCTGACATTTTTATTTTGAGTACCTAAATGCCTGTTTAACCTTTTTGCGTTTTGGTGCTGGCATTTTTTTCCTGACAAGCTGAATTACAGAACATGTTATAAGTGCAAAATATTTCCTTCTTTCAGAGTGTTAATCATTTCTTTTATCATTTCACCCCTGTGATCATGTGCATCACCTTTGGCTTCCTATTGCAGGAATTCGGTGCGCTTCAGTCTAAGACCAAGTGAAATGAAGTGAACATCAGTCCTTGCATCAGATGATGAGTCTTTACTATTTAACTATTGCTGGTATTTCGATCATTCATATTTATTTCATTAGTCTAAGCTCCTTATGAGATTCTAATTCCATGAAAGGGGACCGGACATTATTGATTGATTTCTCTTGCACGCTACTCCTCGAGTTCAGAAGGTACCCCCTCAGGTAATATTTATAAATTTTCGTGTTTGAACTTGCCGTATTATTCAGGAATTTTTTAATTCGATCAATTCATTTCGACCGCCTCTTACCACTCACTTATTCCATGATAAGAAACAGCAGTTCACGTACAGAAAGACACTTTCCTTTATTCCATTGTTAGGGCGAACAATTTTTCCGTACGAATTTGACCGTTCGATCGTCATGGTCCAGAGAAGATTGCATTCCTGATAACAAATCACCGTTTGTTCGCCTGCTGCCAGCGCACAAAATTACTCCGCCGCACAAGATGTTTGGAGCGATCGAGGGTTGCGGCGTGAGGCGGGCACAGCAGGTGCAGTCGCCAGCCAGGCTCCGCTACCGCCAGCCGCACTCATGCCTCAACAGCTCGACGAGTCGCTGGGCAACTCGAGACGCAAGCAGGAAAAAGTGAGTTTCATTGTCATACTTCGAATATTCTAGGAAATCATTGTAATTTGCTATGTGAAATTATTACCATGAACTTTTCTCTATTCTTGAATGATTAGCAAACGTACGAATAAAAATATTAATAATGAAAATCTCTGTGCAAAACTCGTTCATTTTTTTCCTTGTATCATGAGTATACTTAATATAAGCCTTAATTGTGCATTTGATTTTGCTCTGATTGAGGTGCATGAACTTTGCATGTCAAACATATTGAATAAACTTAATCTCGAGCTGATACGGACTTATTTGCTAAATATATAAGTTGCGATGTTCCATGCGTCAGGTGGTGCTTGTGTACTCCGGGGAAGATTTGATCGAGAAGAGAGGCCGTCCTTCCAAGTGCGCTGCTTTCTTCGACGGCACGACACTGGGAGCATACCTGCTGAAACGCAAGCAAGAAGTGAGTTCACTGTGGCAGAGGTTAAAATCCATTTTTACCCTACTTTTATAATTATTTATTTCATAAACTAGAATACCTCCTAAGGATTCAAATATTATCAGTAACTCGATTGTTGATTAATTAATGATAAGATCTACTGCCATGATAATATACAAGGGCGCTATTTGGTTAACTCGCGGAGAACTAATTGTGAAAATAAAGCTGATCTGACCGTTCTTATTTCGTTTGATTAAATGTCAGTTTGAGATCGCACAAGTTAGTTGGTTTTCTCTGTTAGTCGCATTATGTGTCTTTGTGTTAGCTTATATTTGGCCTTGTTGTCGTGTTTCCGATTTTTAACCACTTGGCCTTCTTGCCGATTTTTTACAATAATTTTAACAACTAATAAGTTAATAACGGATTTCGAACCCCAAACTCACTGCTCCAATTTTGGTGATCTTAACCTAATAACTACCCACTGCATTGTTAAAATAAAAAGCTTCTGATTATCCGACGCTATTTTAATTTTCTCAGGCTGAAGTGCTCGAGCTCTTGGATACCGAAAGCTCGACTTTGTCAGTTGAAGATCCCGACCGACTTCGGGAGTTGCAGGAGCTCCGGGAAACTCTACGAACAGAACAACTACCGCGGTTCCACTTGAAGTATCATCCCGACCTGCTTGAGGTTGGTAGTTGATGTTAAAGCGATTTACCAGTACTTTAATTTACATTTTTTAAACTTTATCGCTCGCCTGACATCTTAAGACACTTTGCCACTTAATGGTTTCTCAAAATCGTGACATTACCGAGGTTATAAATTAAATCATCGGTATTTCATGCCGGGAAAACTTATTACAGCATGAAGACTAAGAGTTTATTATAAATTGAAGACATCTGCTGATGTTATCTTTCTAAAAATTCACTGCACATAATGGTTACATTATGACAATATTTCTTACCCTAGATTCAGTACACATACCCTGAATTCTAGTCCTTTCTCGCAGGAGGCAGCTGAAACGGTACCCTGGTCGTCCTTGGTCAACCAAACCAAAGACCCAAACGACGAAAATTTTGAGCTCTCCGACCTCGACCGAGCGCGCCTAGAGGCCATGTTTGCTGACATGGCGAGCGCCGAGGGCGGTCCTGCCGGCGATGATCCTGGTGGTGTATTGGTTCCTGCTTCTGTTGCCAGCGTTGGAAGCTGTGATATTTATTACAATAAGTACAACGATTAAATTAGTTCTTACTTGCGCCTAAATTCATGCCTGAACATTTTTCAGGACCACATAGATGTTCATTCGATCCTTCTAACTTTTTTCATACAAACAAGCATGATAAGGTGTTTTAAATTCAGATCTGAAGAAGTAAAAGCCTAGAGAGAATTAATTAATAATTTTTATTATTTTTATTACTGTTTAGGTTGCGTCACTAATTCTGGCGCTTTTAAAAGTTCTTTTATCTTTTAGACGAACTGGAAATGGAACGGACGAGTATGACAGGAGACGGAGAAGAAGTAAATGAAGAAGGAGAAGAAAATTATGATAATGCAGCAGAAGAAGGACTAGAACATGACGAAATTGCAGAAGAAGAACATGGGGAAGAAAATCGAAGCGAACATGGGGACGAAGACGAGGCGTACTCAGATACAGGATCCATATGTCTTGAAGCAGAAGTAAGACATAATATCAAATTGATATTGATTCAACTTTGGCTATAATAATTCCAACCATTAATCGAGCAATTCGATTAATTTATTGGTTACTCGAAACGTACGGTGTATTGTGGCCTCACTTCCCTCGGGTTTAGGTGATTCAGTCAATAATTTACATGAATTATTTGTACATGCGAAGTACACCCGGTTGAGAGATTATTGAGTATAAATGATGTATGCATGCCATGTTAAGTCTGGTCGATAGATTATATTGAGTACAAATGATGTATGCATGCCATGTTAACCCGGCCGCTAGATTAAGTTGAGTATAAACGATGCATGGCATGCTATATTAACTCAATCGATATATTAAATTGAGTATATATGATGTATGCACGCCATGTTAAGATTTCTCAGCATTATTATCGTGCAGGGCGACTATCCAAAGCAGAGGGGAGGTCATTTCTCTCGTTGGGTGAGTACTCGTCAGTGGATTATTGTTTTATTTTATGTTTTAAATCTTCGAGGCGAACAAAAATTATTGGAAAATTATACACACCAACGTGACAAACATTTTATCTATTATTCGGGCGGATATTTTAAATCGACTTCTAATCCCCTGGAGTTGATATGGAAATGAAGAGCTGAACGTAACTGCGAGCAATTAATTTCGAATATTTTCCATTACGAACATTGAAGGAACTCTTGTGATTTAGTATTTAAACCGAATTATGATATTTGTCAGGAAAAAGATCCTTCCCGCGCGTTGCAAGGCAAAGGAAAAGAGAAGACGTTCAAGCCGCGCCTGAACGGCATCTGGCAGCAGCGTCTCGAAAAGTCCAAACGCAAGAAAGAAGAAAAGGTTGTCCCCGCCCAACCTAAGCCTTCTCTCTTCAACAGCATTTTACCCGAGAGGTGAATAACAATTTTATTGATTACACTTTTCTTGGCATCGCCCGTAATTATTCGATATTTTGCAAAAGTTATATAATTTTTTGAATATTGAAGATAATTTTACTTTTTTCTTTTTATGCAGCGGTGCGAGTGAAAAATATTTTAGGCCAGATATAGTGGACTTTTCATCAAAAATCAAAGCATACTTATTAAAATCATAACAGGTTCAATATAAGCAAATAGTTTTTCATATATTTAAATTTGCCATTAATAACTTATTATCCCATAAAGGGTAGTTCTCAAATTTCTAAATAAAAACAAATTTGTCATGGCAAATGTTAAGCGTGTGCTGTTCTAGATTTTCTCGTCGTTGAGGCATAAACATTTCGATAGCAAATCCCAAAACTTTCTCTTGTGTAATCCTATAAGCAGCGGTATGTTTCAAGACAATTTCGGTGAGTTTAAATACAGTTCAGAATCCGGGAAAGTGAATTCAAAATAATTCAAAGTTGAAATGAATTCGGAATCGGAAGTTAAATACTTTTACGCAGAATTCAACGGAAATCCCGATGTCGAAACCCCGCGACCTACGCGAGTTTGTTCCGTTCTTTTTCACTCATCCGACATTGTGTGTAATTCATCGGTTTAATAACTTTTTCTGACTCTGCTTCTCTTGCGTATTTCGCGTAATTTTACGCTCTAATTGGTCCGAAAGTTGACCGTTGAGAAATAAACGTCGATGTCAGCGACATTTTTGTCTTCATAACATCAACGAACTTAGTTTCAGTCGACACTCTCATTGACATGAATTAACGTCGACTTCCGTGGTATGACTTTACATTCCTCATGTTATCAATGCACGGGAATTGGAAAAATATATAAAGATTACAGATAGGAAGCCATGGTATCTAACATTCAGAGAGGTTGCAAAAGCTACCATGGACCTGTTAGGGCGCTTAATTACCGGTTATTGCGCTTAACTTGTTATGCCCCCACAGGTACAGGCGTAAGACAAAGAGCAGGTTGCCGAGCATTTCACATCACCCAGTTAGGAGAGACAAGGTGAAGTAGCACATAACTTAACATTGAGGTGTCAGTTTTATTTGGGCCAGGTTGGCCTGTAGCCGATTCTTGCAAATTTCAACCATAATTTCATAGCGAGCTAAAGGTTTCAAACCCACCACTCGCTTTTACCTTCATTGTTGATCTTAACTACCTTACTACTCGGCCAACCCGAGCTAATGCACTGACTGAATGAAATGCATGCACTGTTAATAATTATTCAGGACTTTATTTAACAGATAAAGATGGTTTTTTTCTCACGCGGTGGAAGACTATTGACAATAGTGAAAATGTGAAATTTGTAGTTTGAAATGTCTGCAGAAGATAAATTATTTGATAGATGAAGAATATTCAGAGAAAAGTGCTTCAGAAGCTTAGAAAAAATACAATCAAATGCTCCCGTGAATTTTCAGGCGTTCGAAGGAATTTTAATCTGGTTTACGTTCGTATTCTTTGAAAAAATCCTGACCAATAAAGTACTAATAAGAAACCTTAATAAAAAGAGTTGCGAATCTCAGAATTATTCTAGAATTTTAAAATGTTTCACTTGTTATTTCGTTACCGTGTAACTCAAGAATACTTTAGATAATTTTGAGGTAATATGTAATCATCAACATCTATTATGATAATGTCGACGCTGAATAATTGACCAAGCATGGCCCTTTTTTTGCCTTCTTCATACTTAACATCTGCGCCATCTTTGCCTTCATAAAGGCGCTTGTACAAGGACACAGTAGTGGCAGCCAGTGCAACTTTCGAATGCTAATCACAATTATTTACGGTGTTATTGGCACCGTATTTGAGCGCTCCTGGTAGGGAAGGACCAATTAATCATTTAAACATGGCGTGAAGCAAAATTATTAGTCGCGGTTAGTATTTGAAAGTTGCAGTGGCCGCCAATACTAGTTCCGCGCACTCTGTACGCGCTTAACATGAACGATGTGGCTTCAGCTCGAGGTGCCTGTGGAGATCAGCAAGCCCCGCCAGAACAGATCCTCTGAGCTGCGCATGAAGAAGCGACTCGTCCAGGAGTCGCCAGTCAAGGCGCTCCCAGTCAGCAGAAGGTGTGTCAGAGAGTTCAAACTAACATCGAAGCTTTCTTTGTGTAACTTATTTCTTTATGTTCACAATTCCGGCGAGTGAATTGGAGATAATATCGTGTGTTCTCGAAAGCAGTGATAAGTTTACATTGTCACTAACAGGGCAGGTTACTTTTTTATTCAGTTCATTGCATAATATTTAACCCAATATAAAATATTCAGATGCGGAAATTCTTGTACTATATTCAACTCAAAGTTCGTGTCAAGCAATACAATGGTCATACTTGGTTCAATATATCCTGAGAAAACGTTTATTTTATGCATGAAAATCTATCGTCCAATCTTAATTTTGTGCATTAGTGAAACATTTCTGAAACAATTCTATGAATGAAACATTCATCCGTAAATTTTTTTTCCGTAACGTGTGCACCAGGCAGCGTTCGGAGTCCCGTCGTCTGCGCAGGTCCCAGAGTCAGCGCAACGTTAGCCACGCCCCGGAGGAGTCCATGCGCCGGTCAAGAAGCATGCGCGCACTCCCCTCCACCGCATATCCCAAGACCGGCAAACATCAGAAGCATTCGTCCCCTGCACCTTCGAGCGTCGTGGTCTCCGACCGTGACGGCGATGACGATGAAGAAGAAGAAGAAATTCGTTCACCAACACGTCGCGGCACGCCTCACCCCGATCACGTGTCAAAGTCTCCGGACGCGGAGGAAGATAACGGAGAAGACGATGGCGTCGACACGAATACATATGACGTGATCTCGATAAATGACGAGGCAGACGATAGCGCCAGTGTACCGCCCGTGTCAGTATGAGATGAGCGCCAATTGTCATTATTTAGTTCAACCAAATCTGTTAAGCTACTGTCAAGTAAAGGATAAATAAAAAAATATTCACATATATTCACTTACGATTTGTATGTAGTACAGAAAATTTATTTCTCATATTTAAATGAAAAACATTGCTCGTAAAATGTAAAACAGGTGATTGATGGAATTACATCAATTTCGCATCATAAATGCAATTAATATTGATTCGTATGTGAAATTTCTTCGTTTGTAAAAAAAATTGATAAATATATTCTGTTAAGGTATAAAAATGGTAAATATTGAATGGTTTATTCTACCCTGAAAGTCCTTATGGTTTGAACATCATAAGGTGGTTTCACTACATGGATGTCTACTTTAATATACCTATCTCAAAAATTATCCACATATACATATAAAAATCAGTCTTTTATTAGCGCATTTTCTCATTTATGGAAAAAAAGCACTATTGTGCTCGCCATGTCCGTCTGTCTGTCCGTGACTTCAAGTTTTCGTCGACGAGAAAATGCGCTCTCTGTAACTCACTGCAGTGAGTACTGAGTTATATTTTTTGTATATATGTATGTGGATTATTTTTGAGATTGATAGATTAAAGTAGACATCCATGTAGGGAAGGTGAAACATAAAAATAACTGTGTAAAAATAACTGTAACCAAACTGAAACATGAAAAAGTACCTTGGTAACAACTTAACTTGTAACAACTAACATGTTGACAGTTGACACTAGTAACAGGCTGAGGTTGACAACATTACACCGAAATCTTTCGTACAGTTTTATTCTGTAATTTATATTATGTATGTATCATGCTGGTTTTTATATAATATTTAATACTATTAAGTAAACTCTAAAGGCTTTATCTATAAATGTAGCGGTAGCGCTGTAGCGGCAAAACCTCGTATCGCTACTTAAATGTGTAGCGGGCGCTACCGCTGCCGCTACATTTGCTTAAATGTAGCGCCGCTACTGCTACTGAAAATGTAGCGCCCTCTAGTAGCGGCCGCTACATGTAGCGCGCTACTGCCCACCTCTGGGTTTCAGGGTGTCCCAGTGGTTGCAGTTCAGATTAACAGGGTCGGGACAGAGGTGCGGGTTCGACCCCTGCTCTGTGCGCCAGTTTCTTTTGAAAGCTAGTCAACAATTCCATTAATTATACTATAGTTAAAAAGTTAAAAGTTAAATTTTTATGAACGAGCCATTAAACGGCAACCAATAATTTTGTTTTGGTATGAATATAAGAAAACAATAGATGCAAATATCTATGTAGGTATTAATATATCATCGATATCAAAATATTATTGATGAAAGAAATGATTTTTAGAAACCGATACTGACAACTAACATTCCCACCCAATTCTTGTAGAGGTAGCCGAATGAATAAAGTATTGATTTCTCCGTAACGACAGCAGCAGTTAGATTAGTCGAAGCAACGCTGTTACCATGGCGACAATATGTGCCTAGGTTACGGCGCGCACAGATTACGACCATGCATGGTCAGCCTCCTCTGCTCCGACCTCATACTAGCGAATGTTTTCAAATTGCACAAAAATCAACTCAGTTCCTTCACGTAGTCTTTAACAGTTTAACGAGTATGATCTTGTAACTTACTTTGTTGTATATCTATTCAACATCTGCATCAACTTTATACAAAAACTGAAGATATCGTTATTCGTTCCTACAAAGGGCACGCGAGGGCTCCAGTAGAGGTTACGCGACGTTCCTATTAAGGGTATAGGGCATCCCTATAAAGGTTATGCGACCTACCTGAAGAAGGTACGCGACGTTTTCGTAAAAGATACGAGACCTTTCTATACATAAAGGGTATATACGAGACGTACCTATAGAGAATAAGTGACGCTCCTGTAGAAAAAATGGCTCAGAACAGGCAAGCTTCTCTGGTGAAGTACGACACACCTCTGCTCGTGACAACCAAGAAGAAAGGCTCTGGAAGAATCAAGGTGATTATCTATTTTCCGAATATTTCACACTTATAATATTCGGAATATTTCACACACTTCGCGATTTACCGCTTAAAATTAGTCCGGAAACGCACAACTGGAAAATATATAACTAGATTATACCTCTAACTATTGTCTTGAAAGTAATACGTAACGTCCTAAGCCGAATTTGTGAATAAATAAAAGTGTTATGCTTTTACGGCAGACCTCAGCCACTGATCCCAGTCAACCCACGGATGTTTCAGGTGAGAACGCCATTTGCCTATCAACGAAGAAATTTTACCAATGTATCATTTTGCAATGGTATCATTTGTAGCCAAAAGTCAAAAGAAAGAAAAAATATTCTTATTGAAAAATATCCACCTATTTTAATTGAAAATATTCCCAGTGTTCGTATATTGTGCCACATTTTATGTTACCCGGTATGATTTCGATCTTTGATTAATATTTCATAATATATACTCATGTGCCTTTCAATGATCACTATTTGAACATTTAACTAACTGACGATGTAAAATCTGATGTCTATGCTTAAGATTGTTCCAATCTATGACAGTTCTACAGTGTAATTCTACCTTTATGATAAAAATCTGAGTGACATTTTAGTAGGTGCTCAGACCACAACCTAAACAATTTCCTAACCGATGACCGAATTTCTAACATTATAATTCATCATTTCGAGCAGTACCATTCTAGTCACATATAATAGAATGTTTTTTATCTGTGTACTATAAAAATTTTATTCATCGTGCATTATAATACTCATTTCTATGGCGGCAGAGAGCAGCATGACGAGCGCGCCAGGCATGACTGGCAGCGTCCCGGCAGGCGGGGCGCTGGGCACGACAGACGCGGAGGATCAGCCCAGGGTCCCGGGGCTGCAGGAGCTCAGGAACATGGAAACTGAAGAGGTCCTAAGGCTCATCCTACCTCCTCGGCAGTGGGAGCAGGAAGGTTAGACCAGATATTACCAAGCTCATCCTACCTCCTCGGCAGTGGGAGCAGGAAGGTTAGACCAGATATTACCAATTATCATGGGATTGCTTGACTCGTTATTTTACCTCAGAATTTTTTGTACCCAGTTTTGTAAGAAGCTTTTCTTGTATTATTTGTTTTTCCTTTTGTATTGAACTCGGGATCGTTTATATCCACATGAAAGATCAACCTTTTTTTATTCTCACGCTCTATATATCACATGTCATGAAGACATTACTCATCTGTAGTTGAGGGTCCAGTAGTAGTAGTACGTACAGTACTATTCTACTAGTCTAAAGATAACACAGCATTAAGCGTACCCGTACACTACAGTACATTATTTTTTCGTCTGAAGGTCAGTTATGGGTTCAGTCAGTGTCAACAACTCCTGCCACATCTGTAGACGTGCAGCAGCTGCAGGAGCAGCTAGACTTACGTCTGCAGCAGCTCGCAGCTTACGAGAATGGCATCTGTCCTGTCAGAAGAGAGTTGTACACTCAGTGCTTCGGTAAGTAAATAATTTACTCTTGATTGACTTTGGGGCGTAATTAACCTTGAATTAATCGACTATCTTGTTTATCGTTTATATACGGTATTGTATTTTCCAGTATATAACCTAATATCACTAACAATATTTTTGTCGTAACGCTGCGGAAACCAGAATGTACTGTATTCCTATGTATTTAAAAATTATTTCAATTTTTCATGTTGTTAAAATAAATTAGCCTCTATTTTAGACAACATGAAAATGGAAGACCAATATAATGGTTGAGGGATGTGTTGCCAGATGAACTCATCCGACAAGTGACCATCAACTGCTCAGAGCGCGGCGTGCTGCTGTACCGCGTGCGCCACCAACTCAGCGCTGAGCTGCACGCCTACCAGCGCCTCTACACCTCGGCATGCGCCTATGGGGTGCGCAAGGCGCTCATGGTAATAACGATAGAATCAAGGATTAAATCGAGAGGCTTCACTCCCCAGTTTCGAGACCTCCCCCAACCCCAACTCCCTATTCTTACAATTATGCAGAATATAGGAGAAGCATCTATTCTTCATATTTAACTGTCTTCTCCGTTTCTGTTTCCTCTTTTTGGCACTCTGCGCCACCTCATGTTTTCCCACTCTTTCTTAGTGGCAGTGGCTCGTCCTCCCCTCGCCTTGAACCCGACTAGCTCGTCCCAAATGTCTAAAGACGCTAACACCAACAACCCCACGTATCAAACCCCACGTGTGTTCCAACAACCCCACGTGTGTTCCTACAACCCCGCGTGTGTTCCAACAACCCCACGTGTGTTCCCGTGTGTTCCAACAACCCCACGTGTGTTCCTACAACCCCGCGTGTGTTCCAACAACCCCACGTGTGTTCCAACAACCCCACGTATCATCATTTCCATCTTGTCATCAGGATTCATCTTCCTCTAAATCAGTGATTCCCAAACTGTAGTTTTCTAACTATCACTGGTACAAGTGGGCATTCTAGGCATACGCAAGTATTTCTAGGCATGTGGTGTTACATTACATTATTTGCTAATTATAAGCACATTGATTGACGTATAATGCAACTAACTACTAATATATTAATTTTCAATGCGGGGCTTCCTATCATACTGTATTAGTTGTATGAGCTTACACGAAATATTAAACATTTAATCGCATGTAATCTCATAACATATAAAAGTGAAAACGCGACGTATTCCGAAAACGGGGTCAACACGCATTGCGTTTAGCAGTAACTGTGAAAAAGTTTTGTTTTGTTTCACGCAGGCAGAAGAGCACAAGGTGCGCCTTAGCAGCGCATGCGAAGAGAAGCGACAGCAACTGCAACAGTTACAGGAGAGAGCGGAGCAGCTGAGGGGTGAGATCGAGCAGCTGCGGCAAGAGGAGCAGCAAGTCAGGCAAGAGGAGAGCGAAAGGCACCTCGAAGCGAGGCAGGCCCAACAATCAACTATAGAAATTCTTAAGGTGAGACCACATTGTTTTCATACAATATGGTGAACCTAGAAAGTTTTATATTATGTTCATGATCATCATTCAACGGTTTTATTTTATTTTTCGTTAACGAATTTTTCTTTCAAACTCTTCAGAAAAAGCTTGAAGGAATCATCAAACAAGCAACGCAAACAAAGAAGTGAAATATAAAACATCTGTGGTCCAAATTTGCAAGTAAAAGTGCACTACAATAACCACGTCCAAGATAAGCTTCAAAAGCAAATTATTTCAAGTTAAGCGAGAGTTAATTTACTAATTCTAAAATATTCACCAGAAAATGATGTAAAAATGTATTGAGATTAAGAAAATATTTAATAAACTTGAACGTTTCTCTCGTTTTATTTCCCATTTGCGAATTAAATCGGTTCGTTATACATAAAATTTGTTAAAACTTGAATTCGTCCCAGTTTATATACACATGTAAATGTTACTTACGTTGAAAAGCTCAGACAGGGCCCAGGGGTTAAAGTTGAAACCCATGATTGGGGCAGGGAGTTTCGGTTTCGGTGAGTTGCTGGTTTATAGCCCCACAATCCCTGAATTTTGCGATGACATGAGTCGGCGACAGGCCATATTTGTCCTACTAAATGCGGATAACACTTTTACATTACTGTATATTACATCACACTACAAACCGGTAAAGTTAGTCGTATATTATATTAAAGGTTAAGGTGCTTGTACAAGGGGACAGTGCAGGCGGCAAGTAGATCTGGCAAATGTCGGTCGCTTGGTGACTATCCGGCAAGTACTCGATTCTCTCTTCATTTTGTTGGAGTAACCATCATGGCAAACATTCCACAGTAATTCATATTTCTGGAATATCTCAAAGAACAATTGAATATCGTCTAGACTTAACTTTGTTGGGTTCTTCTTAGAACAATTATCGTGCAAACAAGCCATGATTCACTTGACCCAAGATACTTCACAAGAGTGACACAGCTACTCTCACTATGGCTGAATCAGCGCTACTGGCCGCTTCTCCAGCGAATAAATCAACACATCGTTGTCCCTCTCGGCCGCGTACCGAGCACATGCCGGCAGCCGGCACATACCTCTGAAGCGGCTGAACCTCTCTATGCATGAGGCCGCCAAAATGGCGGCGGATAAACTGGCGGCCAGTACTGTCCCCGTGTACAGGCACCTTTACGCAACTATTTTGATTCAAGACGGAAAACCTCCGTAGTGAATTAACTCATCTATCATCTACAGAATTTGACAGACAAGAAGAGATTAAATCGTTAAACGTTTATTCGTACATTTATTGTCAATCGCTATCGTTGCAGGTGACGAGCTGTGCTCTGCAGCATGGTTGAATAAGATTGACCCACGGCGATGACGATTTTTCGCCGTTCTGCGCATCTCTAGAGTGACGTCACTGTGGGCACATAATGTAAATAATGTAGATCAACAAATTGTTCGTATGTCATCTTTGAAAGTATTTAAAAAATTGACCTCATCAAAATGGCCCAAAAAAATTATTTACTGTATGCAACTAGTCGTATTTCAAGTAAAACCAGTGTTACAAATCAGTTTTACGTCACGAAGTGACGTCACAAGAGCATAGTTGACGTCACAGTTGAAATAGCAAATGACATCCGCAAGGCGCAGCTGCACGTGAGGAAAACCGTGTATTAGTTCAACCATAAAAAAATTTATCTCATTAAAATGGCCCAAAAGAATTTATTTACTGCTACTAGTCTCATTTTAAGCCAAACTGGTGTTGCAAATCAGTTTGAATCACACTGTGACGTCACAACGACCAAGGTGACATCACGGATAGAATAACAAATGGCATCCGCAAGGCGCTGCTGCGCGTAGGTCAACCCTTGTATAAGTTGTATTAGTTCAACCATGCTCTGCAGAATCTCATGTACAAATATGTGACAGATTTTGCATTTGCCGGCGAAATTCGTTGATTAGGGTGAGTTGGCATAGTGAATAGTGAGTTCACTGAGTTGGCAGCAATAAAAATCTAGGAGCTCCTTAACATTAAAGTAATTGTTGGGGCATACATATACCTAACTTCCTAAGAATTGAATGGTTGCTCCACGTACCCGGTACCGGTTTTACATAGTTTTTGAAATGTATAAAATTTAGGTGCTTGTTTGCTTTTGTGAGCGTATATGGCCGTTTTCTCATGCAACTCTCGACCCTAAACTGGCGTAATGACTACCGTAATCATTGTCGAGTTGACACGAGCATTTCATGGTAACCCGTCTTAATTTCTTGCCAATTTGAGTGCCTAGTAATTGACAATTTTCTTGTCTTGTCTGAATGGTAATGTGGTCAGACAGTTTTTTATCTGTATTGATTATCGTTCTGATGAAATATGTACCAACATACAAAATTTTTGGTTCATTTGATGAATCGAGAAGGCGCCAGTGTGCCAGCTCGATTTGGAAACTGCCTCCTAGATCAGCTGACTGAGTTGAGTGACCGTAAATGCGAGGAACTAACTTCAAATATATCACAATCACTCGGAGAAAATTTCTTCAACGATCCTTCTACGAACTCTAAAAAAGAAATAAACGTGCTGGGAGTTGAAAAGAAGGGCCTCTATCAAGATGTTAACAATATTGTGCCCCAAACATTGCTTGACCCTCACGCATGTAGTATAAAATTGAGCTGGGAGACAAACTTTATAACATTGATGAATATTGCTCACAAATCTGTCAAGATCCAAAATGAGGCAACTTACACTTTGAGGGTGAGTAATTTATTGCCTTATGACTTTGGTCTGTACTTGGTGTACAAAATGAAACTGTTAACCATGAGTTTGACCTAAACTTGAATACTTGATGATGTGTTAATAGTAGAACTTGTGAAGACTAAAAAACTCTCTTTCTTAAATTCTTGCATGTTACATTATACATATTGATAACATTTTTATAGTTACATTATACATATTAATAATATTTTTATATGGTGGGAAAGCAACATGTCTTTGAAAGCCTATATGTAATTTGTTCTGTTACTTTTTATTTAAGTTTTTAATAGATATTCTTGTTATTTTTTGTTCTGTTGTTTTTGTTTTTTATCAGCTTATGGCACAGCAAGCACCAAGCACAAGAAGGTAAGCTAACTGCTACAATCCTGAGCTTCGGAATAAAAGTTATGTTCCCAAGTCCCAACATAGTGGAAACTGTCGAATGGGGGATTTTTTTTTAGAATCACTTTGTTTCTAAATTCTATTTGTCTGATCTAGATCAAAATTTCATTCATTATCTTATCCCTATGGAGCCTAATTGAGGTGAATGCCGGGGTTATGATAATTATTCTTCCATAACCCATTTATATACAACTACAGTCTACATACAAGTATTTACTAGGGCCTTTTTGGAATTTTGGGCAGAATTTTCCTATCATCATGAGAGGAAATATTGTTTCACAGTTAAATTTCTCAAATTTCAGGTGAAAATTGGCTGTTTTTTTATTTTTTGCTGAAGAAATTGGGAGAAAGTACTAGGAATGGGTGAAATTGGCCAGATTCATGGGCAATAATTGGACATAGTTGTCTGATTTATAGGTGGCTTTTGCTGAATTTTCTACTAGTGTAGTACTGTAGTAGGGAATGTCAAAAGAAAAAATCTTGTTTGCCATCAAGTGTCTCCAAAACCCTAATTTGCAATATTGGGTAGGTTGAAAAAGATTACAAGTGTTATGGGAATTTTATCTAGAATAAAACACTTGTGAACTTATGCTGTTCTATTACTATTTTAATTTATGCTGATCTATAAATTTGTTAACAGAAATTAGCCATTGTTCACAGGCTTGTGTGGTTTTGGCTTATCAGTTCAATGGTTGTCTTCTGCTTGATTTTCAAGGTTTGCTGTTTGTACTGCCTGTCAATTACTGATAAGTTACCATAGTATTTGTGCAATTGTGCCCATTGTACCCATTGTTGTATCATGTAAAATAATGTTGGTGTCTCTAAACTAGAGTAGGTGTAACCAGCAATAATTTGTATCAAATTTTAATTATTATTCATTAATTTGCTAAACATTACATTGTTGATGTAAAGGTTAATTCTTATCTATTTGTTTTTCAGCACTCTGAATTCTGTCCTGCAAGACTGCAGCATCAGCAGGATAGGCAGCACCCTGAGCATGATAATGGATTGGAGACTGAAGATTTAACAGACAGAGGAAATACCAGTCACACTTCAAGTAACAATGATAAAATTTCCCAGGGCATTGCTGTTGGTGTGAGTGTTTTGGTACAGTCTAAAGATGGCAAGGTGCTGCTCACAAGACGTGCTAAACACATGAGGACATTTCCAGGAGCTTGGGTGCCACCTGGAGGCCATGTTGGTGAGTGTGCAGCTGAGCAACTTATCATTATTTTGATGCTTACATATTCAAGTTTTTTGTACGATGTGATGTTCAAAAACAAAATTTTGATTTTTCTAAAGGCCTCAAGTGCTTATGAATTTATCTATCACCCAGCTGACCAGAAATATTTATGATGCTGTTTCCCTTAAGATTTTAATGTACAATATAATTTTTTATGGTACTCAATACTCATATCCTGGAACAAATTAACAATTAATTTATCAAATCTAAATGAACTTTCTGCAATATTGAAGTGGAAGTATGTGAATATGTTTTAAATGAGAATCTAAGTGCATGACTTGGGTTGTGTTGAGAGGTGGGTGAGAGCATGGAAGCAGCGGGATCCAGAGAGCTGTTGGAAGAAACTGGAGTGGCTCTAAGCCCTGGAAACCCTGTTGAAGTTAGTTGTATAATTATTTATCATGGTAGAAATAAGAACCAATTAATTTGGTCATAGCCCACACACTATAGTGATAATGGTTTATGGTTTCAATGAAAAAATTTTTATTTTTTTTTTATTTTTTCCAAGTTTACCTTTTTTTTATTTCTCATTTTCAAAACAATCATTGGAAATTACTCCTTTCATTATTGGAGGTTACTTGGAGGTCAACATTGGAGGTTACTCCATTCATTTAATTAGTAAAATTTTCCGGTAATTAGCATAGTGAATTAATCTATAAATTATTTTTAATCTGTATTTGTCTCTTGATATTTAATTGCAGGTTGTTTAACTTGATGTGTGAATGATAAAACTGTAAATTGAAGAGATATAAAATTGTAAAATGGCTTGAAACTTGATGCCATCACACTTTTAAAAAATTTGAGCACTGATAGACTTGAAATTTTTGCATTATCATATTTGATCCATTATTTAGTGACATTTGTGTTCAAATTGCTGTTGCAGGTTTTGGGGATGTGGGAGTCAGTTTACCCTCCAGTTCTTGGCTTAGGCCACCCTGTCCGTCAACATCTTGTGGTCTACCTGTTGGCATTGCTGCCCTTACCTGCTGACTCCATTCAGGTCCAGGTTGGTGATGATGTAGGATTGTAGGCAATCTCAACAGAACTCAAATTTTTCACTGAAGTATAGCTAGTTTAAAATTAATTCTTATCTTTCTATCTCTTTCAACTTCATTGCTATTTATATTATTTGGATATTTTCATTAAAAACGTTGACTCCGATTGCTTCATCTTGTACTATTATTTGCTTTTTGTACGATCAGGAAGTACAGAAATTGAGGATTTAAATTGATTTTCCATTGGTCATATGCATTCTACTACCGGAATAATATGTATAATGTATTAATAAATCCAAACTAGTATGGTAAAACCTATTTGAAAAATAAGTGTCGAAATAATTGAATTGGGTTATTGCGTTGGCCAGCTAAAATTTATGATATGGATGGGTACTCCCTAATTAAATGTGAAAACTGCAAAAAAATGGAATTTTTTCACCGGGACCTACAAATGTACTAGTATATATGAAGTAAGGTACGTCCTGGAGAAATACAATTCGTGATACGCATAAGTACCACTTCCCAGTCAACGTGTTAAAAACAAATATTAAGAACAAATGAACATGAAATGATTTATATGATACCTCTCACACTTTGAATTATTTAGTGGAAACAATCGCAAAAAATAAAGTGAATGAATGTCATTTATAGGAAAGTATAATTTAAATCACAACTTATTGTTATTGAACTGGTGTATTTAACTTCCAGTTACAAGCTAAGGAGGTGGATGCCGGAGTCTGGCTGAACTGTGAACAAGTTTCCTTGATGTTGCATAGAGGAGAAAAAGAAACGATGCCTTCAACTACTGCACAAACTCTGCCTGCTATCGTTGTCAACAAGGCGGGAGGTTCGTTGTCTCTAGTCCCATGTCGTGTTGTAGCAAACATGTCATCGCCATTAATACTTTATGTACTCAGAACTAAGAAGTTTTCAATTTTTTTTTTTGGAAATTCCACGTTGCCTCGTTAATTACAAGGTGATCGATCCTAGTCTTCTTAGTGATACTTATTTTAGCGTTTTCACAAAATTGTTAAAATCTAATTTTCTTCAGAAAGCGTCCCGGGTGAAGTAAATACGCTCAGGTTTCGCCAGCCAGTGGCTAATGAAACTGAAGGCCCCCGGATCACCTCTGGAACACGGTGAGATGCACTCAAATATTCAAGTGGGATTTTATTGAGGTTACAAAGGTATATAATCTTAAACAGATGCTCATATTTTCTTTGTTTTCTAGGTACGCACTTGTGTTGTGGTTGGACCGCTGTCGAAAAAATCAGCATAAGGCCGACCAGCCTTCATTCTCGGCTAATCTTTGAAAAGATATCACGAGTCTGCACTCTTAATTTCTATTTCAAGGGAAGAAATAAAAGACGGGTGTTCAAACTATTACGTGTGGATGTGAATTTTCATTTAATCCTCTCAGAAGCGGCATGACATACCACTACAAGCTTGGATAAAAAAAAAACACAAACGTGCTAAGGTTAAAAGGGTTATAAACCGCGCTGATTTTAAGTTCGGTTACAATATTGAATTTCCATGGTAGTAATCTAACATTTATTTTGATGTTTAAAAGCAAATTGTTTATAATTTGAGTCTTTCACAACATGGATCGTATCCATTTTAAAGTGATCCTGCTTTAACTAATTAACACTCCATTAGTAAATTACGATGTTTTCATTATAGGCGGCTCTTAAATTATGAAGTCACTTCTATTCAAAATTACAAATTTTACGAGACCATTCTTGATTAAAATGTATTAAATTAAGACTTATGAATCCCATATGTGAAATAAACTTAGCCCTGATCGCTGCATCAATACCTAATAAAATGTCAATCAAAATTTTCCCAATTACCAACCCAATGTATGCAACGGCCATCATGCTCAGCCGATAAGCTGCAATTAAAAACCACCTGTGGGATTCAAACGAATCAACCAAAACGTTGAAGTCAGCAATGCACTGAGAAAGGTCGACGGATTGTGAAATACTTTGCCCATATTTACGCAAAGAAAATACGTGACCAATAAATGGAGTATTGTAAAATTATTAATGTAATCGGAAATCGTATAAAAAGTTCATAGATCTCTGTAAATTCATATATTATTTCCTAGAATGGAACAACTATATTTAAAACGAGTCTCAGCACACTCGTAGATCAACGCATGTGACGTAATACATCAAGTTTATTAACTTGTGTTCCGTGAGCACGCAAGTCGAAAGCCTTGTGTATTGGGACTATTGCATGTTCTCAACCCTTTGTTGCAGTTTTTCAAGTTCATTCCTGATCTCTTCAGGCAAATCATTTCCGAGTTGTCCTTCCAAGTAGCACTTAACATCTCTCACTTCCTTCTGCCAGAAGTCCTTGGGAATATGAAAGAGTTCATCGATCTTAATGTTCAAGTGTGCAATGCCCACGAGGTCAATCGTTCCAGGTTTAGGTAGCAATCCAATGGGAGAATTCATGGCGATATCTTTCCCATCCAATCGTCTAAAAATCCAATCTAAAACGCGAATATTTTGTCCAAACCCTGGCCAGAGAAACTTTCCATCTGAACCTTTCCGGAACCAATTGACGTGGAAAATTTTGGGTAGTTTTCTGTTAGGTTCGTCCATACTCAACCAGTGCTTCAAATAGAGGCCAAAGTTGTAGCCGAAAAATGGCCGCATTGCAAAAGGATCGTGCATGATTTCTTTCTTGCTGTATTCAGCAGCTGCTGTTGCTTCAGAACGCATTGCTGCACCAATCATAACCCCGTGCTTCCAGTCAAGAGACTCGTAAACCATGGGAACTCCTTCAGGCCTTCTACTGCCGAAGAGAATTGCAGATATAGGCACTCCTCGAGGATCCTCCCAGGAAGGGTCCATTGTGGGACATTGAGACGCTGGTGTACAAAACCGCGAGTTTGGGTGAGCAGCGAGACCTCCAGTTTCTTTCCTCCACGGGTGAACGTTTCTCCACGAAGTTATGTCGTAACTGAAGTCCGTTTCTTCTTCGAGACCTTCCCAAAAAACTCCGCCGTCGTCTGTCTTCGCGACATTTGTGAACAAAGTATTCGACGCGATTGTCTTCATTGCAACAGGATTAGTTTTCGTAGATGTCCCCGGAGCTACTCCAAAGAAACCGTTTTCCGGGTTGATTGCTCGGAGAACGCCTTCGTCATCGAATTTCATCCACGCTATGTCATCACCAACACACTCCACTTTGTAACCAGGCAAAGAAGGAGTCATCATGGCCAAATTTGTTTTTCCACACGCAGAGGGAAAAGCAGCGGCGATGTAACGCTTTACACCGGCGGGATTTGTAATTCCAAGAATGAGCATGTGTTCCGCTAACCAACCTTCTTGATAAGCTAAAGCAGAGCCAATTCTCAAAGCAAAGCATTTCTTACCAAGAAGGGAGTTCCCCCCATAACCTGAACCGAATGAAATTATTTCTTTGCTGTCTGGTACTTGTGCAATGATTGTTTGATCAGGATTGCATGGCCATGTTTCTCTGTAATGGTGCATGCTTGGTAACGGACAGCCAACGCTGTGCAAACACCGAACAAAGTCTTCTTCATCCAACGTTCCAAGAACAGCTCCGCCCATCCTTGTCATGATTTTCATGGACGCCACTACGTAAGGCGAGTCGGTGAGCTGAATCCCAATTTTAGAGATAGGCGAGCCGATCGGTCCCATGCTAAATGGTATCACGTACATGGTTCGTCCCGCCATGCATCCAAGGAATCTATCGCGCACGATCTCCAAAAGTTTTTCCTTGGACATCCAGTTCCCCAACATGCCCTCCACACCTGGTTGAGGTTCAGGCACGGCGTCTGTTTTTTTCTCCGTGACAACAAACGTTTTTTTCTCAACTCTTGCCACGTCATTAGGATCAGTCCTAGCGAGATAACATTCGTGATATTTGTCCAGCTTCTCGAGCATCCCTGTTCGGCACATTTCTGCTTTAAATTTCTTCATCTCTGCCTCTGATCCATCACAAACATGGATTGCTTTTGGTTTGCAGAGTATGGCAGAGCGCTCCACGAATGAAGCTACCTGAAAAACAATAATTTTTCCATATCTTTACGAAATCAGTTTATATTTTAAATCAAGATTTGGACACTCAAGGTTGACGGCAATGATTTAATTACACTCGGTAACGTTTAATTAATATGAACGCCATGGAACGAAAAAAAACATTATGAGCAGTAATTTTACGATACAAAAAGTTCGCAATATAATATTAATTAGAAAATCAAAAAGTTTCTCATTGGGGTGAAGGACAATTAATGGGACACACAAATATTCCTTTAGTGCATATCATTCATAGACACTACCATGCAACGTTTGCTATTATTACAGGTTTCCCATTTCCCAACTCTAAAAAGTGTTTACATTTACGAAGATAGTTATTCTAAAGTCACCGCGATTGCAATGAAGTATCATACCTTGGGTGGCAGCTGAGCGAGCGCGCGGCTTGCTGCGATGTCAGCATCTCGCTGCAGCGTGGGTATCATGGAGCCGAGACATCTCACGCCCTGACGCAGCACAAGCCCAGAGGCAACAGCCCTGCACAAAGCTGTCATATTTCAGCACGCTTCAACTTCGAATAACAATTTTGCCATTAAAAACAAAATAATTACCGTCAATGCTTTTACTATCCCTACTGATGCAACAAATTTACGGAATATCAATGATGATTGTTCTTGTCAAACTAGTATTCCAAGTACGGTTTACCTATCGACTTCGAAGTTTTCTAAATAAGTAGAACATTTATATACATGATTTTTTATTCTGTAACCGCTGTTCCATCAGAACAGTCTGACTAAATCAACCCCGTGTCATTTTGGCTGCAAAGTTACTGATGACGAAGCTGCGGAGACTTCAGGCAGCAAGTCATTGCCATCACGAGGTATGGTTTCGACTTCACTTGTTGGAAGCTAGCGATACCCTGACTTAGTACACTTGATACCGTATATGATTAATATATAATGGATAAGTGTACAAGACTTTTGCATAATCAATAACTGACTATAAATTTAGAACACGGTAAAAATATTATTGATCCTTGACTTTAAATAGCCTTAATTTGAGGATCACGAATTTCATTTGAAATTAAGGGGTTTTACTCTAAACGGAGTGATCAGGGATAACATACGATGGTGTGAAGCATGGTATTCAATGCATTCATACTGAACAATATTATGGAAACTAAAACTATGCAATGATAAATCAAAAATGATTTAGAACCCAAATATACAATACAAAAAAAAAAAAAATTGCGGCCAACTGAATTCTTGCTTGAAATTGGTCAAGATTTGGCACCTAATTCTGGGATAAAACCAAGCGCGTTCCCTAGTCATTTATGGCGACTGTTGAATGAAGGAGGTAATCTATACTAATAAATGAGGTATAGTCTAGATTACCTCTAAGGCGGTAATCTATACTAATTTATGCCGTCATCGACTTCCTTGTCATCCTGCTAGCTTCGGTGGCCCAAGCCTACACTCAGTCGACTGCAGATACCAAATCACGGCCAACCACTCAATAAGTGGATGGCTGACTGCTAACGCCACACATACATGTTCTTGTTATCAGATGATCAGAGCACTGCGGCGAGAGAGGTCATCATTGGTGATTAGATATCCGCCACCCACTTCGGAATCCTCAACAAGGACTCTCCTCCTGCTTTCCCTCCCATGGACTTCTCACTGCGACAAATCACACCATTATCAGCGAGCATCTTTTTGACACGATACTCGCCTCTTAAGTATTCTTGAACTCCAACCACCTCCGTATTATGATCTATTATCACTGAGCGTCTCTATATAGGATTCCATCTACTCCACTTTCCTAGCCCGCCCCACGGCCAGCTGTTTATTGAGAAAGCCAAATGGCCTGCCTTCACAGCCGCGGTTTGAGCGTCGTTCGAGACGGCAGCCAAACATCCTATTCCCTTCAGCTTCAGGAAGGACTCTTTCCTCTCCGCCAACCCTAGCTCACTAGGCTACTTGTTGAGCAAAGAGATATCAAAGAGTGCTAACCTAATAATCCCAGCTTCCAAATCTTAGCTGGGTAATCACCTTGTTCTAACAGTCCCATTTCAGGGAAACTGCTGGGCGTATCGTGAAACAGACGCACTCACCCGTCAACGCTTTGCAGCCTCTTTAGTTCCCTAGATAGAAAGCGCTCCCGCCGCCAACCCCGGCAGCGCCAAAACCAGCATATACAGTTTAAGTACACCGCTCTACCTCATCCTAACACAAGACCCAACGGCTTTCATCTCGAACACCTGAACCCCCGGCATCCAGGATATCACTTGAACCTCTCTTTAAACATTTCTGTCTTCACTGCCTTAAGCCTGGCTATACAGAGGCAGTGAAAACAGTTCAATCTGTCTTCACTGCTTCATATCGCACTTTTGTCTTCGTATCTAAATAATTATCCCTAGCATCAACCCCAGAAAACTCAGGGAACAGGGTTCGATAAGCACCTTGCACTGCTTGTCTTATAGGCATCATTGCTGCCCAGTAATCGACAGTAGACCTTGCCAAATCATGTCACGCTCTTCACACTTAAACACCTATCAATAACCTAAACACCTATTCTTCCGCTACAGTCTGAAATGGCCTCATCTCATCCTCCTTGTATACAAGTCCAAAAATCCTGGAGGTCACTGTCTTAGGGCCTCAATGACCATCCCCATACCTAAGAAAAATGCCCTAGCATGCCCACTATATATTTCTTGTCACTGCCCTTCAGCCCTCCCACCTTTTCCTTCGTCTCTGCCCCCGCAGCCTCGTAGGACCCAGGCATGTGGAGGCTGCGTTATTGTCCAGGTTTCCCGTACATTGTGGCATCACTCATGATGAGCGGTATTCAGTTCGCCCGATCTTACGGCCCACGGAGATGTGAATCGTTGACCTTCCGCCCAAATCTACGATACCATCGAAATCAATAGGGCTGACCTCCGATTACTCTTGAGGAGACCTCGTTCCCTCGGTCATACTGTTCAGCGCTAGCTATTGCAGTTCACCGATACCGGTATCTTAACATATTTTGGGTGGCACACTCGTAGCTCACCAAGCGTCGCCTGCTCCAAGTGCGGAGACCCTTCCAATTCACCCGGCATTATATTGTCAGTCCGCCTGGCATTATTTTGCAAGCCCCTCCATTCCCGCGATCCTCAGGGTCTTATCTATGTGGGACCGTGCTGTGTTTGTGGTTGCCTTCGTGACCACCCTCTTTCTGCCGGCTCGCATGACCGTCGCCGCAAGAATCAAGAATAAGGGTGCAAAAGTTTCAATTGTTTAGCCTCAGTTTTATTTTAAAATATATATTAAATTGTACTTGAAAAATGACCATGTTTGCGTAATATTTTTTCAACATGCTGTGGACGCGTAAAATTGAATACACACGGAAGAAACAAATAATTACAAGGATTATTTTGTTTTCATTCAGCAAATTTTAAATGGTAATATTGTTTTGTCGAATTCAAACTCGTGGCACTCGTCATTCGCTGGGAGATTATTCTGCAAGCCAATGCGGCACAAATGTATTCCGTCGTAAACAAGTTAATCCAGTTGCCAGCATTTCTTAAAAGGCCAAACCTCCGTGTTGAAGGAGGCAGGTGACTTTTCGATGCCTGCATGATAAATCAAAGGTGTCTAGGAAAGGCTTCTGGAAATGCCACCACGCCGTCCACGCGGCAAGTGCATTGCAGTCGAGAAAGTTCAAATTTTGAGGGGCACCAAGTCAATTCGTACTGGACCAGCATACCAAATTATTATAGACACCGATGACTTGGGAACAAACTCCAGGTACGTGATACAAATAATTAACTACTAATAGCATAAATTAACAATTACTTCATTCCTTATAATGAAACTTAAACGATTATAGTATAGAGTGCATGGCAAATTCTTACATTCCACTCATGATCAGAAGTTAAATTTCGACACAATAAACGGAATCAATTCGCCTAACTTACAAGCGGTCTACAAAGGATAATTCTTCATAAATTTCCATCTATATACATGCCACTAGCCAGCGATTCATTAAAAAATTAATATTTTTGTTCAACCAGTAAAGCATCTCACGATCAGGATAGAGGGGGAAATGATAGACGCTTTTTCTGGTCTCAGTATAGAACCCTGTAAAAATAACAGATTGTTACAAGTTACATAAATACAAATACATGTAAAACGATTATAAACACTATAAATCAAATTAGCTATTAAAGTAATTGGTACAGGATGACTGTTGCAACACTTTAGTACTTACTCTAATATGAGGTTCTGGCCCAAGGTATCAAAAATACTAAAAGCTGGAATAAAGTTGGCTATATTGTCGTATTCAGCTGTGGTTACGTTCAGATATAAACAAATTTTAATATTACAATTAAATCTAATTCTAAATTTCTAAATATTTTTATTATATTCATACAAAATCTTAAATATTAAACTGGACCGCTACACCAGCATTAATCGAATAATTTTCGTTTAATTTGTTCTGAACAAAGGAAATTAATTGCGTAATCATTATCTACGTTATACTCCGTCCTCACAGTCGATGTTCTAATACTAGTAAATTCGATTTTGTACGATATTTTCTTCATTCATGTTTCGACATCATGAAGATTGCACAAATGTATAAGTATATACATCATTTCAGTACAGTCTAACCATCGTTCAAGATATTTATGCCGAATCCAAACAGTTTAAAGTAATTTAGGTCATCTCTGAAAAAAGTTCTCTTTTTACGCGACGCAGATGTGCTATAACTTACACATGCGCAACAATCGTTCAATCATAATAACACCAGTACCTACCGTACAAAATAACTTATCTCCAGAAGCAAGGAGTGACTGGAATAATGATATCGCTCATTTATAGCAGCCACGTGAGATTATTAGTAATGTAATGCTAGCCGTGCACGTATGCAGGACTCAAAATTTCTCCATCACTGACAGGATGCATATAACTAGATTCAGGCGGCACCAGGGAGCTGCGTCATCAAAACACCCTCAAGTCGACAAGGCAAGCTACGTGAGCCATGCATTGCTCCCAATGGCCGGTCTGTAGTGGCATAATCAAGAAAAGTTCAGAATACTAATGTGCTAAGCGCGCCGTAAATATCAAATCTCAGTGGCCTTAACGCGACAACATTGGTAACAGACTTCTTTCATTGGATATAATAGCTGATAAAACAAGAATCTAAAATAAGAACATTTGAAATTTTCTAAGATCTTTGTCTGTCCAAAAACGCTATTATTTGTCGCCAATCAGATTTGGGTGTGGCGGCCGATTTATGGTAAGGCTCGGAAATCGTCACTAAGCTCAAGTAGACAGACAGCTCAACGTTAAAATGACAGAAGGTAAGATGCCTGATTGACTCTTAAATTAAATTGGTGATACTACAGTTTGAGAAAAATGTTGCCTCTGTTTGATGTACAGAGGCTACAGTGGTTTTGCTGCAAAAATTTAGTATCTGTGCGCACTATAAACGCATTTCACCACCAGGCACCAGCACCAGGCTAATTCTAATATTATCTCTAGAGACTCCAGCTACAGTTGTTTTGCTGCAGAAATTTAGCATCCGCGCGCACATAACGCATTTTACCACCAGGCACCAGCATCAGGCTAATTCTAATATTATCACCTAGTCACTAGTTAATAATAAACTATTAAGAAGCGTTTAAAGGATACCTTATCCGGTTATCGATTTACCCAAGTCGTGATATTGCCCTTTTATTGGTCTGCCACGGTTATTAGGTCAATAATTACTAACGCCTTCTGAATATGAAATTTGCATAATTCCAATTCTAATTTAGCTGTCAAGATTAATGAAAAAGCACTGGATAAAGATTCTTAGTTCGAAATTTACTTCTTGCCCTTCATTGCCATTCTAATAGGCTAAGTGAACTTTTCTGGTTGAAAGGACACAATTTATAGCTATGCGACAAATTTGCAAAGCTTTACAATTTACATTGTACAAAACCTCTTGTATAATGAATTCGCACAATGCTCACCTGCTTGTGACTGCACGATGTGCGCACAGCATTCTTCCTTGAAATCGTGAGGATCTTCCTAACTAAAAATGTATACGATAGAAAAACAAAGAAAAATTGCTTCTGATTATTAAACCATAAATTATTTCCCTTCCAATAAAGTATAAAGAAAAGATGGTGAGAAACAAGTAGTAAAGAAAATAAATTCCTTTTTACACTAAGCCGATTTGAGAAATGAGCAATACTCAAATTTTATTAAACAACACCAATGTGTAATAAGGTCAAGGTTTAACTAGCTAATTAATTTATTATCCCAATATTTTTACGATAACAAAAACATAAAGAGGATCTCGCCGCAGCGTGTGCGAGATTGACAGTAGTTGGTCCGGTTTATGTGCCGATTTTCACCAAAGCACTGAGATTTCACCTTGCAAACATAGAATCGCGCACTCGCTATTCGTGCACGACCACTCCACTTGACTAGAGTCCAATCACTAACAAAATGAGGAACTGGAAGCAGGGAGTCACTCACTGACCATGCGGGATTCCTGTCCCATATAACCTTACTACCGTGAACAATTCCGTCTTGTCACACTTTTTTCCGATTGTTCAGGTATATACAGATAATGGAATTATCAAATATTGGTACTTGCTAATAGAGTAGTTGCCTCAAAAATCATCTAATGTCGGAGAAGTGTCGTACTGAAAAAGACGATCACGTCATTCAATTAGTTCGAGTGACCAGTTAACCTTAAAAGTTAGTAGTTGCAGCATGCGACATAATTCACTATGATTACCCCCAAAAATCATGGGTGTCGTCTTATTGCAAGGCAATACGCATCTTGAAATGATTATATTGATGAATTTTCATGCCTCCAGACGGTGTTTCACAAATGTGGCTGCCGTAAGAATTCCGAGACGATAAATCGCGTATTAAATGAAAATTATAATCGACGAACGTTTCAGTTACTGATTTCATTTCTCGGCGTACATGGGCCATATGCAGTCTGGTTTTCATATTTCACTCTGCATTAAATGCAGCAATGTGGACGGATTTGCACACATCTGCAAGAAATGTATTATATATAATCACTTGATATTTAGCTGAAACAAGCCCTCTAAGCTGGCCGAACTTTAAATCTCAACTCGTCGAACCTTAGCCCGAAGTTCTCGAGTCTTGTGTTCTATCAAGTTTTTTTTACAGAAAATTTAGCTTTTAAAATATTTATGCTGATATAAAAGAATTGTATTTTCTGGTAAAATAGAGTTTATCTTAAATATACTTCAAGACATGGAAACAATCGACTTTGCATCCAGGTGGCGAGCGCTTCGTAATAACAACTTTGATCAAATTTAAATGAAAACGACGAGCCCACTTAAATCCATATTTTAGCTCGGCAAGTATCTTCAGATAATGTTTTACATATTCTGTTCTAAATTTATATTAATTTATTTCCAGCAAATAAGGCAGGCATAATCTGTGTTATATGGAACCTGAATGTACGTAATTTCAAACACGCATTTCCCACCCTTCTGGCGCAATTGATTACGTGCTGGCAATAGCAGATTTTTTTCAGTACTTGTGTACTGTAACCGACTGTCTTTGCCCAAAAATCTCCGCTATGATAGCTGTTGAGAGTTGAGACTCATTCGTTATAGCTCGAGCAAAACGATTTACCACAGCGTCGCGTCTCGGGGAGCAACTGAGAATTTAATGGATTTTGTTTCCGTCCCTACGGCAATATAACGGAAAAACACATACGTTGCAGAAATTATTATTAGTAACCTGTAAAAACCTAGCATATAAAACGTTTCCTTTAAATAAGATGTGTAATTTCGGGTGAGACGTCATATTTCTGCTCGGAAGAGAGCATTTCGGTGAGGTGTGCTATATGCCCAGAACGCAGAAGTCATGGTTGAATGTATTAATTCAACTATGGCAGAAGTGAGACAAATTTTATGCTCATGAGTGGGTTTTGTGCTCACGAGTAAGCTTTCTCTCAGCGGTAAGCTTTATGCTCAGAAAAAAAGCCTAGCAAAAGAACACTGTCATTTTTTTCAGAATGTTCTCGTCTGAACAGGTGAGGTGACCGCAAATATCGACACTGCTGTGTGCTCGTTAAGACTTCTTTGTTGTTAGGGCTAATCTTCCTCTCGGTCTTGTTGCTCCAGGCAATTCAGGTGTTGATGCCATTTTCGTCGGACAGAATATCCTATTCTTAATGATTTGTCGTAAAATAATAATTAAAAATGTTTTAAAATTTATTTAGAATGTCTTTGATATATAAATAAATTCGTTTACTCTTGGAAGCATAATTTACATTCAATATTAACTTCTTTTATTAAAAAAATGTTTTTCTAGTTTGCGTTTTTAAGCTAAATTAAACCTTGAATGTTGGTTGATAATATGATATTTTTTTAAAAGGAGTGCTAAATTCTCAGTCATAATGATTTGAACAACATTCTAATTAATTCTTTGATCATCCTCGTTAACGTTCAGAGTTATATGAAAAATAGAACAGTTACTGCTATTGAATCAGTTTTCTAAGTATTTTCTAGTTCATTTGTTAAGTACTTGTAGTAGTGAAGTGCCTACATTTTCAAAACATTGTTAGAGCAGACATGTTGAGCACACTCTTAAACTCTATCTGCGATCATGCCGAATTTAATTAATACAACACAGTACTCCCTTATTTTGTGCTGTGCGCTTCAGTGTCATAAAATTGTCATTGTTATGTAAATATATTTTGCAAGTGCATAATATATAAGGCTTGTCAATAATGAAATGGTTAGGCTGGCGCTATCCGAGCTTGATAATTTCTTCAATTTTAATATCCCAAACCCTCTGTTCCCGTAATCCTTTAGCCTGTTGATAATAATAAATGTTATGTGTTCTTATTATAAAAAACATTTTCAAACCCATATTTTACATTGAAGATAGAACTGAAATTTTACTCTCATATCTAAACACGAAAAAATTAGATCAGTACTCACTGCCGTGAGTGACAGAGAGCGCATTTTCTCGTCCGCCCGTCCGTGAATCACGGACGAACATGACGAGCATAACAGCGTTTTTTTTTTATAAATGAGAAAATGCGCCAAGAAGGGTTTGGCTTCATTTAAATTAAAATTGCATTTACCAAATTCCATATTAAATTTAATTAAATGATCCAATCCCTTTCTATTATCCCAATGAGGATTAAAATTTCAGATATTCCAACACGATTAGTATCCTGGAAAAGCGCCCCAATTGACCCTACATATATGTGTTGCCAGGCTATTTTAACGACTTGTAACATAATCTTGAGTTGAATGATACCTTGAAAACTGTTGATACTGTAAAATAATCAGACGAAATCGACATTAATTTCTTTGTTGATAACTTAAGTCATTGTAATTTTTAACCAATAATTTACGACAAGATTTTACGAGATTCGAACAATGAATTTGAATATTCCATGATCGCTACAACGCAATGTAGTAATCTTATGAGATTAGGACCTTCAATTTCAATAGAATAGAAGTGTCGGCATTGAAAAAATAGGCCCTTTGTAAGGTGTATATATATATATATATATATATATATATAATGAACTACTTTAACTGAATTCACAGCGCAGTAACACTGTTACCAATCTAAAGGTTTCTCCTATTCCTCGGCAACCGATCGAACTTCAACAACCTTCCCACAAGATTGTCTATAATTCCTACAATTTGATTCCTACAGACTGTCGGAACTGCGTTACTGTGGCAGGTCCTGGGGCTTATCAAGCGCGTTACTAGCTGGCAGCCCGTATGGAGGCCACATCACCTCAGGCGGCGGGTCGTAGGGGTCATCGCTAGCTTCTGAATTATGTTATAACGCTGATGAAAGAAGCACTTCTTCCTTGCTTCTTTGATGAAGGATGCCAACATCAACTTGCTGATGAATCTGCGGCACTTAGTAATATTTTTAATGAATAATACAGACTTATAGCTGTGGGCACTTTGTGCACATCATTATCTTGTTAGGGTACTGGTAAGCTTGACGCTTACTTCTTGGTTAATTAATTTTCACAGTCAGCTCTCAGCGATGCTCCGGCACCAACCCTGAACGGAATCATCGCGGAGGCCAGCAGGCAGGCCCAAGCATGATCACTAAAAATTTCCGTTATATATGTTTGGTTACCAAGTGAATTCAGATCTTCTTATTGGCTGTCGTCAGGCGACACACCTTCCTCAATCCGTTCGCTTGATTGGCTCGCTGATAGCTTACCTAACCTCCATTGGATGTCGTGGTGCAGGCTTCCCGAGTGAGACTTGAATGACAACGGCTGCCCTTAGCTTTGTTAACTGCTGCCCTTAGCTTTGTTAACTGAAGAGAAAAATTTACGTATTTTACTTTGTACGCCGCAGAAGTTTATCCAAATTGATCAAAAAACTAAATTAGGTCTAAGCTTTTTGAAAAATCAACCCGCAAATATTAACCAGTTTTTTGAGCTGCCTGTTCTCCATGATCATGATCATTCAGCCTGATAGCATTTGAATCTTTGCCGAAACCAAATATCAAGACGCGTTTTCAGCAGATCTTTAAACCCTCAGCTAGCATAAAAACAGAAAGTCGCTAATTTCTTTTACCATATTACGTAGTGCAAGGCTGCTTATCAGGCATCATCTCAGACTAGCGATAAACGATTGTAGCCTGCACGTAATAAGGAGCAATGTGCACATGACACAAAGAGGTCGTTAGATGCACGGGGTAAAATGCCTTGCATCCTTTCTTCAATTGAAACATAATGTTTTGAATTATAGTCTTTGTTACAAAATTTGTGTTTTAACAGAATACTATATTATTTATCGGGTACTCATATTTGTATACTTCAAAATTAGATATGCCTTTTTTTCTCTTTTTCGTACGTTAACTTAAAGCTAGTGTAGTACCAGCCTGGAAGTCGTGGAAAAAGACATTTCTAACTATGTTCCTCTCACATCATGGCTTGGAGAAGTAAATTGGCCGAAAAAATCCGGTAAACCAGCAGCCTGTAATAATTCATTGCAAGCCTTGGCAACAGTTGCTCAATTTTTGTCTTGAAGCTCGCAACGGTCAGACCTCTTTTGAAGTTTCGACACGTGCTCCTACTTTGTTATTATCCGCCTGTCTCTGTGGTTGATCTTCGTCGCCAAAGGATTGTGGAGAAGCATTGAAGTTCCTTTTGTGAACATTCAGTTATTTTCAATAACCTTCTTAACGAGAAAGTTATTCAATAACCTTCAAACCATTTCAAATACCGTTGCAGTAGCTAAAATACGTGATCGGTGACAATATCTTAACATATATAAGTTAAAAGAAATCTTCGCCAAGATATAAATCATGTCGTTTGTTTATTTACTTTTATATTTCTCGGCACGTTGGAAAACGTTTACTATGGAAAAACAATATGCGCATTAGTATATTGTACATGCGCTATCTGCAAATTAATCACTGGCTGTCGATCAACAAGAGGCAAGACAAATCAATCAATCAATCAATTTCCTCCCTTACGATTGTCCTCTGCCGAGCCTATATTACAATCTAAAAGAGGCCTGAATGATCATACAGTAAATTTAGAGCTATATTTTTTATGAAATAATGAAATTATGGTGTGCAATGATTGTTTTATTGATTCAATCCAACTCCAGAATGCGACAATATAAATTTGAAATGAAATGGGCGTTCAGCAAACTTTAGCCAATTATTTTTTAAACAAATTAAAAAATCAACTTCCATGTATTGCAAGTATTAAAATGTTATGGCTTGATCATTACCCTTTCACGATCCTGCTAAGTAACAGACTTTAACTTGTTCTATACCTACGGAACACTTGTTAACAGGCCCCTAAATTCCAATAGGCATTGTCTACGCTTTAGGTATCCGTAGACAAAAAATTGGAACTTCATTAACACTCGTAGCAATTGATTTGTCTAGCCTAATAATTGAGATTATGAGAGCCAAACACATATGAGTATTTTACCTACTAATATCAATAATCTGCTTAAATCGCAAGTTCAACATGAATATACTAGCAAGCAAAAGCCAATTAAATCAATTTTATATTCATCGGAAACGTGTTTAATGCAGCGATTCTAGATTTTAACAAGGAACGTATACCAAATGTTGCCGAGGAAAACAAAGCACTGCATGCTGCACGACAGGATCACCTGCGCAGTATATGTCGAGAGGGCCAAACCACACGTGCATGTATGGCATATGCGTTGCAGACTCTAAAAAACAAGCTCAACTTCTCACCTCTACCCTTCACCTTCGATGACGTAGGCTGGAGGTATAAAAGAGAGCCAAGCCGAGGCTCGTTCCTTATTATTGCTCTAGCAACTCTCGCACGTAGTTTGAATGCCCAGACTCGCTTTAATAACACTATTCAAAAACCATCAACATGGGCATCATCACTTTTGACAATCAATCGTCGCCTGTGGCGACAAAAAGGTGAGAATATTATATCTTATGTACCTACGATGTCGTAACTTTTATTGACGATTTCACGTGAATATCGAATTCTTTTTTGGGGGGCTATTTATTTTATTATATATTTTTCTTTGTAAAGTAATTTTGTTCAGTTATACAAATTTCCACGTTAACGTTTTCGTGTTTTTTTTTTAATTCAATGGCAATTTGAAATTTTCATGCGTGCGTAATTGTTGTTGGCATCGCAAAAATTTCTTCATATGATGATGTAAAAAACTGTATCAATACCTGTTGTGAACGTGATTCAATTCTAGATCAACTCTATTTTTGATGCTAGAAATAAAGTAGTTAAGAGATCGAATGTGGCTTAGATGATTCAAAAGCTATCCGATGCCATAAACTTTCAGGATTATTTTAACTCTCTATCACTTTTGCACCTGCATGGTCTTGAACGTTACTATCAACAAGTTGTCAACAAGTGCTTAGTTAGGTCAACAAGTTTTCATTGTTGATTTCTTAAAAATCCTCGTATTTATTATATGTTTTACCATGCTTATATATAGCGATAGTTTTCATAACGATTAGCTAATTTATCCTTTGAGAATCATAAGTCTGGTTTGTCTCTTGTTTGAGCAGTGTTTATATATCTGTTTTCATCTGCATTTTTACTGCGTTTTCATGAACTTTAAAAAAATCTGAACTAGGCTAACACGCTTTGCAAATGGGAGGACAACATCTGCGATTCTTAATTAGCCTCTTTTATATTCATTCGGAATATTTTTTGAACATATGATTGATTGGATTCTCAATTTTCAGTATGATGCATGAGGCAGTCACTGATGTGTATGCAGCCCGCAAGGCTGCCTGCCTGGAGGAGAAGGAAGCTCAAGTCGTGCAGCCCCCCTGCATCAACGGAAAGCTGGACGACCTTCCAGAAAAAGTTAGTGACAAATTTGAATTCTATAAAAACATCCGTTACTTGATTTCCGACTAATTGAATCAATAATAAGGATATAAAATGTAGGATACAAATAGGTATGTGATATTGGTCAAATAACACTTATGGCAGTGAAAAATCATCGGGTGCACTGTAAAAATCATCTGTCCAGGTGATTACCTGCCTATTAAACAAATATTTAGTATATATGTTTGATTGCCATAAACAATCCTAACAAAGTTTTATTACAACAGGTCCGATTGTTCGTCAATCAAGGCATTGCGTTGTGTAAGCCAAGCAAAGTGCACTTCGTCGACGGCTCAGAGCGGGAGATGCGCAACCTGCTGAACGTCATGCAGCAATGCGGGATGATCGAGTACCTGCCCAAGTACCGCAACTGTTATCTGGCAAAGACTGAAGGAGTGCCGCTGATTTATGAATCTTTTGACTGGAAGCACGGAGTCATGGTTGGAGCTGCAATGCGGTCAGAAGCCACGGCCGCTGCTGAACACAAAGGCAAGGAAATCATGCACGATCCTTTTGCAATGAGGCCTTTCTTCGGTTACAACTTTGGCCACTATCTTCAACACTGGTTGAGTATGGAAGAACGAACTACCAAACCAATGCCTAAAATTTTCCATGTTAACTGGTTCCGTAAGAGTGAAAATGGTGGCTTCCTGTGGCCAGGCTTCGGTGACAACGTTCGAGTTGTTGACTGGATTTTGCAAAGGGTTGACAGACAAGATTCAGCTGTGGAGAGCGCCGTAGGGTTCATTCCAAAACCCGGTGCAATCCCTCTCAGTGGTCTGAAAGAGAAAGTCGACATGGACGAGCTCTTCAGCCTCCCCAAGGAGTTCTGGCTGCAAGAAGTTAAACAAATCAGCAAATATTTCACTGAGCAAGTCGGCGAAGATCTTCCCAACGAAATTTGGGAAGAGTTAGAGAAGCTCCAGGCGCGAGTACAAAGAATGTAAAATGGCCGTGTACAACTGCTTTACGCTGCCGCTGATGAACAAACAAATCAAACGCCATTATATACTGTTACATTCATCTCATAGTATATATTTATGTGTGTTAAGAAATAATCGCATCGTTATTTGTGCTTTGTTAGTTTTTGTGCACCGATTTTAAAGAGATTTTCTCGCGTTTTGGTGCCCAAGCACAGGAAAACACAATATAGTAAGAAAGAAGTTAAGAACATTGTTGTCGCACATTTTTCTGATTTATTTTTATCCTTCCTATTGAAACTTGAACCGAAGCAAAGTCGAAACTTCCTAGTAATTATAAAAGCTGTAACCGATGTTACGGTTAATTCAAATTAATCAGGATTAAATTAGGCACTGTAGAAAAATCAAACTGTTGTTTTATAATGCTCTGAACGAAGCAACGTTCCAACGAAGGAGGCTTCCATTCAACTGATTTCAGGCATCATTATCTCAACATAATGATCACCACTGATTGCATGGGTTTCTCTCGTCTCTCTCCTGGTAGCTGAACTAATGACGGGAATTTGGACGTACTTTTCACCTACAATTGAATTTTAGCACAGATACTTGTCATTTGTTCTAAATGAACAGTACAAGTAAGATTTTGATTCAGAATAAATTTATGCTTCGTAACAGTCATACTAGTGTTTGAAAGCGATGAATTACTTGAGTAGTTGAGTCTTCTGTAAATACTCACTCGCAATTTTACTTAGTACATTCAGTGATCGAAGAAAAATAGTTCATACATTTAGCAGAAAATTTTTCATAATGTCGTGCCGCGCATTTTGAAGTGTTAAATGCATTAACTTGATATTTTGTCGTCCACATGGAAAAGGTCACATAATTATGAAGATAAAGTTTAAATTTTGCATGCAAGAATTTAAAAGCCTTGCGTATCTTGTCTGAGACTGGAGTTTGCCATTGCCTCTGCCGCTATAAATTAAGTAATTAATTGTGCGTTACATAAAACTCATGTTGAGGCAATAGATTAACTGTTTCTCTTCCGGACTTGTACATTTGTAAGAGATTTCCCTTTGTCTCTTCCGGGTCCAGAGCTACCTACGATGGCGAAAGGTATATTCGGACAATCTGAAACCTATTTATTATCGAGCATGGTTTCTGAGTGGGACATCGCTGAATCATGGGTAAAATCAGTCAGCATTTAACATTTGTAAGAGTTTTTAGAATGTCGTTCAAGCTTTAAGTTAACAAATGATAAATGTTTTATAAATTTTATCTATTAGGAACAGAGAAAAAATCTCATTGAATTTTATTAATGAATGCATTTGTTTGGTTCGGGGAAAATTTCGAGTTGAACTCCACAATTATTGAAAATGAAAAAGATCCTGAAACTACTGAACTGACACTTTTGAAATTCATACGGCATTTTCTCCGTTGTCAAGTGAATACATATCCAGGGTAAGGAGGAAATTTCGAGTTGAATTACAAAAGTTATGGAAAGCAAAATGAACCCACGAACGACTGAACTGGTACTCGTGAAATTCTTGTAGCATTTACGGTGATATCGATAATGTTCAACCAGACCACCTAAAATTTTCGTAGCATATGGAAAATAGCGTGAAAAAATTTAACTATTCCAGATCATACACGAGGCAAACAACTTTTAGGCGGTTCGAAGAAAATGATAACAGCTAGTGAATTCTTTCTATAGTTAAAAAGCGTAAATATAATTCCCATTAATTTCACGAGGTAATTGCATAAGTTGGGGTCCAATTTAGCTGATAATAAAGGTATGAAATGATAGAACGATGGATTGTATATTGTGATATGATATAATAGAAGAGGACACTGAACAACACCTGGCAGGTGTTGTAATCAGGACATACAGTCTCGGGAAAGGATTAGCAGCACAGACTGAACTGCAGCTAGTACTGAAAATATCTACAGGAAGTTGATTGATCGAACATTCTTGAGTATTTTCGAAACATGCTTGATCGTTGTCATTGCGAAGTATTAGGTGGATCTTCTCAAAGTAGGTATAATAGGTAAAAAGTTTAAGAGTGAAACACTCTTTAAGAGTGTTTCACTTTAAAAAGAAGGTAAGAGTTTCACTTTAAGAAGGTAAGAGTTTCACTTTAAGAGGCCGGTGGAGCGGCCGCCAGGCGCGTTAATCCCTATGAGGGTTCTTAACAATGAAGGCAACCAATAACTCTCCTCCTAAATAAGATACAAGTCTGAAATTTATGTGTATAAGAGACAGGCCATAAACAATCGTATATCTTATTTTATTGATTTTTAATTAAAAGTTCCGTAAAAATTTTGTTAACTTATTCAGAAGTTTTTATAATTACATAACAAACTTTAGAAGACGCCATATAGACTTTCTGTTAGCACCAAATATATTTTTTCGTCGGCAACATAATTGATTCGTCCGGCACTTCTGACAGCCACATCACAGCCAGCTGAAGTATAGGCCTAAGGCAGGCAATTATAAGCCTATTGTTAATACGGCCAGATTATCCCCTGTACAGAAGACAAGCCTCTCGCCTCATCACCACTGCCAAAGACTTCATGGGAAGAAGCGTGACTTGAACTCTACAATATAAAGTAGAGCTTTGGTTTAGTCTTTGTGCGATAATACCGTGCATCAATAAATAATCATACTCTCTGTTACTGAGGAGTTGTTTCTTTGAAAACTCCACTGTGTACCAATATTATTGTACATTATGTTTAGNATAATGAAGGAATATAACCTTCAATGAAGGTTATTAGTAAGAAAACAACCAATTTGATAATAGAGTACAATTTCGTAGAAAAATTAGTAGTATGACGCTCGCTGATTAAAAATGTAGAGGAGGGGGAGTGGAGGAGGGGAATGTGCAGCCAGACGTTATAGAAGGCAGAGCCTGACCGAGAAATTTTAACCGCGTGAGGCCGTGTGGGCTCGATGCGGCGTTCAGCGACCGCTCCACCTGACTCTTAAGAGTGAAACGAACCAGGAAGTCAAGGCCCAGCCTTAGCCCTAGTCTTGGAGCTTGACTTTGCTGGATCGTTTTAACCCTCGGATAACATCAGCGAACTGATTATTTTATACCCAAGTGAGCAGGTATAAACCAGTCACTTGGTCTCTACCTTCTCACTTATACAGTCTCTCCAACTTCTCGCAGCGTTTGGTAAGGTTAGGTTATGCTTGATAAGGTCAGGTTAGGTTACGTTACGTTTGGTAGGGTTTGGGTAGGCTAGCTGCAGAGTTGGCGTGAGTGTCGAATGTGGAGGTATACGGCTAAATGATGGCTCTTTTGTGAAGTTCGAACGTTTTTTTTAATTAATTGAGTAGCAACTGTGGACCGGCGTTCCATATAAATTTTATCAATTAGTCTTCTATGCTTGCTTTCGTCTGGCATGTTCGCTTACGGAAAGTAATATCGAGTAATTATAATTTTTTTCGTATTCTGCGCATTCTGATCGTTCACAAGGGTTCACGTCGAATTAATCCGTTTAGAATTAATCAAAACTACTAGTCGAAATTGAATAAATCCACATTGATCATTTCCAAGCTAGGACAATAACAAAAGTGAGACTATGGATTTTCCTGGCATGCAATACAGTTTATGTTCGTTCCGTGCATTAATTGTGTTATGATAATAGCATCATTAAGCCTATTTTGGGAGGGCTGCAGTCTCCCTAAAATATTAATCCCATAAATAACTTTATGTTCATTTATTCAAATTATCGTTTAACGAAAGATGCCGAGAAATTTAATACAATGTTATCATAATATAAGTTTAAGTAATGATACATAAAAAATCATTATTAACCTAAATTTGATCTTATATTTTATGGGGTTCAGCTTCCCCCCCCCCCCCTTGCCCCTAAAACATAGTAACGCTCCATGAGTGAGGGTGAGCTTAGCATTATTAAAGTGTATATTATGTGGCACGAGGAAATGCACTCGATCCTTCCATTACTTGATCTTGCACAATAGGCATTTTACATCACACACCTAACTAAGCGCCACTATTTTTTGAACTTAGATGCTTTTGAACAATTTCTCTTAAATATCTTTGGTGCTGACACAGTTATGAGAACTGATAGCTCGGTGTCGTTGTATCGACATATCTTCAACATTGTTCTTTTCATGACCAACTACTTTAGTTCCTTCCGTTATTTGAGTGCATATTTGTGTTCAGCTATAAGGCTCTCTGATGAAATTTTCAGTAACCAAAATAAATTAATTTGAGAGGAAAAAAATCAATGAGGCGATAGCTGGCACTAAACAGTAGGAACTTCAACGAATGTTAAAAAACAGACCATTTGTTATCGCTTTTTATTATTCTGTAACAAAATAAACATATAAGACAATAGTGTCACGTGATAATTAACACACAATAAACTTTCATCGCTATCCGACGTACAAAAATGAGGCTGAGGTGGACAATATAAGGAAGACGCAGAACGGAAATTTTAGCTTGCTTGGAGATGAACATTTTTTAATACATTCAAATAATTCAATAATAATTATCGCACCTCATGAGCTGCTCTTTGGTATGTAAAGTTACTTCACATTTCTTCAACGCGCTTTTCGAGTTTACACAATTCGTCCCAGATTTCATTGGGAAGATCTTCGCCCACTTGATTCTGGAAATATGTGCTCACGTCTCTGATCTCTTTTTGCCAGAAATCCTTGGGAAGCTTGAAGAGCTCATCCATGTCAACGTCTTCTTTGAGACCTTCCAAGTTAAGACTCCCAGGACGAGGAATAAGACCAATGGCGCTCTCTACGGCCACGTCTTTCCCGTCAATTCTTTGCAATATCCAATCCACAACGCGGACGTTGTCCCCGAAACCTGGCCAAAGGAAGCCATTTGCACCTTTTCGGAACCAGTTGACATGGAAAATTTTGGGCATGCATCTGTTAGCTTTTTCCATACTGAGCCAGTGTTGAAGATAGTGGCCAAAGTTGTAACCGAAGAAAGGCCTCATTGCAAAAGGATCGTGCATGATTTCCTTGCCTTTGTGTTCAGCAGCGGATCAGTCTTTGCCAGATAACAGTTGCGGTACTTGGGCAGGTACTCGATCATCCCGCATTGCTGCATGACGTTCAGCAGGTTGCGCATCTCCCGCTCAGAGCCATCCACGATGTGGATTTTAGACGGCTGGCACAGAGCGATGCCCTCATTGACGAATGCCTGAACCTGAAACACAAATAAATAGTAAATGATTGGAAATTATTGGAAAGTAAACCTATTTGTGAATGGATCCTACTTTTCTTGAAGAACATCAAGCTCCCAAATGACGATGGCTGTCAAGGGGAGCAAGAATGACCAGTGCAGTTTTTCAACCTAAAATTTAGACATAAAAGACCAAATAAACTCTGGCTGCACATAAGCCAAAATGGAAGCTCAAACAACATGAATTCAACTTTTCAACGTTGACCTTCTAAAGAGCAACAAACTCATTTATTAATCGACGTTAATAAAAGCGATGCATTTACTGAGCAAAGAACCACCAAAATAATTTGTTGTTTGCAGCATTGTTAAAGAAAAATACTGTAATCTAACAATGTAGCTCGAATAATACATCTCTGGTAACCTGAAAAATTGAATTATTATCTGTAAATCAGACACGAACGGCTGTTAAAAACTCGCACTTTGGCACTGAGTTGGTCGAGGTCGCCTTGAACGCACGCAGGTTTCATGGCCGCTGCTTCCTTGACGCCCAAGTCCAGGTGCTTGAGGGCAGACTGCACTGACTCCACAGTCGCCTTCATCACACTGAAACAACACAGGCACATTCTCACCGCGCTCTACCTGGCTAAACTTTCCTCTTTAAAACAATGAAACAACACGGCCTCGATCTCACAACGCTGAACCCAGAAAACTAGGTGGCATATAAGAGACTTTTTGCGGACCTTCCTTTTCATTCCTGTTAGTAGCCAAAGCATGGATACCAGCATTGAAATACATTAGATATTGAAAGAATTTTAGAAGTTGATCAGGAAATTACAAATAAACTTGTTTTAATGATAAAAAAATCGCGTTTGCCGTCGTATATAGCCTCCCATTCTACCACGCTCTACCAGAGGCCAGGAAACTTCCAGCTACCACACTCCAGGAACTCGCTCACGGAGTAGTTACAAGTTTACTTTAAACTTTGAATCTTAATGTTATTGTTACCATTATCTTAAATCTCAACTTTACAGCAGTAAATACTTCACGCTGCTTTTAAATCGCTGTACTTTTATCATAGAGTACGCTCACATATTATTTTTGAAAATTCAATGTGAAAATTTTCATCGAGCCATCAAAGTAACCACATAAAAAAGAAAAAAAGACAAACCAAACTATTCCTGCTTTCCGACCATTCTTTACACCAATCTCTCGCACAAGATAAATGTGACGTATTGATATTTTATCGAAGTCAAAATGAAAGGCATGAGATTAATAATAATGATATTCACAGACTTTCAGTTTTTCGAATTCAGGTGCCAAACAGGGGAAAGCAAGAGGGATGAAAAGAGGGTGCAATAAATGAATAACGGTTCACAATCATAAGAATTAAATTTGAACTTTAACTTTACAAGAAATTAAATTAAACAGGCCTAGAAACTTAAGCTGTAATTCTAGCGAGTAAGACTGCCGATTGTTATGATTCTCGTTGTTATTGCCTGAAATGAAACAGCAGGATAGGTCTCACTCAAGTAATAAATATAAATTAGTGGAACTTGCAGATCAACCATATTGACATTACCTTTTGATCTCCACAGGGGAGTTTTGACTGATGGACGTTTCCAGAACCATGGCGGATGTTTGAGGGTTGTTGCTGGATATCAGCTGAAGAAATCTTCTACCATTCTATGTGAGCGACAGGCGTTCAGTGAGGAGATCGACCATCGTTCCTGCTTATATACGCCCACGGAGCTGAGCGGTCGTTGCCAGGTGTACGAAGCGCCACTGCGGCAACGGTGGGCTCCCTGAAAAGGGGCCGATACATAACTATTGTGTTTTACCAATATTTTTATTACACGAGTATGATACACTTAAACATTTCCGATGAGTCATCAATTTCAAGCAACCTGACATCATCAATCATGCATAAGCCATGGTGAGTGTACTTATATGCGTAAGCTTGAGGTACATTTGAAACTATTATAAAATTTTGATAAATGAATTCTGCGTACAATGATAAAATGCAGAATTGAAGGTTGTCTTATAACAAACTACACCCGCATAAATATTGGGATTATCTCCAAAACTACACAATGAAGGTTTTTCTTTACAGCTGCCAACCTTTAAAAGATGACCTGACTGCTGACGTCATTATCTTTCTCTTCTCTAATTGGTTAGCTGAACCGCTCCTTCACGGTCTGCTTTCGTAGTGGCTGCTACTGCAGAATGGTAAAAACAAAACACGCGTCAGAGTCTCTATTCCTTTCCGTCAGTCTCTATGCGGACTTTGGACTAGGTTTACTGCGTCGGTTTCTTCAACAGTTCCCCGTGCCTCGCATGCAGAGCTGTTGTTCACCGCCAATGTTTCGAATGCGCATAGAAGCCAACATTTGATGCTGCAGCATAGCAATCACAGAACTGGATATCCAAGCGGAATTCATAGGCTACAGTATAATTTATCCATTGAATAAATCGATGAATGATTGTTCACGTAGATTCTAACTTAATAATATTAGCATTTATTAGGCCGTAAGCCTGTCGCTTGTCTGGCATTATGATCTAATTTTATGAAACAAAATAATTACTCAAATACCAATCTTTCAGCCAATATTAGTCCTGTGTCAATAAGACCATTGACAATTGAATATGAGGCCAATGCTCTAATGAGTATAGAATATTCGTATAACGCTTATATGCATATGACCGTCTTACTAATAGCTTAACTATTCAAAAAATGTGTGCATTGGGATTCAGCAAGGGAAGCTTCCTATACCATAAGGAGCAACCTTATATCAAGTGTCCCATATCATACCAGTCATATGGGACTGGCGCTATGAATGACCGCATGACAGTGCAGCACTAGCAGCAGCAGTTGCTACTTCAAATGGTATGATATGAAAATATTGACAACTACACATCAATAACTTAATAAGGACGAGTTAAAAATCTATTACTTATTTTAAATTGCATTCAAATGCTTTTGCAAAAGTTGATGAGTTTTTGAAGTACTGATACTAATCAGGCGGTTCTGGAGCAAAATAAAATCAATAATCTGCGATTTAAAACTTGAAATTAGCCTACTGAAACATTACTTTAAACATGTGACTTATCAGTCACCGAAGACTGAATCAATCACTATAGACTGACCATCTCAATGGAACTTTACCGATCTTCATTGTTGTCATTGAATCACCTTGTGGCTTTCACAATGAAGCAGTGAACTCAAGTAATGTAGTAAAGGTTTTCCTGCACTTGATCTTAATTGTGAAGTTGAATGCCTTATTTGGCTTGTTGTTTGCTAACCTATTTGTCGTGCTATACCTCCCAATTCCACCCGTAACTCGCTTAGTCCCATTCCATTGAACTCGATTTTGTTGGTTAGCCGCGCGCCCTCTGTCGGGCTTGAAGGGCAACGCCGCAAGCCTGGAAGTTGGCTGATGCAATCTTAGCTTGTTTCCAAAACTTCGAGATTGCCACGAGTGGCGGTGTGCTTGACGAGTGGTGTTTCATTGAACACTTGCAGGAGATGTTAATATATTAAACAATTGAAAGCTAGAACATGTGCACAGACCGTTCACGCGACGCAGCTTTTTACTTAATTTATTCAAATGGGAGAAAATTATTATCAAAAAACATTATGTAAATTGGGTAATAACATAAACGAAAATGAGTTTGGAGGCGCTTGCTATCGCTGCGGTGTCTCTAGTCTTATCAGCTTACTTTGAATTTAATTAAGGGCAGCGTTTAAGCCATAATGTGTAGTGATGTGTTATCAAAGGCTGATTCGTGAAAAGAAATCTGAACCTTTTCTGTAGTAATGCTCTTCCGTTACTGCATTGTCACCCTGATCTTGTTGTCACCTATAGCAAGCTGCTATAAGCATGTTACTGCTTTAAAAAATGTTTAATGTTGAATAAATTGCTTAAAGCATACATTGAACATTTCCGTCGCCCCTCCAATATTATTAAAAAACATAACTCAGTACTCACTGCAGTGAGTGACAGTGAGCGCATTTTCTCGTCAACGAAAACGTGAAGTCATGGACGGACAGATGGACAAACTGACGGACGGACGGACATGGCGAGCACAACAGAGCCTATTTTTCATACATGAGAAAAAGCTCTAAAAATGATAAATTTGAGGATTTTCCTCTTTCGGACGGGACCAACAAATGGATTGAGCGATCGAGACCTAAAAAATAGTTGGGAGCCACACCCATTACCGTAGAATAATTTTTTTATCGTACAGTTTGGTATACGAGTACACATGCATGACACGGAGCGCTCACACCGTACTGCCCTCACTTCCTAATTTAACTCTGTAAGCATTTTCACAATCTGTTATATTCACATCTTACTTTATTAATAACTTTATTGGACAATTTAAATACAAATTTTGGTTTTTGTACTTCTCAAGATCATGGGTAATTGAAGTAATGTTTTGAATTGTTACTCCCTTCATGGCATCAAAATATTAATTTATTCAAAATTAAGCATAGATGGATGAAATTTAATAACATAGATGACGGACAGAGTTTACTAAGTCCGTTTTTGGGATAAAGATTTCCTTGTGTTGTGTAAGGCCTATTAATCGAAGCGTTCAATGGTTGGTTGCGTTCACGGAAGCAACTATACTGAAGAAGTTGTGATTGCGGAAAATATTTAAGTATCTATGTATCCTAATTCTAGTGATCGATTTCTTGGTATTCTTGTGACACTGAAGTGTGGTTTAGCTGTAAAAATAGGTTACACGCCGCAACACGCTCGGAACGTACAATTTGTACCGTGTTCTATCATCCGTCTTGCAAGGTTCCTAGAAGACTTTCTTCCTGTTGAAGATGCCTGAGGGACTATTTCTAGATTCATCCAGCTTCCTAATCTTACCTTATTCTCTTACTGGACAGCGTTCCAGGCACAGGCCTTGCTGGGGCAGTATCGAAACTATCTAGCCTCTGTTTCATTCCGGTGTGAGGCGGTCACGAGCTGACCTTTTGCGAAAGCTTCTAATTCACCGAGGCTGCTCAGTGCTCAGGATATCGTCATTATTGGGCTGGTTTGTACTCTAAGACTATACTAAATGATTCGATGGATACGTCTTGAAATATGGATTTATAAATGCGCCTGGTTTTGTAATTGTCTTACTTCAAGCAAAGCGTGTGTGTGTTTTCAGCATAGGTTTGTATGCTGCATCCGACATAGGTCCTGGTGCTGCATTCAACATAGGTCGGTACTGCATTCAACATAGATATGCGTGGATGCTACACCTAACATAGGTCCTGGTGCTGCATCAACATAGGTACTGGTGCTGCATCAACATAGGTCCTGGTGCTGCATCAACATAGGTCCTGGTGCTGCATCAACATAGGTCCTGGTGCTGCATCAACATAATGTCCTGGTGCTGCATCCAACATAGGTCGGTACTGCATCCAACATAGGTCGGTACTGCATCCAACATAGGACTGCATGGGAGCTGCATCCAACATTGGTCCTTGTGTTGGTTTACGACGTCCTGGAAAATGACAGTTCTCGAGTTCTTCCCCGTCCATTTCAGAGAACCTTCGCATTTATACTCAATTGCGGCTGGAAATATAACGACAAGCAGAACAAAAACTGGTCACGTGATGGACTGCTGACGAGATCCTAAAATATACCATCCCGTAGACAACTAGTTTCGTGAGCACGTAGGATAAAAAAATAGGACGTTTGAAGGACATTTTCCGCCGATGGACAAGTGTATTTATAAACTAACGATTTGTACTGTAGATTGTTTATAATAAATGCAGTATAAATTTATTTATAAAAAATTTGAATTCGTATATGAAGAACGAATATGAGCAAATTTATACAAAATTATGCATAAACTCCTTCAAGACAAATTTAGAATTCAATTTGAATTAAATTAAAACGAATTAAATTTAAATTAATTATTTAATCAGCCATGAAGTTGCACTACTTAGAGCCAAAGGTATGCGTAATGGATAGGATTAATTTGTCAATACAATTAATGGTCATCGAAAAATAGTCATCATATATTTCATCATAACAAATTTTTCACTGAAATGCGTTTGCCACCAAAGTACCAGCCATTTAACAAGTCAAATGCTTGGCTTTAGGTTGATGAATATTTCACATGCTTCCACATGATGAAGATCAAAAACATTTTTTCTTTAAATTTGAATTGAAAAATAACACTGAAAGATTTCTACTTGTCAAGTACCAATCTTTATTCATAATTTTGTGATAATCGCAACAAAATACATTCAGTTTCATTTATTTTTCTGTTGAATTAGTAGCAGTTTTGTTGTGTTAATAATGGAGGCTGACGATAGCTCCTTCGTTGAGTCCATGATTGTATTTTCTTACCTCGGTAAACTGCAACGAAAATGATTGCATGTAAAACTTCTTTGGCTGGAAAAATAATTTAATCTCTTTTCAGTGAACATAAAAAGAATTTCAGCATTTGAAATTCACCCATAAATGACTGCATTAATCATAAAAACCTAATTAATATGCATATTGACGAAATGTGACATTGCGTGTACAGTTGTTCAGTCGCCACGCACACCGCGTGCAATAGTATGCATGCTTGATCGTTGTCTTCCTAGTTGACGCTGCAATTAATGCGCGTGCTGAAGCTTCGACATGCTCGACAAACACCGTTAGAATAATGGTTCATCTGATATTCTACATTTAGGTTGGGTACAATAATATCGATGAATGGAATTAAAGAAACAAGTATATTCTTTGTTGCAACGCCGCTGTTATGGCGTTTTTGTGTTTTTGGTGAACTTGAGTTCATGACTGATGAATTTTCCAGGAGATCTTATTCGATATTTACGGCTGCAGTGGTGTAGTTAATTCCATACAACTATTTCAAAATGATGCGTGCAATTATACCATATATGATCGGCAAAGCACATGTTTGATACATTTAAATTGATAATGTACCCAAGCCTGAACAAGGAAGTTTAAAAATGTAAAAAAAAATTGTTTCGTAAACGCGTAAAATTATGAATTAGTACCCAAGACTGAACAACGAAGTTTAAAAATGTCGAAAAATTTGTTTCGGAAACGCGTAAAATTATGAATTGGAGATATGAGTTTCGTGGACATGGAAAGAAATCGTGTCAACACAGATAAAAATATTTTCTCAAAGATGAAGGTTATTATGCATTATTTCCAAGGATGATCGCCAAAAACTTCGATAAATTGAGCTCAGACCTTGAAAAGCGACTGCGCCGACTGATGTTGAGGCATTAGAGCTCCTAGTGAAGGTCGAGCCAGAGTCTGTGGAGGACACCTCCATGCGCTGTAAAGGTCGTGGATTGGCGTCGATCATTTACGAATTTAGCAACGATCATAATTTAGTTTATCATCGAATAATGATCCGTATCTTGCCCTCCATGGAATGTAATATCACTGAGATTGAAATGTTATATGCGTTTTTTTAATGTGGGACACAATGTGTTCGATAACTCTCCTATAGCCTGAATTCTGAGTTTAGAGAAATCTGGCAAACTCTGTATTTTAAATTTATTTCGGGAACTGAAATAACGTCAGTTGTTATCACAGGCTTTATTAAACTTCAAAAGATTTAATTTTGGTACGCTCTTAGTAATCGCTGGCGCAATCACGAATCTTATCGCAATCTTTTTTTATAATAAACCAAACTACCAGCGTGCCGTAGTAACAGAACCGTCATAAAAGACCGTGGCTGTTACCTGTTCGCCGAACAAACACAGCATACTTTTAATAAAATCAACATACGATCCCGGCATTGAACTATTTTTCAGAAATTTTCTTTATTATTTTTCAGAATAATTATTTTGTTATATTAAACCTAATTAAGAAAACTTATTGGAACGTACACTTACATTTAACTCTCTTTTCACACCTAGCTACAGGAAATTTTTCTATGTGAATAAAATTTAAATGTTTGAAATTAAGATTAAACTAACATTTTGCAGATTCAACAATGAATTTATATTTTTGTATCACAACTTTTGAAATTGTTTTGTAATTCCTCGTGAGTCCGCTACCCTTCAGAAAACGTCAGGTTCAGGTAATATCCAGACAACATACGTTCATGAGATATCTGATCTCACAGCCCCTATATATATATATATATCAAGTGCCAGACTTCAACAACAACTATAAACAATCAAACAAGTTATAATCTGCTAGCAGAATGACCAGGCGTTTCTTGGTATGGATAATCTCTGAAATCTGATTATCATATAATTAAACCGTAAACACCGTTGATGGCTTTTAGGTTAAAGTTAGCAAATGTTAATTCAGTGAACGGCCCATGGAAACAAACGTCAAACAAATAACTTCCACATTGACGCTCTAAGCAAATTAAAATGGATTGTTTTTCATTCGTAAATTGATTGATTTTGTGAAAATAATCACAAAAAATTAAGGACCAATTTGTGAATTGAACCATAACTACTATTTCCCCGTTTACAATGTCTACAATTCTTATGATACAAATTAAAACTAGCTAATTTACCTGCTGCGATAATATAATTATTGTTGCTAATCATTCCGAAAATTTATATGCATTTACAAATCAAGACTTCAAACAAACACGCACATAAAAAACGTAGAAAATAAATAATAAATATTTGGAATTTTCATTGGTTAAAGTCTTGCGCTGTGAATGTAAAGGAGCTATTCCAGCGCAAACCCGCAATACCTTTCATGCCGGGAAAATACCCGGACGTGAAAATTTGTTTAATGGACGAATCACAAATAGTGGCAAAAAAGTAGTATGGAGATCGATCGAAAAAGTGAAAAGAGATTTTTAATTTGGCCAAGCAAAATTTCATAGAAAAATTATCAAAATCGAATGGGAGTTCTATGCTGAATGTAGGTGAACATGAGGCTTTCAACTCTCAATGCTGCATGAGACAGAATAATTGGGAAGCTTACGTCCACGCTAAGTTACTGGCCAATGTTTGGTGGACAAGGGACGCAGACTCGGAATGGTTCACTCGCTAAATCACATAAAATGTTTCCGGAGAGAGCGTAGGCCTCCCGGTAGGCATAGTCTCGCTCGAATATTCTGGAGATCTAGATCTTTCTTAGCCACAAAACCTTTTAGTGTGACAGGATTAAAGGATGATGGGCGGATATCCTATGGTTCTGACCTGTAGCTAATTTTTTTATTTTTTACTAACTTAAATTCGTATTTTTTAAATTAATTTAGAAAGTTTTCAATTTTATCAGAAAAACAGCATTAGACTTTATCAGGAATGAACATCCAAGAAAGCATCCTATATGCACAGATATTCGTACTTCCGTAACTGAGTTTTACCGATAGATTAAAAATATTAATCGATGTTTTTCAATAAAAAATACAAATTGCTACCATATTTAGTTTGAAAATTGTATGATCGGAAATAACAATTTTGTGGTTAATAAACTATTGCACTAGCAGTTCATTCATGACTCAACTCCCTTATCTGTATGATGTATGACGTGATACAAGTGACACAGAGGCTGATATCTATCGAAAGTTTAATTTGTCGAAGTTTTCATTTCGATAGGTGAGGAAACAAAGGATTAATAATTTCAAGATAATTTTTTATCTGTGGAAAATACTGTGGTAAATCAAGCGGCTTCGATTGCGTTCGTGGTGCAATTAATTTCATAGACCTAATTATTGATAACAAATTTACAACCTGTGGTAATTTCATTACATGTAATATAGTTTTTATAATGAAGATTATCTTTCCCAAAACAATATAATAATTCGCTCCACCAATGAAATGAATTCCAAACTGCATCATAATTGCCTCATGTAAACCATGAATATAGTTCAAACCATTAGCCTTGATATTCCAATGAGCAAATAATTGGTCTTGATTTCAATATCATACGCGGTCCTAACTTCTAGTATCATTCTCAATTTTAATTCATAATATCACACGCTATAATATTAACTCTTATTATCATACGTATTCCTAACTCCTATTGTCATACGTAATCATCATTCACAATCCTAACTTATGGTCTCGAATGCAGAAAAAACTATTGCGCAGACGAGCTTAAGAAAGCTGTGGGGCAAGCGAGACGCGGTCCAGAGGTGAGCGTCGCTTGCTTGACCAGCTCCTCCTATATGACGCACGCGCTTTTCGTGCGTCATCAACGCAGACCTTCTATGGCAACACGTTTTTGTCATGACGTATTCTGACGGCAACACTGTATTCTATTGCATGAATTCAACGACATGGATTCTGGCACCCGGCGACAACACTATTGTCTTTTGCATGGATTCTGGCACCCGATGACAGCATTGTTTTCTTTTGCATGGATTCTGACACTCGACGACAACATTGTTTTCTTTCGCATATATTCTGGTACGCAGCGGTTACAATATCTTTTACAAAAATTTTAATTCGCTGCGGTTACAATGATATCTTTTACATTCTGATACCCGAATGTTATAATTTTTGTTTCACATACATGATTTTCTAAGGCAGCAACAGATTATTGCAGTATATATTGTTATTGAACAATAGCACCGAAATTAGTTCAAAATCCTTTCAGGAGTTGTGTAATTTTCACTATGGATTTCGGCCGTTTGAAAACACCGAAATGAGAAGAGACTTAGGAGAAAATTTTTGAGTTTCATAAAGATAATAATTCTGAAACCTTTATGATGAAAAAGCTTATAATTTCTCTCATGTTCGTCGGAAGACATTCATGGTCATCACCGGAACTGCGTCGTTCAGTGCTGCTTCAAGATGAGTAATAACAACGTATTGGCCCAAAAGTCGCTCTATACATTAAAGTTAAACTACATCGATATTACCTGAGAAGATTACGCGGTAGTAAAAAAATATATCCTGCATTTTCCTTGCAAGATATGGCTTACGTCACGAACTGATAAGACAGTCGAGGTTCTTATCTCAAGCATCTTTACTCATTAGAGTTCAAAGGAGCGGCGTGAGGTAGACAAGACAGGACTGACGCAGTACGGGGATGCACGCAGTAAAACTTGTATTATTACTAATATCGGTGTAACTCTTTTTTCCATAAAGCCGCAATGCATGCAGCTAAGGAGACCCACAAATGAGGAAATAAATCGAGTTATTCGAGTTAACATTGAATCGACACGCTTGGACATCCTCATGATGAAGTGTACACGCAACAGCAAATTAGATTCGTTACGAAACCTTGGTGATGGTCAGAGGGAGATAAAATTGATCTCATTTAGGTTAAAAAGTAGGAAAAATTGCAGTATACTAATCAGAAGGTTGATCAAAATACAGGTTTTCAGCAAATCGTAACTTGTGTTACAGTGAGCTCAAATTAACAAATCCATAATACTACCGTTGCTAGGGCCAGATTAAAGCAGAAAGAGTTTAAATTTGTATTTGGCAAAATGTCTACAATACGATAATGGCCGCTTCTTTTCAGTATAAGAATCTATTTAGATGTAACATGACATATAGTCTTAGAAAGATAGAGGTTCTCAAGCAGTAATTAAAAATTACGGAAGATGGGGCATTCGTGCTACAGTACGAGAGTTCGAAGCATACGCAATACGAATGAGGCGGCGTTTGATGAACGGTAATAAACGGACACGTGTGACAGAAAAATTTGTTCAACATAGATCCCTATTCGAACCTACAACATGAATCGTAGTCAATGAAAATTAATTCTCCAATAATACTTTTAGCACATATGTTCATAAAAATGTTTTTGAACAAGGGAATAATGAAAATCCTACCGAGTTAAGGGCAATGAACGCATTGGAACATAAAGAGAGTCTAAATTACACCATTCCATCATTAAGGACTTCAGAACAATTGTAAACAATTCGATCAAGTAAGATAACGGGGATATGATAAAATTTTCGCCGAAAATTGTTCACTCAAGAAATAATTCGATCCTATCCTCAACTTCTTGCTTCTATTCTGATTATTTCAGAAACATCAATTCATCACTTACGAATTGAAGGCCATTAAATTAATTTATTAAATTTCGAAAAAGACCAGCTATAGAAATCTGGAAAACAGGTGGTATCGAATCCAAAAGGTTTCCAGGCGATTTAATAGGAGAGCTTTATTATTCAACAAAATATACATGTATGTACTTGCATAAATAGTCAGCTCAAATTACAAGTTCACCAAGAATTTAAAACAACAAAATATAAACAAGATAACGTACAAACCAAAATGAATGCTTCTATTAAAGCTTAAAGGAAGTGTTATGATTCATTAGATTTAACAATCACTAATACTAGGCTTCATCAAGGCTCTAAACAAAACGGATCCAGAAAACCTCATTTCGTAAACGGCATTGAATAGAAGAGCCACTCTCGCTTTCGTTTGGATATAGAGCAAAACTATACACTTTCAACAGCAAGTTATCAAAGGAAAAAAAGAGTATTTCACATATGCGAGTTGAGAATGGCTTCCATGGCCTCAATGAAAATACTCGTCTCCTGATTATTGCTTGCGTCCGATGGGGTAGACGCCGATGTTCCAGAAGACTTATCAGGTAAATTTTTTATATCAGAGGCAGAGATTCGCTCGCAAGTTCCGGTTGTTGCGGGCGTCGACGACGACGGAGATGAGAGTGCAGCCGATGTGTGCATTATCTCGTCACGATGTTCCTCGGAAGCAAGGCTCGCTTGCATGTGCTGCTCGTGTACATAACCGTCCCGGTCCATCGTCTCGGACGTTACTGGAGCGAAGGAAGATTTTTTAGAAGCTGCATCGCTGTGAAGTTTGATGGAAGAATTACACGTTGAAGACACGTTACATGCACTGTTGACGTCGCGCAACACAGGAGCCGCAACAGTCCAAGTACTCGTTACTCCGCCAGCGTTGCTGCTGAAGGAAGAACCATCCCCTGCACATGGAAATGCAAGTGTTCAAACAAGAGAAAAACAGATTAACGTGGATAAACCTAGTAATTAATTTCTCAGATATTAGTCACACGGACTCTATAAACAAATGAAAACGCTTAGCAAAAAAATAATGAACAATGAATTAAGATGATACCATAGTATTTACTAAATGTGTCACTACCAGAAGTGCAGAGTGACATGTCAGATGACGCAATAGATGCAAAGTGCGGCGAAGAGCACGTGCTTTTGCTCGCCGGTCCGGTAATGTAGGCGACGCTGCAACTGGGAATAATCGTTCCAGCAGCAAGGGAAGGTGAAGGTGAAACCAACATCGTACCGGCAGACGTGACACTGTTCCGAGAAACATTGACAGAATATACACTGGCGTTCTTTAAACTGGTATTGCTCATGTAGGATCTATTGGTTGATACAGAAGTGAGCATCCGCTGTGCAGGAACGGGATGGGAGGCACTGCTGAGTGCACTGTAAGAGGTGGAGTTGGAAGATGCAGAAATGGTTACCGCAGGAGCCATGAGGATGTCTCCAAACACGGGCCCAACAAGAGATGGTAAAGACGAGGCTGAGCATTGTAAAGGTGGCAGTACACCGGTCTGTAGCGTGGAAATCGACCCCAGCGATATTGACGCTGCGGAAGCAATGGAACGCGTTGGGAAAGTGGACCCGTCTGAGAAAGCTGGCAGAGTACCCGGCAAGGTAGAAAAAGACCCGGCTGGGATGGCGAGAGTGACATTAGAAGGCTGGAGAGCAGCACTAGGCACAACTACAGTAGGAAACGAAGGTAAGGTTGTGATTGGTGTTGGGGCAACGTTTGAAGTAACTGATGCAGCGATGGAGACCGTAGGTAATGAAGCTATGGGCATGGCGTGCAACGTGCTGCCAGCAATGCTTGCGAAGGCCGGACTTCCCAACGTATCTGACGATAGGCCCGCAGCAGAAGACGTGGCACTCTGTATCCCTGACAAAGCTGCGCCAGATAGAGGCACAATAGAAGAGCTCGTCCCGACGGCAGCCACTGGGTTGATTGTGATTGAGAGAGTCGTGGAGTCAGTATCCATTTGCTGGACCTGGAAAATTTGAACGAAATATGAATTTGAAAAATTGTACTTGCATTTTCTCAGGTATTCTGAGATAATTTATTTATTTTTTTTTTTGCAAATTTTAAGTATTTTTTACACTTTCATGTGTACCATCACACATAATATTCAGGAGTAGTAGGTAGATTTCAGAAAAAAACTAAATTTTTCACTGAAAATTTTTTAAATATACTAACGCACGCATTCGATGGCAATTCATTACATGCACCTGCAGAATTGACTGCTGCGGCTGCTGCCCCTTGAGGCGTATGGGCCTCGGCCCTGTTACCAAGCGTGGCACGAGTTGCTGCTGAATAATTGGCTGCTGTTGGTTAGACTTAGCTTGCTTCAGCAAGACTATCTGGGGGTGAGGTTGCACAGCCACAGTCTGTTGTTGCAATTGCTGTTGTCCGGGTTTAGATGCGTCTGAGAGCACCAGGTGTTCCTGAGAACCTAGCCTTTTCTTGCCAAGCTTGGAGCGCTCCAAATAACGTTGCTTCACTGCTAGAAGATCCAAGTGCAACCGCTCAAAAATGTCCAAGTCAGCACACTGGGAGAAGATTGTTGAACATATTTGTTGAATGAGAAAACATGAGAAAAACCCAGGGACATGTTTGCCAGATGGACAAATTTCAAGTCTTTCAAAATTGTCTTTAAGGGGAGCGTCTGGGTCAAATTTTATCTCGGTTATTTACAGACGGATCGATTTGAAATTTGGTACACATATGTAAAACGGAATTCTAAGACTTTTTTTCCGTGTGAATTTTTCGAAAAAAAATGAAGGAAAACGTGAAAAATTCTTAGAAAACGGCCTAAAAAGGGGGTACTTTAGAAATCCTATCTCCTCCTAGAATTTTCAAGCTACAATATTGCGACACGTATCATTCGATGCGTAAAGACCATATCTAAAAACGTCACGAAGCGGTTTCTTGTACTCATTTTTGTGGATGAGGGAGCATTTTTTCCGATATTTTTCGATTTTACCCCCCCCCCTCCCCCACTTTTTGCAAAATAAAATCCGAACTATAACGAAATTGGAAAAACGACTAAGTGACGTTTGTAGATCTTTCCTTTCCAAATCGAATGGTATACATATGTCTCATTGATGTAGCTTCAAAACTGTAGGAGGAGATAGGTTTGTCGTGAGAGGTTTTCAGTTTGGAAACTTTTCAGTAGAGGCGAAAAACCGCCGCGCGCTATGTAAAGGCATATGACGTAGCATAGATACCGAGAGTAAGCGTTATCTCACTTCGAAGTCAGTCAGCGGTGCATAGGACGACTACATAAACACCTTCCCGCATGATGGCTGAGTGGTAACTGAGCTGCAGGTCCAGTGATAAGGATAACCCATTTTACCACGTTTTTCTTAGCTCGCTTTCGTGTCCGTCTGTGATGATCAAATCTTGCAATCGATATTTCACCAACTTTCCCGCTAGCTAGCGCTCTGAAACTTTTACGGAAGCTCAGCTCCCGATGACAATACAATAATCAATAATTTGTTGCACGTTTCCAGGCGTATTTATTCAATGAAATGCGTGGAATTTATTCAATTAGCCCGACCCACGTTTTTTGGGGCGAGCCATAATTTATTTTCTACTTTTTAGTCCACAAGAAAAACGTGGTTTTTTAAAAAGTTTTTTTTAAGTTATTTATTTTTTCTATTATTTAGTCCACAAGAAAAACGTGGTTTTTTAAAAAGTTTTTTTTTAAGTATTTTTATTACGTAGTGTTTGGCCAAAATTATCCCCTTTGACTTTTGTAAAGGGACTCCACCCCCCTCCCCCTTTCGGGATTGTCATGAACTCATAAATCAACGTACAGAGATGGTTCTAGAACCGTTCGATGCGGCAAAATGTAAGCTTTAAGATGAGTATAAAAACTGAAAAAAACGAAAAATTAGATTTTGGATTAGACCCAGAGGCTCCTGGTGAATCTGGGGAATCAAGCTATTTCTACTGCTGTGCAGTCCAAGTGCCACTCTATGAAATGCCAATACACATATATATACCTATACACATTACCAAGGTTTTGTTAACTCATCAAGTTATACCCTCAGTATATTCGAAATAAATAGTGAAACACTCTGGAAACATTTCTTATTGAACAAAATTAGTCTCTAAAGCTACCTTGTAAGTGAAGGCCATGATACTCTGGAGCATGTCTCGCACTTCTTTGGCTTTGCTGCTCAGCATCTTTTCAGTGCAGTTGGCAGCTGCTTGCGTAGCTACCGTATTGACTTTGACAGGTTCGTCATAGCAGGACTGAGGCAGCCCCAAGATAAGATCATTGCTTATTACACCAACTTTCTCCTCTTTTACAGGGTAATAAAGCCTTTTAGAAGGAGAGGTGGCACTGTTATGAGATGATTGTGTTGGCGTGCCGTTTTCTATGGGGCCATAGTAATCATTCTTCAAATAAATTTTCTTGTTGGAAATCTGAAAATGGCAGAAAATATGTAAAAAATGAGGCATGAAACAATATACAATTTTAAAGTTTTTATCTACACTAATATAATCAAATGGACAAGCTAATTTTATTAGATGGACAATTTCTATTAGAGACAAACTAATATTATTCACACATGCAAATAAAATAAATAGAAATTTAGGTGCATTACCTGGCCCACAGGATGTCCAAAATGGTCACTATGAGAGGGCACAGTGACATATATAATGCGGTCTTTTTGTATTGGGGATCGGTTGCGTAACACTTCCTTTAGTTGGCGGGCAACACCGAGTCTGTTGTTGCGACTGTGCTCCAACAACTGAAGATTTATCAAATAATTCATATATTCAAATTAATTCCATATTTATAAATAATAATAGTCATATAGCAAAAAAACCTACATTTAATTCAATTTGGAAAGCAAGGAACTCCAACTGTTTAACATTTAATACCTATACCGTTGCTTTTTTTTAATTTTCTCACCCTATGGATACATTTTCTATGCAGCTTAAGCTGATTCATTAAAATATTATAAACAATACTCAGAAGACTTCATTACCCTTTCACTTACCAGGCTATAGGGCAAATATTTTTTTTAATTGTGAATAAGGGAAAAGGTTGTATTTTATATAATAATGAATATACTTAAGCATAATGCCAATGTAAAATAGGAATAAGATGAAATTAATAGCTACCTGAAATTCTGGATAATAAATGACTTCTTTCAAGATAACAGTAGCAGTACAGCTAGCACGCAGAGCTCTCCCTCCAGCAAGCTTCTTCTTCTTACGAGCTGGCATGGCTAAGCTTCGGTTCAAGGCATCTTGAGGTGAAGCCTGCTCCATGGGAGAGTTGATAACACTGGCACAAGAGCCAGGCAGCTAAAAAGGGAAGTTTATAACAATAGCAATTATCTTGAAAATGAATAAAAAATATAACTCAGTACTCACTGCAGTGAGTGACAGAGAGCACATTTTCTCGTCGATGAATACTTGAGGTCACGGATGGACGGACAGACAGACGGACATGGTGAGCACAATAGTGAATTTTTTCCATAAATGAGAAAATGCGCTTAAAAGTAGGGAGGCATATTTTACACAGCCTTTTAAAATAAGTTACAGTGCAACTGGTCAAAAAGAGAATTTTTCTGCAGCATTCAATTTATGTTATTCAAGAGAGATGATCAAGGATGCTTGTAAATAATTAAAGAGTTACAATGTTTGGTATTAGGTATATAATTCTTGAAAGATGTCTAATTTTCAAGACCTTTGCTCTAATAGACATGATTTAAAAAAAAAAATATATATATACATTGATAATTTGAGGACTTGTAAAAAATATCATAATATTGTCATTGTTGCACAAATAGGTGTAAGAATAGTATTATATAGTAGTAAAGTATATTATAATCAAATATCAGAAAGAGGAGTAATTATGTCATTAAGGCTAAAGCTGCACTCAACAGAAAGTATGTAAAAACTGTAAAAGTTGCTAAGAATCTATTAAGCACAAGCTATCTAGATATCCACCACAAACCTCAATCTTGATTTCCTTCTTTCTGGAGTTTGCTCTAGCACCCTTCTCCTTGTAAGATTGACATTGAAGGATCTTGAGGCCAGCAACAAAGAAAGGCACCCCACAATAGGGCACACCAACTGTCTCAAAGCGTACCTCCTGCTCTTCATTACTGCAAGCTGCAAGAAATAGAGAAAAGGTTTAAAATAATCATTATAAAATATTTCATAATTGATACACTGTACAAACAAACTCAATATCTGCAGCCCTTAATGCCACTAACATTGCCACAGCCCTTGGGTCTCACTAGCCTTCAATCAAAACTGAGCCCCACTTGGGTCTCACTAGTCTCTGAACAAACTGAGACACAACTTTTCAGACCATCAATAGTTTTTTAGCTATAATATGATAATTAAATGCAAAAAATTGTAATTTTAACCTAAACCACCAGCAGTTTATATTGACTAGCAGTAAGGTAATTACAGTAGCAGGTAGCTACTATGTGGCAACCTGAATTTGGAATATAGGGCAAAATTTCCTAGAATTGCAGGCAAAAACAATAATTTCACTGGTGATTTTTGAAAATCCCAGGTGAAAACAAGCAATTTTTCTTATTTTACACTTAAGAGATCATGAAAAGCCATAAGAACACTTGAATCAGATTCACAGTTTTTTTTGTGTCAAATTCACAAATGGAATCTGCCCAAGGGCCCCAATATTCCATTTAGGTTGCAACCTATGTGTCATTGATTTGACAATAGATAAATAATTTTACCTGACAATCCATATTTGCAAAACAGAGATTTTCTGAACCAGATTCTAAAAAACTCTCTGCTTTGCCACAGGGCAAAAAATAACGCTGATCATTTTATGATTTTTTTATTCTTTTACATGTCATGATAATGATGCTACTTTACACAATCCCTTAATCATCTAACTACCGTCAAACTGGGTAAAAAGGGACGGGCGGGGTAAATCGGGACGCACCTCCGACATTTCGTAGAAATGTAGCAGCTAAACTAATCAAAATATTGCAAAACTAAAAATAGTGGCATAAACTTTAACATTTTTACTATCTATTATGTATAAAGCTAGTCAAGAAATCAAACATTTACTATCTCTAAAAAATCGCTGAAAAAAAGTGTGAAAAGTGCGATTTTGGAAAAGTACCTCTGCTAAGGTCTGGAGCAAAAAAAAAATATTTGCCATATTAAAAAATTTTACTCACATAAAAGTTGCACCCAGGTGTGGACTTGAAAACGTAATTGATGGAATTTGCCTATCTCATTCCATAAAAAAAAATGGCAGCCATTTCCGCACGGCAGGGCTACTAGGGACACCCCCCGGGGTAATTAGGGACACCCTTAAAAATACATTTACAGTAGAACCTCAGTTAGCAAAGGTTCCAGTTAACAAAAATGTTACTTAACAAAGAATTTTGATTACATTTACCTCGCTCAGCGAAAAAAAATTCACATACCGAAAAATTAATGCATCAACGGTCGTCACAAAATTGTACATAGAATGCTATATATAGAATTGTGCACCGGGCATCATAGAATGAAAAGTAATTGACCTAAACTATGTTTATTTCTAATGGATGAGTACACTCTGCATGCTTCAAACGTTTTAAAATTAACTTTTATTGCAAGGGTCCCGGATTACCCCGATTTGAGGGGTAAATCGGGATGGTTTTATTTTGCGTCTGGCACCTTACGAATAGCATATGGAATTTCTTGAAGATGCCATTGGATAGCCCTCGTAGAGAGCTATAAAATGAGCCTAAACTTGTTTCTGAAATGTTTCATGGTAAGAAGTTATAAACAAAAAACCCTCAAATGTCCCTTTTTACCCCATTTGACAGCATTGGTGCATGCATTTGTGTAATTTCCTGGAATGAAATTGGCCCCAAGCTTCATATAACTTAGCCAGTGCCGCAGTAGGCTGTAGGCCTAGCCTCCTAGGCAATTTCAAAGCAAAGAAGGTGCAAACTGCAAGTGCAAGGTGGTGCAGATAAACTGCAGAATAACTTGATTGATTTTTCAGTTAATTCAGTTAACACTAACTAGCACTATTAGCCTGGTGCCATCCTCAGGCATAGAGTATGTAAGACTAGTGTGCTACTCATTTGTTTATAACATCATTAATATAAGACAAGACTGTCATCAAGTAACTCAAGACAAGTTGTCAACTTGTCATTGTCAAGTGATGAGTTTTAACAGAGAAATTAGAGATTTTTCAGAATCAGGTAATGTTCATTGTTCAATTCTCTTATTTATTCAAGATTTAAACCAACATCTTATGCATTGTACGGTTTGTACCTATTACCTAATGCTGGTAATTCAAAATACCAAGTTTGGTGCTCTGCGTTCTGCTCTTTCTCTTTGACAGGGAACAGGCTGGTAGCCTGTGCTTTGTACACCACAAGTCTTAAAAACCAATTATAAAAAAATGCTGGTAATCCTGGTATCCATGATACTTTACTCCCTTTACTGCCTGCCGCCTGGCATTATATTATAGAAGACTCAAAAAAACAATTTACAGAACTAGCAGAGGAGTCTAAAAACCTGTGCTTTGTGAGTGACTATGAGTCTATGGTTACCTAAACTATACTTACTATAGCCTCTGCCCTGTGGAGACGTACCTGGAATTTCGACGCATCCAAAGTTCTTTGTTGACCTCAAGAGAGCATAAGATGTTTTAGTTTTTTTCTCGTGTTGCTTCACGATGAGGTCAGCTTCTTCAAGTGATCTAACCTGATAAGTAGACATTTCAGATTCGTTGCCAGTTAAGAGTTACAACGAAAGTCGAAAGGAGCTTAGCAACTGAGCATCCAGGCCCAGCTCCTTCTTGGATGTAATTGTTTTGTTCGGTCCCTTGACTCCCTTCCGCTATCAGCGATGTGTCCGTTTCCAGTTGTTTGAACAAAAATGACAATTAATGGCAAAAAAATTATTGCGGGAGTTGCGTGAACTGGTTTAGACGAATTTTTGTAAGCTGATTTCAAAATTCATACAATTTTACTGTCTCACTTAGGGATTTTTAGTTAAAGAGACAATCCCATTATCAAGAAAGTTGCCAATGAAGGTTCAAAAATAGCACCTCCTGGACAAAAACGCGGCCTGTCTCACGGCCGACTCCAGAAATTCATCGTACATGGAATATCTCTCAAACTACTGGACCGATTTCAATGAAACTTGGTATATAGATTCCTGACCACCTAAAGGTGATATCTAGCCCGTGTGAATTTTCGCGATTTCGCCCGCGTTCTCGATTTATACGGTAATACGGACAAAAAAAAAATTATTTCATCGTGACTACCTCAAAGTTATGAGAATAACAGAAAAATCTACTAGAAAACAGACAAATCAGGAAAATTTTCGCTTTTGAGCTGCTCTGTGTAAGTTACACGATGGAAGAAACAGAAGTTGCGGGTCATGTTCGGGTTGTACAGACATTGGTAACGCGTTTCCATGATAGAAATCTCTTGGTCGAATTGCTAGCCGGGCTCGTCCGATATAGCTCCTAAATTGTCAGGTAAAAAGTTGAGGCGCTGGAATAGGAAGAAACTTTTCAGGTATATCCTCTAGCCAATTTTCCTAAAGCAGGATAACAACTCCTATTATTCAGTATTGCTACTAACTAGTACCTATTGATAGTTCCTTCGCTCCTGATCCCTAAAGGTCCGTTTACACAAGGGGCAACGATATGGGCGGTGAGGCGCTTGCTGCAGCGCCTCACCGCCCACAACCGTTCACTTATTTTTTGTACGCGGTAGCGCGAGACCGCGCGCTTTGAAGATTAGTTGCCAGCTAGACGTCAGTGAGGATGGTAGTATCCGAATTTAAACTCTGGGCCATTGTTCTCGGGGTGTGCTGCAGTTAATTAAGGGGGAGGTTCACCCTAAAATTTTCGGATTCGGCATTTTCGGTTTTTAGTATCATCTATAAGCTGACATTCTGCCCTATCGAACGGTACCATTGCGATCCCTGTACGTTAATTTTTACTTACATGACGGCTCTTTAAAGAGGGGCGGGTGGGGGAGTTCCTTCACTAATTAGATACAAGATAATTAGCTGCTGACCATTTTAAATATATTTTCTACTTGAGTTGTGCTGCAGTTACGTGCTTAGCCTCATCATAAAGCTGACATTCTGAGCTTTTCAACGATACCACTGCGATCCATGTACGCTAATTTTTACGTACACGGCTGCTCTTTAAAGGGGGCGGGGGATGGAGTTCCTTCACTAAATAGATGGGAGGTAATTCACTCGCTTAGACTACATATATAGGTGTATCTGGCGTCAAGGATCAGTCACCCTTTTCGCTTCGTACGAGGAGGTGTGCAGCAAGTCGCTGCTAGCATCCTTGAGTGGAATTAAGCTACAGAAGCCTGTCGTTTGGTCTCTATGCTACATTGAGTGACTATTTCAAGGCGCGTGAAACTTTGTCGCGCTGTCCTAAAAAGTTCAACTTTTTGTCACGGAAAACCTATCTCCTCCTAGAGTTTTGAAGCTACAGCAATGAAACGTATACCATTCTATTCGTAAAGACCATACCTATCGAGTAACGAAGCCCCTTTTTAGATTTGTGCATAGTTTAGATTCAAAATGGGGGGAAAGGGGGGGAAAATGAGAAAAAAACTAAGGCAAAAATCAAACATCGGGCTTCGTTACTCGATTGGTATGGTCTTTACGAATAGAATGGTATATGTCTCATCGCTGTAGCTTCAAAATCCTAGGAGGCGATAGATTTCTACAGTACACCCTTTTTTGTCCGTTTTCTATGAATTTCACGTTTTCTATCAATTTTTCCGAAAAAAATCACACGAACAAAAATGTCTTAGAATTCTGTTATACATATGTGTACCAAGTTTCAGAGTGATCCGTCTGTAAACAAAACAGTTTTTACGGAGGGTGAACCTCTCCCTATATATGTAGGCGTCGCCGTATTTGGGTGAAAAAATGGTTGCAAAGAAGAGAGGGGGCTCACACAATAACATTTTCAAGGAATTATCATTTGCGAATGCATCAGACTTTAAAAATTATACTAGACTGCCATTGGACTTGTTTGACAGTCTGCTAAAGAAATAATGCCACTCATCCAGAAGTAGGATGATGGAATTAATTTGTAATGAAATTCATTATCACGATGGAATTGCGAACGCAACGTATGAATTTTCTTGCGAACCTGGACAATTGTGACTTGTACACAAAAAATTCTTAAAACTTAAACTGTTTTACCGCTACCGGAGCTTGTTCTTTTACATTTTGACTTTTATACTCCTTTGATTGAACTCCCTTTTGGCATTCATGGTCTCTACGAAGTACAAAAATCAGTTAGCCAATCTCCGACAGAGCGAGTCCAAACATGTGGCGTTAGTTGACATAGTGAAGGACCAGCATATACAAACATTGTAAGGAATTCATACAAGCACAACGGCTAACAATTTTATTGAAACTTCAAAGGGTAAACTTCGGCTCCAGGGAAGTAGAATAACGGAACTGCAGTGGATGCAGTTTAGAGAACTGAAAGTAGAAAAAGAGACTTTGCTAAATAAATGCCGGAGCTTGAGAAATGAGTTTATCAATTATGCTCAGTAATTCCAATTTAGCGGTACAAAACTTGACAGTGAACGCATATACCCAAGCTAACCTCAAATGAAATAATGTATCCAGCAGAAATGACGTCGCGCTGGCTGCACTTGAGGCACGATGCACACGGCAAAGGAGATGCGACGACGAGAATACCGGAGGTTATACTGTAAATTAACAGTTACGCAACAAGATTAGACAGATGGAACAAGTGCTATTGTATCGTATGAAATTAATCATTATGAGGATCAAGATGTATTGATCAATTTATGCAGAGTTAAGATTAAATATTTAGAGACTAACCTTCTAATTTATAATACACATCTATGTTTTATCCGACTAAACCCCAGGCGCGCACAGCATCGCAGGTAGTGAAAATTTAAATTTTAACGTCAGAAACTGCGCGGATATAAAGATACATAAAACTATTTCAAATACATGTCATAGCCTAGTATTTACTATATAAATGTTTTAAAAAGATTAATACAAACATTTTCTTATCAACTAAGGCAGTGACAGCACTCCTTAATAAAAAAAGGATCATGGTTTGACTGTAAAAATGGCCTTTATTATAATGCATCCATTCACTTTATTCATACACACCATTCCAACGAAAATGAATTAATTTTATTAGTTAAAAACAGGGAATGGTTTGATGTCAATAATCAGGGCCTCGACCTTAACGCCTCTGATAGTGGCTACACCGAATCCGAGAGTCACTGAGCTGTGACACGAGTGAGGACTGAGCAGCGGGCCCACGTCGAACCTCTCTCTAACTGCTGTCAGGATGCTAGCTGTATTGCCTCTTTGCACTGCCAAACCCAACCTTTGCTCCAACCATTGAGTCTCTCTCTAAGTTCACCGGACAATTCCGTTATGCGGCGACCAATCTGTGATATTAAAGGACCAGTCGTTTCACCATATGTACCCATCGTTTCTAATTCGACTGGCTCGAACCGATACCGAGCCGCCAACGCCGCATATTTACGTCTCTTGCTATCCTCCGCTGCACGAGCAGCGAACAAAGCAGAAATAGCCGAATTATTGACGTGCGACTCCGCAAAAGTGTCGACGCAGGTTGCATCCCAGCACAAACACCTCCCATTAGAAAATGGGAAAACCGTTAAGCCATCTGGTCTCTTACCATCCCCTCTGTTCACTCC